CAGCACTCTTTTCGGGCCGTCAGATGCCGAAAGCTGGTGCCCGCCGACACAGTAGCTCCGGCTTCCCTAGGGCCAAATGAAAAAGAAGGCCGCTATGTAGTAATTTGATCCCCCAGCCATTTCATTGGTTGTATATCAACTTAGACGCATACCTCATGTTTCCCCTCTGATGATGAAAAACCAATGTTCCAATTTCACCCTTGAATTTACCAAGCCATAGCTGCCATCCTTTAAAGCGTAGCGGCGCACCGGAACGGGGTAGACCGGGTTTAGACTGTTGCTGAAATGCGCTCAACTGGGGAATTGCGAGATTGAAGGAGCTATTTTTTCTCTCCCATCGAACCTGGCAGCGTTCTTCTTCTGCTCTGTCAACTCTTGCCCCCCGCTATGGCCATGGACTATACTTGGGCAAGCATGCTCTTGAACTTTCACGCCACCAAGGGAATGGCTAGTCTCTCCTGAATTCATATATGGACTATAATAGATACCGTGAAAAGCCTCAAACAAAAAGCAACCTCGGAACTAAAATAGCCCATGGAAGTTCTAGTTATGACACCATTGCTATAGCTTGATTGGGTCTTCTTCAGCCTAAAATCGAAGCCCAAAAGTCCGAATTTCGTTGTGCAGGCTTATATATCCCTATGCACGGCGATTGATTCTTTCATACGGCATCTGCTTTTCTTCACAAAGTAGGAAACGGTCTGAAAGGTTTCTCGGCGAGGAATTAGGCGATAATTGACCAAGGAGCAATTGATTCTCGCTAGTCGGCAAGTTCACAGAAAGCCCATCATCTGCTAGAGATTTCTCAATCTACTACGCAGTATTCAGTACACATGTGGCCTTAGACCATTCCAACGGACCCACTACATACGCTTATTTCAGGCGGCTTCCCTAGATTATTTACAAACATCAAACATCCTGATATCCAAACAAAATCGACAGTGATTATAAGAGAATATTAGAAAAAACCTTGAGGTACACTGGGAAATGCCATTCGAGAAAGATCCGAGAACTCTTCTAAGATCCGGTCAAGGTCGTCGGGCGCGCCCGTGGGAGATTCCACCTCTTGGAATATGTCCCCAGAATCCCACAGTGAAAGCCTTGGCGACAGTGAATTTGGAAATGGAAACAAGTCGCGGAAGCTTAACATGTCATACTCTTGGCTAGAAAAAGCATTTTCTCGCGGTTCAAAGATTGTTGTCGTATTTTGGACTCGACCACTGTTGCGTGAAGTTCGGAGTTTGTTGATTGCGTTCAATACCACCGTTGCCCCGGGAAGTCTTGCTTGAAGCTGCTCCAAGGACGACACAAGAATGTCAAGCTCTTCTGAACAGTACTTATCTGACTCTAGTGAGGACTCAGCAGCGTTGTATAGAAGTTGCGGTATTGCGGCCACCATTATCAGCCAATTGTGTGCACCAAGAAGATAACTGAGGTCGTCCCTATAGTCAATCTCCTGGTATAAGCGGGCCATGCATGAAGAGGCGACCAAAGATACAATGTTGGGGGCAGATGTCATGTCGTGGCTGTTGAATAGGTGAAAATATGATATAATAGTGCCAAAATACGTAAGGTGTAATTCAAAGACATCTTGCCGGTATGTTCGAAGACCATTCGCGTCAAAAATGTGCATAGTCGTTGGAAGATTGCGGATCCAATCTTTTAAGGAATGGAAGATCTCTATATGCTGTCATGGCCGTAGAGGTAAGTATGAATGATTTTTTTTGGAGTGATGATGTTGTGCTAAATGACTCGAGGCGCACGTACCTTTGCTTGCACATGTTTAGTACTCCGCCCCCGGAGGTCTAATATACTACCCAGAATGCTAATTATCTTGGCTAGCTCGATGAAAAGCAAGGATTGAATACCAGAAGACTCGAAATCTTCTTCCGTCAGGGGTCGAACGTCAAACTCATGTTTTTTGATAGATGTAGGCCATCCAAATGCAGCTGATACAAGTGTATCTTGAACCTGGATGTCATTAGTAAAAGTAAAGATAGATTTGGGAGACACACGCACAAAAAGGGACCAGGCAATCCTCCGTGCAATCTTTGGATTGACAAAAGCAGCACATATTTCCTCGCGGTGCAGGCCCATTTGCTGCAACACTCTTATTGCTATAACCAACCACTGCCACGGGGAATCGATGGTCAATAATACAGGACCAGCGATGTTGCGTGTTGAAAAAAGACACATGACCTTAAGAACTGTAATTGGGTCCTGCTCGTGATTGGTGTGGATAAGAGTCTTGACATTGTAATAATATTTCTCACTCTCAGCCAGAATATCTGGTCCTTTCGGATGTCGAAGAATAGTTCCCACCATGCAAATTGCTTGTTGAAGAGCTACCGAAGGCCTGCTAGAAGAGAAATCGGCACGATCGATGACAGGCAATCGATGGAAAACATGTTGGAAGTAGGCGTCAACATAGGCACTTAATAAAATTGCCGGTGGTGGTGACATGGGATCTATTATCGTCAAGATCGCCTGGTTCTTGGTCGTTGAGTTCGCTGTGATCCGGCGATAGTTTGGGGGAATACCAGGGGCATTATGCAGCATGTAAGTCATTCCGCCAAGGTACTGTCTATGTAGTGGTTCAGGTGCTGGAACATTAGACCCTTGGTCTTGTTTCTCGCAAATGATTGAGGTTTCTGGAGTCACTGGCTTCTCTTGACAAGCTGGTGCATTAGATCTTGGAGATCTCGCCGCTCGCCTTGTGTACCTCTCTTTAACGGTCATTCTTCGGTTGGGACGAGGTCTGAGAGAAATGGTCAGCAATGCCGTAGTTATCTTGCCACCTTATAATTCTTACTGGCAGGCCAATTCATGTTTATAACAATTCGAACAAGTGCCTTCTGATTGAGTCTGTAGATCACATTTGACTTTCCGTGCGTGACACTGGCAGCATACGATCCTTGCCCGATCACGAACACCTTGAAGAAATGGAGCGGAAGTTGCCATTGTGTTGATGAGAGCTATGATTTATACAAATATAAAAATGGGCATTTGGAATCATTCATAGCTAAATATGAACAGAAAAGCCGATAATGATGTGACACTGCTATGCTATGGGCAATGTCAGTACCGGTAAGTACCAACATTCGCTAAAACTGCGGGGGTGGTTTTATCGTTCACCCAATCCGCGCTCGCAGACGGAAGTGGTCAAAATACCAACCTTGGGAAATACCAATACTTGGCTTTTGCTGGATACAGGGTAATTTACCCGGAATATCCACGGACCGAGAGGGTTCCCCAGAATTAACCCCTGCTCTATGTTGTACATTAGTGTATTGTCTAAGACTTCTCACGTGACTGCCTTCGTCTACTCGCCTTGCTTCTTTAGCCCTGCACATCGTAGCTTAGCTCCTTACTGGTTACCTTCTTCTTCCTCTTCGTCTTCTCCTCCTCCTCCTCTATTTTTGCGCAGTTGCTATGGCATAAGAGCTTTTGTCTGATTGACAGGTTTCTAGCCTGAACCTTGGTTTCTCTCTTACGCTTTGCTTTGTATAGTGATATTTGTTGAATATATGGCCGTTAACTAGCGATCAAACCAGTGTATCAGCATAGTTACATAGCCGAAATTTTTAGAATAGAATATGTTGGAGTGTAGGGTGAATTTATCACCTCTGTTCCGATCAATCAATGCTGCCGCACATGTGATTTCTAAGGTTGCCAGGGACGGCCCGGCCCAATTAGTCTTGGCGTCTCCGTATACTCCGTGAAGCGCACAAGGGCTATTGTGAGTTAGCAAAGTAAAAGTAGCACATTATGTATACTCCGTAATAAAGGTTATAAGAAACTGGCCAATCCTGGACCGGAAGACTCGGCTGTAAAATACAGGTGCTTAGGGCAATATGTACTTCGTATTATTAGCAATATTAAGCGTTGATGGCGTTTTTGATAGATCAGGCCTAGCCAAGATAGTGGTAATTTCATTGGTCCATTCGGATTAATTCCCATCCTCTTAGCTCCCGTTCCGGCTGACTCGGCACTATTCGGCTGTCATCGGCTATCTCCCTCGTCTGAGGGCGAAGCAGTTCAGAGAGAAATAAAGTGCAACATAGCTTTCACAGGTCTACTTGCATAGACTAGTGCACCATTTTTCAGTGCCCAGGGATTATCAAGGTCGACAAAGCCTCTCACGCTACGCGTTTCTCAGTTTGATTAGTAAGCATACATCACGGCCCAGGGACCAGTCAACTAGGACGACACTGCTTTGACTAGCTGGAGCCAGTCTTAGGGCCTCAGTGCAAGTGAGGTGTTTGAAACCCGACTCTTTCTATACTGACACACACATCCATCCTCTCGGGCTGTATAGACAGTCTCATGACAGGGCCGGTCCCTATTCCAGTGGCGGCCATTACACACTACGCCCCGCAAGAGTTTGCACATGTTTCGCGTTACTGGTTTCCCTCTACCAGGCCGACTGTGTCTTGCAGAGAGCCCTCATCTACGTGTTAAAACCGTTTCTGCTTTGAGTAGATAGGACCTTGCTTCCTCGCCTGGATTGATCTTCCTTTCTCTCCTTCTCTCTCTACTAGTTAGCTGAATGCAGTCAATTATTTCTTTCCCTTAAAAACCAGCCTTCGCCCAGCTTCCCTACGGCCTGACCGGCGAGATGATCAGGGTATAGGGCCCTGAGCAGAGCGACCTCACAGAAGAGGAGGTCACGACCCAAGTGGAAGAAACGGCGAAAAAGGACCATCGATATAGACTGCTCTCTAACCGACCGACTTTGATATTCCCGATGCATATGCTTGACAGAAAAAAATGATAGCTCTTTCTTCCTCTCCTGTATTTTCCACTGAAACCCTGCCAGACCATGTCATAAGAGCCAAAGAAGAACTACAAGAACATTGGTCGACCATATTTGGAATCCCTCAAGTCAATATTGATTGATTACCTAGGTAGTTAACTAGTTCTAGTCTGGGGTCTCTTCGTCTTGTTTCCTCATACAACTCTCTCTCCTTAACATTCCTTGTATTGGCTGTACAGCATTATCAATACGTATACTTGAACCCAATCTTTCTCTCAATCGGCTTTCCTCCAGCATCGACTCGCTTGTTTGCCCGATTATACTTAAGTGTGAGTAGGCCTGCAACCACGACAATCAAACCATTGGCCAATATAGCCGCGATTAGACCTGGTATGTAATCAGGAGCATCTTGAGCGCGGAATACTGTTGTCGCAATGATGCCTCCCATACTGCCTCCACCGATCGATGTCGCAGATGTAAAGGCTCGCTTCCATTGGCCGCGGATGTTGTTGCTAGAGCCTATTAGAAACCAAGATAAAACCACATTCTGGAAGCATCACTATTACCTTTGCCAAGATACCATCGCCGGGCAGTTTGCATTTGCTATAACAGACATTAGTAGTTATAGCCACGAGACAAGAGTGTTCACTCACCAGCCGCAGTAGCTAAGAAGACTCCAAAATACCGGGGGGCCGGATCCTTAAGAAAACCTAGCAGCGCTAGCCCAAGAATCGCCACAAGCGCGTTTCCAACAATAATGGGTCCCCGCAAACGCCATTTATCCGAGTAAACTGCCTGGATGTACATCACCACACCCGCAAAAGCATACGGTGGGGCAACAAGACATTGTGCCTTCACCACGGAAAAGTGCATGCTCTCTTGCAGAATGATCGGAAGAAAGTATGCAATCGCATAGCTAGGCATAGTAGCTAACATATATAAGATCGCATATGCCCAGACCTTACTGTCTTTGCCGTATGCTAGATATTTTTGGAGAGAGAAAGGCTCAAAAGTGGTATCTGCTCTATCACGTTCGATTGTCGTGATAATAAATGAGGCTTCGGTTTGGTTAAGGAATTTCCAGGACTTCGGAGCTTTATCCGGGAAGTCGACTAGCAAAATGTAGGAGCCGAGGCCTAGGACACACGTAAGAAGGCCTTCTATCTGTTTTCCATATATCATCAGTATAGCTTCTTCCCGTGACAATCAGATCTCCCGCGATAATCAGAGAGCATAGAGCATTTGGGATCTTACAATGAAAATCCACCGCCAACCGGAAAGCCCGCCTAGCCCATCCATCTGCGATAACCCGTAGGCTAAGATACCGCCAAAGCCGGAGGCAACGCTTCCGATAAGGAAGAACACAGAATTGCGCTTTTGTAGTTCGTAGCGAGGGTACCAAGTACTAAGAAGATAGACGCTGCCGGGGAACAGTCCAGCCTCTAGACCACCGAGGATTGCGCGTAAGCCAGCCATGGATTCCCAGTTCTTGACGAAGCCGAAACCCTAGGAGCATTAGCAAAACGCTTTAGTTTTAAGTCATCCATACTTACAATCATAACGCCTCCCCAGAGAGTCACAATGCCTGCGAGGAAGATTCGAGGTCCAAGTGTGCGAATAATGACTGTGGCAGGGATCTGGAAGAGGGTGTATGTGACGAAGAATACCAACGAAATGATACTGTAGCCATTGTTCGATGCGTTCATACCCAGCTCTTTCTGCATTCTGCGTTTGGTTAGCTGAGTATGTATGTATAGACCTGCTGTACAGGCAATTGCGATCCATTAGGCTTACCCTGCAACCGAGGCAGCTCCGAGATTTGTTCGATCCAACAGACTGACAATGAATAAACATCCCATAGTAACAACCAAGCGAATATCAACTCTTCGGATGATTTTCTTCTGCTCCTCTGGACTGAAGGAGTTTATGATTTCCTCATTAGGGTATGCACTATTTTCAGTTTCGATGATGTCTTTGACATGATCCTCATGATGTGGGTTCTTCATGGTAACTCTTTTGGTTCCGTTCTCAACTTCGTGCTCAATTGGTGAATCTTATGTTTACTCCCATCCCGGTGAATGGAAACTCTTTGGGAGGTCTTCCCCTTATATAGATTTCCGTGAGCTTGCGGACTGCCGAGAACCAATTTGTCCTAGGTGATCTATCTCTGCCGATTGACTATACATCCCACTTGTCTATACCATGTCGTTCTACTAGTGCTTCGTATATCTAATTTATAGTGCCCTCTAGTTAGGTTTATGCATCTCAAATACAGTCCTACATTTCCCTTGACGAATTAATTCACAATGCAGTGAGATTTTCGGTACACAGAATGACTACTCCGTAGTAACCAGGGAATTGTCCAAGCTTTGTTCATTTGCCCCTAAAAAAGACGGGACTGCTGTCTCGGTAGACGTCGGCTTAGGCTTACGGCATGGCGTACCGAGTCCCGTGATTCGTGATCTTATGTTAGAATATCGTCATATCATCCGGAGTCGCTAATATTGGACATCGAATGCGTGATTTCTAATATTATCGACGGCCCGAATAAATTCTGGACCAACCTTGGGGTTGCGGCTGGTCAGAACGCTGCAGCCAGCTCCATGTTGAGCCATCCATCCATTGACAAATTGACTGTCGGACTGTGGCCCTGTATATCGTTTAGTAAGTTAGAATTCCTCGATCCGATAGGTAAACTACTCTCCATCACAGATTTCCACGCAGCTTGAAGGACATCGCCCAACTGGGCGAACTCGGCTTCAGGGCGAGTGTACAGCTTGTCGCAGAATAATGAAGCAGTACTTACTATCACACAGTCCTCAGGCACACAGGTTTCCATTGTTCGTGCCACGTGTGTGTCAGGTCCTTCGGGTGCTGCAAAGTTGACGAAGACCAATGTACCTCGTGGAGATTTCTCTTTGATAAGACGCGCAGGAATAGCATGGTGGATCCAGATCAATTCTCCACCAGATTGACGACTGCATGTCGTGAACTGAACATTGACACGGTCCTTGGCAGCTTCCTGGGAGACAGCTGCCTTGATCAAGTTGTAGAGGAGGACGTGACAACCTATCGAGACAAGTTTGACAAACTACAGTAAGGACTGGCAAATACGGATCATGACCGGAGCACCGCCGGTTAACCTCAATTGGGGTACCCTTAGCGGTGAGACCTCTTCAAGTTGGAAAGAGTCGCCAGAGCCCACAAGCTTCACATCTGCCCTTGCCGGGTCAACCTGCTCAAATATTGCACGACTAGAGGAGTTGGCCCGGAGATTCTGCCTCGAGCTCAGGTACAGACGTGGGATTAGCATCTGGTTGTTTTCAATGAAGACTTCGGGTTCAGAAGACCAGAGCAAATCATCAACAGCTTCCTAGCGGGAAAATTCATCAATCAGCTGATGTTTTAAGACCATACCTGAGATGATAGAGCTAGTCTCCTTGTCCAGGATGTCAAGATACAGTAGCCGGAAATTGATATTCGGCTGTTCAAATTTGACGACCGTCCCGATACCGAACATCATGTATGAATATGGCTGTTCGGCCCGAGCGCCTTTTGATACCCATAAAATGTTTCTTACAGACCTCCAAAGTCCTTTGAGTGCTTCAATCCTTTCGTCGGTCACCTCTCGCATCAGAGGCTCATCTAATTCGGACAAGCCGAGAACGGTAGCACCGTCGGGGATGGTAACAGTATTGAGAGACTCGATAGAAGGAAGTCGGACCAAGGAGGAAAATTTGGAGGATAGCGCCGTCGAAAGCTCATTGACGAGCTGATAGGTGGCAAGCGATTTACCACCGATGAGGATCAGGGGTGGTGAATTTGTGGCATAACTTTCTGGCAGAGAGGTTGCGGGATTTCGCAGGAGCTCCAGACGAGTGTCAACAGCTTGCGCAGCCCAAACTGCAACTGCATGTAGCTGGTCATAGATAATATATCTTTCAATATCAGATATGTATTTAATATTCATATAGGAGCACTATCACTTTCTTAGTGAACCTTTACAATTTTTAATATTTTTAAACAGCCCGTTTTCTCGCGCATTTAAACGTGATTAATATACTTCATTATTAATGGTCTATACATATAGTAATTAAAAAAGTCACGTTTTTCGGAATATTTGTATTGTTTGGTGTTTTTTGGGCCCTAATGGGCCCCCATCAAGGCCCAGTGGGCTTTCACCCCGGGCCAATAGCCCACCGGTAGGCCCGAGGTCACAAATCCCAGCCCATTTGCGGGTTGGGTTGGGTTGGGTTGTGGGCTTTGTGGGCTTTGCGGAGCGCAATATAAATCTCATCTAAACAACTAACATATAGACTAAGTTCATGAAAGGCTTATATCTCACAGCCATTGGTCTATATCGATGTCTGGTATTTGATAGAGAAGAACGGGCCTCGCGGATTAAGCTCACTTGCGTGGAAGGGGCTATTGTTGGTTTAGCTCAATCGGGTGAAGTACACTATTTGCGTCCGGGTAAATGATAAAAAAGACTATATGCAAGTAAAGTGGGTTTTAATGCGTATAATTAGACCGAGGAATCAAGCTAGGATCTATATCATCTCACTAATTATTATAGTGATACGAAAGGTCTAAGACCTCCTAGGAACTCCTATTATACTTTAGCTAGAATAAGGTATTTTCTAATTGCTAGTGAGAATATATTAGGCAAATAAGGAGCTGTAAATTTCGTTATAAGCGGCTAGATCATCTAATAGGTATAAACGATAGGTTTAGAATATTTTTACGGATATCTATCACTGGAGCTGAAGTCGTATTCCTAGGAGCAAGCGGTAAGCAGCAAGGCTGTATATAGAGAAGGTATCGTGGAGGCAAGGTTCGGCAAGCTAAATAGTGGTATAGCCGCAGAATAGTAAACCCAATAAATATGGCCCCACTACCGATTTACCTCTCAGCCGGAGGCGAAATAACCAGGATCGACCGCCACATTGATAACGCCAGCCTTTCGTAAAGGGACAACAGTCAAGAGTGCTGGGCCTAGCGTGGTGCATTTTATCGAGGTGAGCTGCTGACTTAGCTGCTGACTTAGCTGCTCTCCAAATTTGCTCAGGTGACGCTCACTGAGCACCTGGGCAAGTCCTTGAGCTTATGAAATAATCAGGTCATAGTTACTCAGTGAGCAAAGAGCGGTAAGGGAAAGCCATGTCGCGCAGCCTAAAATCCGGTGTATATGTAGCAACCTTGCCATCCCAATAATCCTCATCAACTCTGATATTGACATGTTCTAGAACAATGACATCAGTTACCCCATACAATATCGCCGTTCCGGACGAGCAACTCCAGCAGCTCCGCCAGAAGCTGGAGCACACCACCTTCCCCGATGAGCTTGATGCTTCAGGGTGGGATATGGGCGTTCCTTTACTTGAAATGAAAAGACTCGTCGCCGTGTGGCGCGAGCAGTTTGACTGGCGTGCGCAAGAGCTGAAGCTGAATGAACAACTCAAGCAAGTCAATGTTCGAGTAGGAGTGGAGGGCTTCGAGGAACTGAATATACATACCGTGCATCATCCGAGCGGAAATTCAAAAGCAATTCCATTGCTTTTTATTCATGGGTGTATCTCTCCCCTAGGACTTTCTGTATCAATGTCTTGATCGCGCCTGCTAATTCTTTGTTATTGTACCAGGGCCTGGCAGCTTCCTCGAAGCCACCAAGCTCATCCCCCTTCTCACTAAGAGTAACGGGGATGGCCCAGTATTCGATGTCGTGGCACCTTCATTGCCCAATTTTGGATTCTCGCAGGGCGTCAAGAAGGTCTGTTGAATACTATGCATCAGCACTAGTCAAATGCATCCTAACAACCAAATTAGAGAGGATTCGGGCTGGCACAATACGCCGAAGCTCTACACAAAGTGATGGTGGCACTAGGCTACGAGGAATACGGCAAGCACTATCTGCGCCCACCAAAAGAGACCAACTAATTCCAGAGTAGTGATTCAAGGGGGCGACTGGGGCAGCATGATCGCCCGCACCATGTCTCAGTACTACCCTCAACACACCAAAGCCATCCATTTGAACTTCATTCCCGTTACACCACCCTATCCATGGCGAAGTCCCTACCAGTTCATCAAATCCCTTCTATCTGTGCCATTCTCAGCAAAAGATCGTGGCTACATCGCCCGGACATTAGGGTATTTTACCGGCGGCAATGCGTACATGAAACAGCAAGAAACTCGACCACAGACTCTAGGCTACGGGCTCCACGATAGCCCCGTCGGATTATTAGCTTGGATCTATGACAAAATGCACACTTGGTCCGACAATTACTCCTGGACGGATGAGGAGATATTGACCTGGGTGAGTGTATACTACTTCTCCACAGCTGGGCCCATGGCGTCAACGAGGATCTACTACGAGGCGTCGGCGCCGAAGCGTAGTGGAAGTGCGGCTATCTCGGAGGATGAATCTCAGGAGGATCTGCTGGAAAAGAAAGACCTGAATTATATGTCGCTTGACCAAGTTCTCGGGGTTCGGGCACCGCAGTGTGTGCGCTTTGCAGTGGCGCAGTTCGCGGAGGAGATCATTATGTGCCCTATGGCGTGGTGTCGGTCCATTGGGGATATTGTGCAGGAAACAGAGTATGATCGCGGTGGTCATTTTGCGGCATGGGAAGTCCCAGAGTTGCTGGCGTCTGATATCAAAAGGTTCCTAAGCAATAATGGACCAGCCTACGGAGCTGTAGCCAACAGAAATGGTTATTGAAGGTCTCACTGGATCGACCCCTTTGATCACTTGGCGTTTAGCAACGCGTTGGTTGTTTTGAGATAAGAGAAGACCCGATTTCTTGAGTGATCTTGTCTGTTGAGTTCGGTCTACTTGTGTTCAGTGTTGTTCTTGTTTTCATATCGATACGTTGGCTTAGTGGCCTCTTCGGAAATTGGACTCGTGGATAAGGAAACAGTGTAGAAAAAACTACCCTTTGCCAACATAACTCAAAAAAATGGAAGACAGACATCTAGCTCTTCCCTTGCAGGCTTGCTAGACCGCGTGCCGTAAGTTACAAGGCCTGGACAAAGGCAAAGGTCAATCAAATCGACAGATTGGGATGGTCACTGATTCTCGAAAACCGGACCTTGTCTATTTCCCTAGTTAATGCGTTGGATTTATAATGCAAATTGGAACACTACCGTGACGTGACAACGGGGGCCTTTTATTATCGTGATAGGAGTAAGAGAAACATGGAGTCAAAGAACAAAATTGCCCTTCGGCTCAGGTATCAACCGCTCTCACGTTGCTCTTGTGCTATCCCGTCATTGATTGACCGTACACGGCACATATCATCCAGTGAAGACCGTAGACGCCGGGATTTGCCCTCAAACCAACGGAAAGCCCAAAACAACCACTTCCCCAAATCTAATCCTGTCGTCCCTTCAATAACCGCTGGGTAACCTTGTCCTTCTCTATAATGTAAACCTGGGCACCCCAACCGGAGAGGGCATCTCTGTCCACGGCGCTAAGCAGCGCTTGTGAGATTGTCTCGAAGAGGTCCTCGGGTGCCTATGATGACAAAGCGTGTTAGACAGAGCATAGGATGTATGATAACACCAATGATACATACCAGATCAGGCTCCCACAGACCCTCGCAAGTACCGAAGAGCTGGTCGCTTGCTGTTCCGCTGACAATGAAGTCCTTGGCGAAATCGATACAACCAATGCTGTCAAAGCCGCAGATGAACGGCTTCCCCGTTGTTGGGTTGATACCAGCCAGCACAGGGCTGACAAAGTAAGGACCGAAACGCTTCTCATACAGCGATGAGCTCACTAGGTTGGCGAGGGTCTGCGGTGCGATGTCGCGCTCCTCGCGCAGCCGGTACATGTTGACCTTGTAACGGAAGAGATCGGAGACGGTGTTGACATCAGTGGCGAGGCCAGTCAGGCCGAGATAGGTGGATGGAGCGTAGTTGAAGATCTTGGGGAAGTTGTTGGAGATGGTCAGGGATTGCATGCCCAGGCGAAGGTCACAGGCGATGGCGACGCAGTCCTTGCCCACCATGGCGACACAGGCACCGCCATCTGCAGAACGATTAGTATATTGTTTTGATATTCACGAGGGACAATGTTCCGGCATACTGATATCGAAGGGGTTGGACTGTGATGGGAGAAGTCGGTCAGCTTTGAGGTCCTGAGATTCGTAGACGATAGGGACAAAGGGCGCATTTTTCTTACCATTATTGCAGTGTTTCAATGCAATTCAATATAACAGCGATATTCCAGAGCTAAAGCACAAGAAAATAGAAGAGAAGATGTGGTTGAGAAGGGGGCGGGTTGGGGGAGGTGATGGAGGTGAGTTGATGACGGGGAAGCTCTGAGGTACGCGAGAGCTCAGATGACGCCCGCACCGCTGCCTGTTTCGTATGCGACCTTCGACTACTTTCTGCGCCCTCTTTCTCCCCGCATTCGAGTTTCACACTTTTTTACTTCTTTACTTTGATTTGTCCATATTATATCGCTTTATTGAGATATTGAACCTTCTGTATTGTATTGTCAGAGCTAGTGTTCTAGTGTTCTCCATACAAAATGAGTGCCCACGTTGTGGTGATCGACGCGACAGCCAGGCGGGCAACAATCAAGACCACTCCCACCAAACATTTGACCGATATCCTACAAGAAGCATGTTCGAAGCTTGGATATAATGCTAGCCAGTATTCATTAAAGTGAGTTGGTGTTCCTTTTCTCCGACGACAACACTGACCTGGACTTTCCTATGCAACAGACACAATCGCAAGCAGTTAGACCTTTCTCTTTCCTACCGTCTCTCTGGTCTCATCTCTGGGGCAAAACTTGAACTTGTTCAACTCTCTCGCTCTCCGTCAGTCGTAACCGTCGGCCTACAGCTGCCCGAATCTGAGGCCCGTGATGCCCCGAATGGCCGCATACTTGACAAGTTCCCTAGTACGACTACACTATGGATGGTACTGCGCAAGTTCGAGGCGGGAGTTGCAGGGAGTGGCCCAGTGCGGAACCTCACTTCACGGGCAGTGCCCTCTGCCGATGGCGGAGATGTCGCCGGACGACTGTACTATGAGATCCCCGTCCTTCAGATTTTGGAACGTGAAGTATCAAGCTTTACGGATCTACAAAAGACCCTAGCCCAGCTAGGTTTCAACAGTGGCAATGTTCTTATTCGACTCAGTTTCCGACGGACCGAGGAGCCTATTGAAGAAGCCATGCTCAAGATTGGCGAATTCTTCAAGTCGGAGGATGAGGTTCCTTCGACACAGGATAAGAGTGCAGAGCCCACAGCAGTTCCCGGTGACAATACAAGCAAAGAGCCTGCTCAAGAGCCTTCCAGCGTCACCGCCGAAGTTGCCCCTCCCCCATCTATCTCCGAACCAGCCACTTCCACAGCCGACTCTGGCCGAACAATTACTGTCTTCTCCCCTCCCTCGGAAGACATTCCTTCGTCGGCAAAATTAGACTACAATGAGAGTGATTACATACCCTCTATCGAGCACGCAAAACTGCACCAGCGGTTACTCAACGAGTCCTCTCGCCCAAAGCGGTTGCCAACGGATGCCGAGATCGCCGCCAAGGCAGAGGCAGAAGCGGCAAGGCGAGCAGCAATTCACGAAGTCAATGTGAAGATCCGTTTCCCAGATCAGAGCCAAGTGGTCGCCAAATTTGGCACCTCGGACACAGGGCAGTCGTTGTATGAATTCGCACGCGGGTGTCTTGCTCCACCGTTTGCCAGTGAGAACTTCACACTCACTGTCCATGGTGTATCCCGATCCAAGCATACAAACGCCATACCTCCATCAGACAAGAAGCATCTGATTAAAGACCTAGGGCTGGCTGGCCGTGTGCTTGTCAACTTCTCTTGGTCCGATAACGCTGCCTCGGTTGTTCACGAACGCCGAGCGGAGATTCTACGCCCCGAGCTTCGGAGCCAGGCTCAACAGCTCAAGGTGGAGCAACCGCCGGAGCTCAAGGAAGAAGATGTGCCCGCTCCTTCACAGCCGGGTCCGAATAGCGCTCAGGGCGGCGATAAGCCCGGCGGGGCACGGAAGAGTGGCGGTATTCCTAAGTGGCTGAAGCTACCGGGTAAGAAATGAGATTGGGATAACGAGATGCATATAGTTCATGTGAGCGAAATGTGCTGCTCTTGATGATCATGACTTGACTACGTGACGTATCCTTTAAAGACGCATTAAAAATCTAAGATGTGCGTATAGACTTAAGCCACATGCCTTTCAAATTTCATTTCTATAGATAGCCTCAATGACAAAAGCAAGCTAGACCTGACAACAAGTGCACGGTGTATATGTATAGCATTTGAGATGCTGTCGACACACATATATCATGGATGAAGTCAAAGCTCACTCCATATACTTCGGCAATCATACACATTTCCATCTACGATGTAAACCTCCATTTAGAAAGTGGCTCAATTGCAAATATCAAACGTGAAATGGTTGAATAATTGTTTTCATTATGGTTTCACTCCATACGACAGAGAAGGAATCCCATATTTGCCTTCCCCTTCATGCACGCCCAATGGCCACGAAACCCCCTTTCCGATCCGAGAATCACGCTTTTTTTGCGTCGAGTCGTTAAAACGAAAGAAAAACAGGAATTTAGTGGGCAGCGGTGCGGCGAGACTCAGCAATAACCTTCTGCATGGACTCAACCTTGGCCTTGCCGCGGCCGAAAGTACCGAGCTAGAAACGAAGTTAGTAAGAGTGCTAACTCGATGAATCGACTGGTCGAGCTCTGATCCCAGTGGAAATTGTTTGATCTTAGTCATGATCTCAGTCTCCAGTAAACAGAACAGTAATTGCATGGGCTCATCCAAGCAGAGATTGAAATGAATCTTGTTCTGCAGAATTGACATGCATAGCCCATGCAGTACCGTTCCGATACAGCAAGACCTCGACCAAAACGACCCAAATCCAAAATAATCCAAGTAACAGAGCCAACCAGACGAAAGCGGAAAAAGGATTGAGAGTAGACGTACGCGCTTCTTAGCGAGCTTGCGGGCACGCTTGTCCTGGGCGTTGCGCAGCAACTCAATGATGCGGCGCTCGTAGGGAGCGAGACCAACGACCTCCTGGGCGATTTCGCGGACGAAAGCGGTACGGCGGGAAGACTTGCCCTTGGTGCGCGAGATGCGGGTCTTGGGGGTGTTGAGGGCGGTGGTTTTCTATATCAGAGCCCAGTCAGTATGTCTGTTTCGCCAAGTCTCATGTAGCGGCCGCAGGTCCCAGTGTTCTCTTCTATTCGCGTTTCGTGTCTGTCTGTCTGGGTAGTTCATGGCGTGGTCTGATCAGGGTTGCGTGCAAGGCGAGTGCTGGCTTCGGTGCCAAAGTCGAATCCAAAAAAAAGTGTTCCCGTGATATCGAAATTTTCCCCAGCGAGTCTTTGATTTTTCCAAAAGACGATTCAATCGCAATCCTCCTTGCCGTGATGATTCCCAGTGTTTCCGCGATAAACCTTGACCCGACTGGTCTTGAATAGACCAACAGACCGAACGAAGAGAAAGAAGAGACCTTGGGAGACCTTCAAACGACCGAAAAACATGGTGCAAAGAGACAGTGAAAACGTACCCGGCCCGCGTTGAGTCCGACCACAATTCCGGAGCGTTCGGCCATCTCGACGGTTGTTGACTGAAGGGGTTGGCGGAGGTTGTCGAAGAGGAGGTGAGGGAGCCGTGTGAAAATCGCCTGGTCTTTTGCCTGGAACCGCAAAATGGAGCCTTGGCGTTGGTGCGGTAGGCGAGTGACTAGGGCTAGGGCTGTATTAATTGGGACTAGCGTGTGTCACTGACACCTCAGGCACAACGTTTCATATGTCTTGGCATTCGCACGTGATAGTCATTTGCCCTCATTTTATAGATCGACCTCTTACTAGATGGATGGATTGCATCTGACTTGCTAACATCAATTCTGTCATGGATTTGGTTTACATGTACTCTAACTATGTATTTTCATGGACACATGATTCATTCCTTGCATGTTTGGAATTCGGCACTAAAGCCTAGCAGTCAGCACTCCATCGAGTGCCTCCTCCCAGCTCTCCCTCAGCTCTCCGCAGAACAATTCGAGTGCAGATTCATCCATCACCTTCTCCAAAACATCTTGAAGCGGCTTCTCGTATTCATCGGTTGCATCGCCTAGCTTGACCATGTCGATGAGTGTACTGAGAGTAGCTGATTCGGCAAGGCCCTGTTTCAAACTTCGGGTGTTCGAACGGACATCCTCGAAAACTTCACGAACAAGAGTGTTCAGTTGCTTCATTTTTTCGGCAGGGAGTTTGGCAGTTTTAATGGCCTTTCGAGAATCCAGATCGAAAATATTCCATAGAGCCTTGAGGGTCTCCACGAGGGTCCATATGGCATGGAAATATTCCCATGTTGGTGCACCAGGGATTCCTGAGGTGAACTCGATGGTCGTTCTCGTGATAAGAGAAGACTTCTTAGTGTCTTCCAGAGCTAGATCCTCTCTCTTGGCCTTCAACCAATCCTCTACCTCGCCAAGAGCAGTCTCAATTTCGGTAGAAGTATGGGCCTTGGATCCAGCCATAAACAAAGCCACTTTCAGCAATTCTACGTGAATCTTGGTGGCATCCCTTTCGGCCTCGGTATGATCATCATCAGTCTGGGACAGCGACATCTTGTCGATTTGGGGCAGCTCTAGCTTCAAGACGACTGGCTTCTGACTACTAATGCTCTCAAGAACACTGAAAAGTCGATCAGTGAGCCGGGCGGATGCCAGCCAGTTTTCCTATATTGATATTAGTCGGTGCCACGGTGTCATTTAAGCAAATGAACTTACACCAGGAATCGGGCCTGCGCGCAATCGGTGCTCAAATGGAGATTTATCGCAACGTTCCAGGTTCATAAAACCATCATACTTCCGCTGGTCTTGAGCTGGTGATGTATCCTGGGCTATAGAGTAATTAGTATTCAAGTATGTCAGAATTACAAGAGAGTATGAGAATTACTGACCAATGTCCTCATGGAGGGCCAAGTGTTTTCCTTTGCGGATTCTTTGCATCCGCCGTAAGTCCAGAGCCCACATTCTCCGGCAGACACTGTCCCTGATACGTTTTTGAAGCTCGATTGAGTCATCTAGATTGACATAAGTCCCATCGTCGAGCCCTTTTATCAAAGAGTTCTTGATAGTGAAGTTTGCATTACGATAAAAGTCGAGAGCGGCGATGAATCCAACTTGCGCATCAAAGTCCTTGTACTCCGCACCCTCAATGGAAGGCGCGGGATGAGGGTGGATGGTGGCAAAGCGGGTGAAGAGGTTATGAGCAACACTTTCATACTGCATTTGCTTGAGGGACAGCTTGCCAAACCACCTCAAGGCAATGGAGCCAGCGCCAAGAAGAAGATAAATGCGGATCAACATAAGAATCGCCTCGTAGTTATGGGGTGAATCTATTAGAAGGCGTTCCAGAATCCCGGCGGCGCGAATCAGGGCAGTGTTGCTGACTTTTTCAGATGCCTGGCCAGCTGGGCTGGGTTGAAGAAGGGCCATTGCAGCAATGATGCAGAAGTCATCCGTGGGCCGACTTTCCATCGCGGAAGCAGTATCTGGTTGGCTTTCATTCTTTGAGTCTTGGGTCTTTGCTAAAAGTGTGAATGCATCGTAAAAGTAAAGGCAATTGCGGACAAGAGTCTCAATAATGGATTTAGATGCATTGCTGTTGCCTGAAATCCGGTCACAGTACTGCAGCTTGTACGCATTGATCAATGGAATGGCATCGTCCTGGGAAGTTGGTTAGCTCGCATTGACTGAGTTTAGCAGGATTTGCACTCACGGGTTTCCCTTCAACAATGTCCATGCAATGCTGAGATACTCGGTGAATCAAAGTATCATCACGGGTCTCTAAGACCCCTCGTAAGTCTTTAAAAGCATAGAGTTTGTGCTTGTGTTGCTCGAAGTATCTTTGGCACGCAAGAACCAGATCGTCCTCTGTCCGCTCGCCCCGTTTGAACCCGGTTAGGACTATGTCCATGAGAGCAATGTGCGCATTGCGGGACTTTGGGCTGAATTCGATGAACTTCTCGATATGCTGCTGCGTGTCGGAAAGTAGCCTACGAAGCAAGCAATCATTGTTAGCTGAGGGTTTAATGGTGCAGAAGTAAAATATTGCAATACATACCCTGGAATGTTGTCAAGATGACGCACGGCTGCAATGAGCAAGTTCCAGTATTTCCAATCATCGCGCTCATGTAGAGTGCTGCGCTCTGCTTCGTCTTCAGACACGGTGAGCAGGCTTTTGGCGTATGAGTGCCCTTCTTCCCAGAGTCCAGCTGCCCCCAAGCTAGTGACTTTGCTTGACATGAAGGTTCTGTCGTTATTAACAATCCGAGAGCTGAGACCAGCATTCTCGCTATTGAGAACCTGCACAACCTCTGCCCAGCGATCCTGCGATTCGAGAATTCGAATAACCAAGAGAAGTTCCTCGGCGGTTTGTATGGCTCTCGGAGGGCTTAGCAATTCAGTCTGTAGTAGGTCATAAATCATGTCCAGTCAGTCATTTATGTCCAAATCTTATATCCAATCTTCACTTCCAGTGAGTATGTAGTCTTTGGAGAAAAAGCACATACCGGGTTAGAGGGGACATCGGCTACTGCCTTCTGAGCAAAGCGATAGGCAAGTGTCCCAAACAACTTGCGGTCCATGTCCGAGCTAGCCACGTCATCTGAAACGAGATAACAGAGGAAAATAGCCCAGAAATAGTACTTTCGCTCCCGAGGAAAGTTCTTTTGAAGACTCATTGCAGCCTGTAGTAAGAACAAAGGCACTCATTAGCAACTTGGGCCTTGATACGATGCCAGTGTAGCATGTGCTTCTTCCCACTCACTTTCTGGGCTGACTTCCAATCACCAGCCTCATATCCGAACGTGAACCACCTCATCTGAAGAGCATGATCTTGTGGTTTTGCCTTAGCTGCTCGTTCCCATATGGCACTCCGAAGCTCGGTATGGTCATCCATCTTCCGCAGCGTGCGATGGAGTATGTCGAGAGAGTCTAAATCCGAGATTGGTGGGTCGGCATTGCACAGCTCGATAGTCTCTGCAATTCCTTTCTTTTTATGGGTTTCATCCGCATGGTTGAAGAGGACATTCGCTTTCCAGGCCTATTTTCTTGTGGTCTCACGTGTTAGTTGGTCCCGTACTTGTGACAGCGTCGCGGCGATGGTAGATCTCAGAATGAACAATGCTATGGATCACTCGCCTTCAAAAACTGAGTATTCTCGCCTTTCTTCATGCGCTTCTCGAGCAGCTGTAAGGCCTGTTTCATGTTCTGTGAGTCAATGGCATCTTGGATTTGGTTGTTGCGACGCAGAAACACCGCGTCATTGTTAGAGCTCATGGTGTAGGTGTTGTTCAATTTGCGGGAAAACTATTCAATCGGCGTCTTTCGCAGAATATTCTGATCACTGTGCAAAGCACAGCATGGGCTAAAAATGGTCAATGATCTGAGTTGAAGTTGAACGATCGACTCCGGTCACTTTTTTATTTGGCGGGGAAGGAGACCAAATGGTAGGCGGTCAGTTGGTCCCCGCACCATACTGCCGGCAAGAAACCAACATTTGAAGTATGCGTTGTATGCACCATCGATGTATGTTGTTCAAAAATAGAAATGACATGGATGACAGATGTATAAAATAAAAGCAAGCTGTTTCAATCAGAGCTTTATATTTTTATATACAGTATAGCCCCTATGTAGTAATTAGGATACGAGGTCGCACTTGAAAACAATGAAATTAACCCATATCAAAATCTCGAGACATCCACCCCGACCTCGGGAGGCTACCTACTGCTTCCAACCTTAAATAGCTCTAACGTATGTGTATTTTTAGACTTTGATTGTTTATTTTTCATTTGTATCCCGAAGGTTGTGTTAAGCTAAATATGAATCTCAGAAGCTCTACGTCTGGCCAAGGTAGATAAGACCCCAAGGTTATGAAAATGTTAATGTACAAGCTTGAAATTATTCGAAAGATAGTGCGATGCGCCAATAGAAGTCAGGCCGCAGGAAAAAAACCCCCAAAAAGAGAAAGCTGCTTATCTCGCAGGTCAGCGCCGGACCATGAAACGTTTCGACTTGCCAGAAATAGCATTTTTTACCAGACTCGCAAGATCGCGATGCGCAACAGTAGTTCGAATCACATAGCTGTTCACGACAAAAAAAAGCTAGGATATTGGCTTTGGGAGGCTTCAGATTATTGGACTGATAAAAGAGCACACCTTCCGTATTGACATGCAAAACTACTTTGCGGATGTGAGGGATCTTGCCAGCAAGGAGATTGGTCGATCTTCTCAGTAAGCATAATCCGGTATGATAGAGGATGTCTCATTTGGGCTGAGGCGTCAAAGAAACTTTCTTCTGGGTGAGCTGTGCCTTGTTAGCGACCGAATATACCCCGACGTCCATCGATAATCAAAGTCGATGGAATGGATCTCGAAGGTAGAATAAAAAAAACTGCAAGAGACAAGAGATTGAGGCGGTAATGATGAAGATCTGTATTCAACTTACCCAGTTCTTTTTGCAATCACGATAAGCTCTAGACAAAGTAATCAGTCAGTAAAAAAGCTCAGACGTATGATAAACATGACAATATCATGCGAGCTAGCCAGAAGTGGATCAAAATCCAGATACATCCATCGCATGGAGGGCAAGTCAAAGTATTGATCAAATCACATGAAGTTCTGACATACTGAAAATAATCGTGGCACATTTCGCGCTCGAAGGCATTCCGTTTCATACACTTGAGACTCCGATCCGCAAAGTCTTGGCATGGGTCGTAGTACTCGCTAGCATGTTTACTAAAATCACAAGTTAGCTATCAGTATGGATAATCGCCACACGCATTCAGGCCAATGAATATGCAACTACCGGGCTAGCCTCTCAAGACCCCATAGTCCATCTACGGACCGCGCCCACGATCATAGGTAACTTCAGAAACGCCATATTACATTTTGAAAAGGGATAAACAAAAAAGAGGTGGACCAAAGAACCATTGGAACATACTGTGTGAACTTCCTCTCCGCTTTCTCCCACGTTTTGTCGTGGGAGTCTCCTTGGGTTGACGTTGACTCGGCCGCCATTGTCGCAGTGAGTTTGTATATCTCCTGTGTTTGGATGGGATAATGAAATTGAATTAATCAAATAAAATAGAAAGCCAAAGCGTTGCTCGAAAATCAGATTGGAGGTGGAGGTTGATTGGAGCAGAAGTTAGTGTTGGACGCAGGAAGAATTGGGGATCCGCAGTCTTGGCGCGGAGATCCGCCAATACCCCAACCATAAGTCCCGAGGTCCGCATAACACCATGTATTTATCTACTGATTTCAATTCCATATAATTCTAAAAGGAAATATCTACATATGCATAATATTTAGTTTTGTCTAATTTGACCCACTAAAATATTTAGGTTAAGGTTCCATTTCAAAGTGCAAAGTTCTAATCCGTCTATATATATTTGTGAGCACTACCTACAGCATATGAATGATAACGTAGTAAAAAATGTAGAGGTGCTTTGCGGTATGTATCTTTTTGCTCCAGTACAATACCAAGAGATGTGAGATTACTCTGCAGAAACATGTAGAGACAGTCCATCGATAGAGCCGAGCTCTCATCTCGTCGCCGATTAAATTCCAGCCTTGTCAACAAATTCAATAGTGGCCGCAATCTTTGAGCAATATGTAAGCTGTTAAGACCGAGGTCTGTCTACAAATGACACCGGCGCTAATATGAGCAGTGAATGCAAAGTAGATACTGGAAAAGTACTTTGTTAAAAAAAAGCAAACTCAAGTGGTAGCCCATATTGAAAGACTGAGACGCATATAGCATACTGAAAATGCCACGGGATTAGCCCAAGGACCACGTGCCCAGCCCTGTTATTAATCATTGTTCCACTTACCCGTTTACCCTCCCCCAAATACCCCCACTATCCAACCTTGATTAGGATCAATCCTTGTCTTTGTATAAGCATCACATGTCACTAGAAGAGGCGTCGATGGACAGTTCGTCGCGGGACTCTGAAGAGATGAGATACTTCCATACTTCAGAAAGGTCGTAAACACCGGAAGTATTGATTCGAGCGAGAAAATAGACTTGGCATGAGACTGGAGGATCGACTCGAATATCTTCAACCGAAACAACACGGAGAGAGAGAACAAAGATAGAAACATGGGCGTCAACAGTTCTTCCAAGGATCTATGGAAGAACGGCACCGAGGCCGCTATCAACACCACAGAGATAGCGACGAAAATCCCTGTGATAAGCAACCCTATTGAAATGGTTACACTAGTCTATATCCAAAACGAGTCAAAATTTCCACTCGATAGCATACCGGAGCATCAATGCTAGTATTGTATCGGTAACACCCTAGGTGGTGTTTTGTATTTATCCCCCACGCCCGTTTGATCTTAAGAACTCCCATGGAGCCCTATGGGGAGTGATTTTGTGGCAATGGAAGCCAATGAGGTTCAAGTCCCCGGTGGCATACCCTGTTGCTTCGAGATGTGGGTGGAGCATTGATCTATGAGTCATGCTAAACCGAAATTGGGAACAATTTCCATAATCATCGATGGTAATCTTGCATGCATAGAACATGAGGCCTGTCCCCTGCTTATCTGGCTCGCTAGATGGTCGGTTATGCACAAAAGTTGATGAAGTCACGGATGGTGCTCGTATTGAACGAAGCTTAATATCTTTGTCGTATTGTCATTGCTAGCAAGAGGTCGAGATTCGATTGGGCGATGAAGACCTGATCGAAGGTATAAATTCGTCTTTGCCTCTGCTGTTCTGAATAGTTTGACATGCTCACTTATATTCCAATATTCCATATTACACACCTTAAAATAACATAGATACTCTCCAATTATTACTTTCCCCAATATCAGAGTCCGGCAACTTTGAGGTCTTGAACCAGAGATAGCAAATGTATGTTCGGTTTTATCCCACCCCGAAACGAAGGTAATGCTCCTTTTGGCAAACATATAATTGATTGTCATGGAGTATTGTCTCTTTCGGGATAGAAGTTATGAGAGAAAGCCATGAAGCTCATGATCTAGCATCAAGATGGCGACCGTGGAAACATTGACTTCCGCCCCGATACCTTCGTCGGCAGCATGGTTCCAAATCGGCAAGCGGCCATTGCTGGCCAGTAACAAAGAGGGTTTCCCGTCGAAGAAAGTTGCCTCAATGCCAGAATTTGTCACATTTGATGCGTCGAAACATCTGGAGTTCACCCCACCCTCGAAACTGTACACGATGGAAGAGCTGGGCTTCTCTGGTAGCAAAGGGGTTTCCCCTATCGGTGTATCGGAACCGTTCTCACTGTTCTCTGCCGAAGCTGTCCAGCAAATGAGAAAGGAGATTTTGAACCCGGAGGTGCGAAAAAAGTACGAATATTCGAGTGACCTGGCCCAATGTCAACTGAGAGGATATGCAGCGGAGTGAGTCTAGCATATTGACCCATTTATGGGATAAGGTGCTGACCCTTTTAAAAGCTGTGCACCGTTCATTTATGATGCATGGAAAAGTCCCGAGACTCTAGAGATTGTCTCAAGTATCGCTGGCGTTGATCTTGTCCCTGCCATGGATTTTGAGATTGGCCACATCAATTTTTCCGTGAGCAGCGAGGAAGATAAATCGAGGGATCTTGCTGCTGCGGCAGAGAATAAAGAGCGCAAGGCCAGAGGGGAGTTGCAAGAAGATGAAAGTCCTATCGTGGACTGGCACACTGATAGTTACCCGTTTGTTTGCGTGACTATGCTGTCCGATTGTACCAACATGATCGGTGGCGAGACCGCTCTCAGAAATGGAAACGGTGAGGTGGTGAAGGTCCGCGGGCCGCAAATGGTAGACATTTTATCCGTCATATTACCAACTTTGGAACACTCCAAGCTTACAAAGGTGGATAGGGCTCGGCCGTGATTCTGCAAGGTCGGTATATCGAGCATAAAGCGCTTCGGGCACTGGGTATGACAGAGCGGATCACAATGGTAACATCTTTCCGTCCCCGATCGTCATCCATAAAGGATGATAGTGTTCTCACAACGGTTCGTCCCGTCTCAATACTCGGTGACTTGTATCATCAATTTGCGGAGTATCGCTTCGAGATGCTTCAGGATCGATTCCGTGATGCCAATCGGTTCATGCGGGACCAGAAAAGAGCAAGGCGTCAATTTGATACGGCCAGTCTCAAGCTGTTCATTCGCGAACAGATCGATTTTTTGGAGCATATGGATAAGGAGATTGTTGAAGATGACAAAGTCCAGAAGGGCATGTCCGATGGCAATCACCTTCGCTCGGACGAACTAAAACAGCAATGGAACAAGAAACAGCTCCACACTGCTAAAAAGTAAAGCTTAGTACCAGGGAAGCTACAAATACTTGGCCTGCTCTGGCCATATGGCTCTGACGAGCTTATGATGAGATGATCATTGATTTTGAACGATTTGATTGCTGCTTTCATTCTTGCGGGTCTTTTCTTGGGGTCCTTGGGTCACGATTTGACGTTTTTGTTTCGTTATATGGGAAATTGAAGTTGTTTGGTTTTCACTAAAGAAGATATTGAGAAATAAAGGCAGTTGCTCGGATATTGGAATTAAATGAGTATTTTCTCCAAGTTAATCAGACCCTAGAGACATAAACTCCCTCAAGTTCAATCACAGGCTTTGAAGGCTCTTGAATCGTGCTGCATAGGGTCTTTGATGATCTGTTAGTGAACCAGTTGATGCAAGATCTAGATGCGCAAGTGAGGTCGAATTTACTTTGATCGGCTATAATGTTGAAGAAAGATACAAGTCATTGGCTCACATGGTCTTGTCCTAGGAACCAAAGATAAAGCGAAGTCAAAAACGGGCGACTTCTTTGTGTTATAAGGGTCTGCGAAGGCTTCATTCATATAGAAAAGTCCCTTCACCTGTAAGAGGTGTACAGTTGCACTTGACATGCAGATTATTTTCACAAAACCTTTGAGAAAGTTCGACAAGTCCAAAATTAGTGACTGTCATATGAAGACCATCGATAAAAGAAAGTGACGAGTCACTTCCAAAGTTGCCAGGTCGAAGCTCCTTGGGGCCCCTTCCTCATGATTATGTGATTTCTTGCCTGAGGCCACCAAAACATCTGCCCTCTCACTTAAAGAATCTGGGCCATATTGTTGCTCTTCCTCGAGCCTTTCTCTCAATCTCAGACCGTCACGCTATCTCTCGCAGCGTTCTTCGACTTCTTAGCGTTTGTTTCTGCGAAAACTTGTTGATTACACCTTGCCACTTCGCGAAATTTTTACTTTCCGGGACCCCCACCGCATCCTGTCGACACTCGCGCATTCGCCTCAAGAAGCCTCACACGCACCCCGCTGATGGGCCACACCCCTAGGGTGGAAATAACAGCTCTTGAAGAGCCCCAGAAGGTCAGAATGACAGCTAGAAGTGGTTCTGGGGCCGAGGCATCGGGGGTAAGTCAATTCCCGCATCTGATTGAAGTGACTGAAAACTGTGGACTAACGCGCGTTATACAGCTGGTCAACACCCTCCAAGGCCATGTCGATGATATTCGCACTCTAATACAGTGTGGTATATGCATCCGTCCTCTTTACGAACCGTTTACTATCGCCTGCGGGCACACTTTCTGCTACTCAGTGAGTTTCATTATATTTCACTATCTCGTTGATGCTATTAGCTGACCGGAATACTTCATAAAGTGTCTATCATCATGGTTTGCTGGTGGAAGATCAAAGCGAACATGCCCGGATTGCCGAGCACCCGTCAAAACCCAACCAGCACCAGCTTATTTGGTGAGCTCTAAGAATCCAATTTTTAATTTATTTCATTGTATCTGACAAATCTCTCATGTTCCAGGTTCGGGCTGTTGTGCAGATGTTCACAGGTCGAGCTGAGCTTTTAGACAAGGGAGAAACGACCACAGAGCATACAAAGAACCAAAGGGACGAAGCAGAAAGACTAGACCAAGATAAGGCCAATAATCATCCAACCGAAGGAGGTCTATTCGGGGGTCTTTTCAAGCCCAAAGCTCCCCCACCCAAACCTTTCGTTGACACTGAGGACGGAGTCGTTCGATGTCCGCTCTGCTCGTGGGAATTAGAAGGAGACAATTGCGCAGGATGCGGCTATCGATACCGGCCGGGTTCTGAGGAGACGGATGACAGTGACTCAGCCGACTTCAGTGAGACTGACCTAGACTCGCTGGATGATGATATGGATGAGGAAGAGGAAGAGGGCGAGGGCGAGGGCGAGCTAGGGGGATCTGACCACTTCGACGACATCGACGACCATGATGGTGTTTGGGGAAACTTTGCGCTTCACTATTACGGGCCTACCTTCCCTGGACGCCCTAACTGGCCCTCAGGTGCTGGCCGGCAGCTTTTCGATCGCCTTGAAAACTTGATGGATGGACCTGGCATGATCCCATTGGCACCGCCGGTCCCAATGGGTCATGGCAACTATTTCGTTTCAGGTAACACCAATGGGACTGAATACGACGAAGAAGAGGAAGAGGAAGAAGGCGAAGAGGAGAATGAGTATGACGAGTCAGACTCATTCATCGATGCTGAAAACGACCACCCGCCCACAAGTTCCTTCATTGAAAGTGATGCCCATCGCCTCGGGAGTGGCGATATGTATGAATCTGAATCAGACCGTTCCACCGGTACCGTTGTAGATGATGTTGAGGGTGGCCACCATCCCATACCGACTGGGCTTAATTACAGAAACACCACACCTTACTTTGACGACGAGGCTTCTGAGGAAGAGGACGAAGAGGAAGTCTCAGGGGAATCGGACGATAGAGAGATGGTCGAGGAAGATTCGGAAGATTCGGAAGAATCTGACGAAGACGCAATCCAGACGGCACCGCCTCGTCAAGCTCGTCTACAATATCCACAGCAGTCCCCCTGGTTCCAAGCCCCCAGCAATGCTCCATGGCTTACCGCGAGGCCTCCACCTGAATCAATTCCTGACTCATCCGAGGAAGAGGAATCTTCGCCGCCTGTTAGGCCTGCTAGATCAACTGCGCGCCGTTCTATCCACAATGGGACCACTGCCCACAATGCGATCACCCTCGATGATTCCGACGAAGACCAGCCTGTCGGTCCAGTGAGAAGAACTACACAGAGGCGACGTGCTAGGTTCTCCCCATATTAAAGAAATCTTTCAACCGCCAACGCGGTATTTGCTTTCGCATCTTATCGACCCTCTTAATGTTTTGTTTTGGGTTTTGGCTTCAGCGCGGCGCTTGGGTAATGCTAAGAGGACTGTGGACATGGTTGGCGTTGTTTTTTTCCCTTCATCTTGATATCAAAAGCACGACCTTTTTTCGCTTTTTTATTTCCCTCTTTTTTCCTTCCGACGCCTTCAACGGCTGGACCCCATCCTCATGTTGTTTCTCACTGGCTTAGCCGTACTCTACGAATACCCCTACTTATCCTTTGCCGGTTCGATCTTGATCTTTTGTTGCCCTTTTCCATTGCAGTCGAAGAACTTAGTCTCTTAGCACTCAATAAAAAGTGGCCAAAAAATCCATTATCAGATCACATGAAAAATTCACCGGGCCCTATTATATCAAGTCCCTACTTTTCATATCTTATACTCTTACCAAACTTGCTCGTAGAGCGCACTAGCTTACTTCGTAGTGTTATTGTTAATATTACTTGTGTCTGAATGATACATAACTACATGTATCTACAACAGTCTACGAGTTTATTTCGAAAAAACAAATGCATCTGCCACTGACCCACCTGGTAGACACCCTATCTGAAAGCAAAGTAAACCGACAAGAACAGCCAGCAAACATTTTCATATAACGCATACCCAGAATTCGTAGGAATCCTTGGCTATCATTGGCTGCTGAAACAACGAACATTACGAGATTAGATGGAAGCAATATAAGATTGTAGTGCCTTTACCCTAATCACGGGGTGTACTTTTCACGGACAATGTTGCTTGAAATAGGGATATGATTGAATACTTCAATGCACCGAAGAAATCCGGTAAATATGCAAAAATGGTAAAATACACAGATGTGACTCCAAATACACCTGACCCCGAGCAACGCTCCCCATTTTACTCGGTCAATGACCAAGATCGAGACAAGAAGATTATGAACAAAATTTATACATCAGCCTTCACGGTGTCATTAGTAGCAAACGGAACTTCAAAGACAACAGCACCATTGCGGCCTCCCGAAGTGGGGCCCTCATGGAAATTGTTGTTGAAGCACTTCCACCGTGCCAATCGGTGCTCCTTGCCGACAGCGGCGATGATGGACAAACCACGAGGTTCGTGCTCGGTTTCGGACTTTTTAGATTCAGCTCCGGGCATATCAGATTCAGGGCGTCGTTCGAAGACAGCGATGTCGTTGATGACACCCTTAATCAAAGGCTCTGGCTCCTTTTGTTCAGCCGCAGGGGTGGCATCAAGAGCAAGAGTCTGGTTGAGTTGCTGCGAGGGGGTGTCTGGTGGTGTCACGGTACTAGGTAAGCCTGCACCGATGGGACCCAGAGCGATAAGGGTCTTTTTATCTTCTGAGACGCGCCATGCGCGAATGAAACCGTCCCAGCTGCCACTGAGGACAACATCGGTACCCGGTAGAGTAGCGAGTGCGGTAATCCAGCGGGGCATGGGGCGCATGTGGCGCGTGTTGTGGGCGGCAGTCGCCTCGTCTGTCTCGGGTGATAACACATTCAGAGGGGGGATCGGGTCCAAGCCATGAGCAAGACGGACGGTGTAGAGTGGCTTCTTCTTGTGGACCGACCAAAGGCAGAGGGAGCCGGAATCTGAGCCAGTGACGAAGTGAGTGGGTGGAAGAGGGGCAATGCAGTCGATGTTGCTTTCGTGGTAAGGGGCATTTCTTGAAGCGCCGCCGCGGAACACGAGTTGTGTTTCCTCAACAACTTTCCACAAACGGGCAGTGCGATCCCGAGCACCAACACTGACACATTCATCAATGGTCATGGCAGCAACTCCGGTGACATGATCCTGGTGGCCGAAGAGTGTTTCAACATAGGCGTGACCCGCTCCGCTGATAGACCATGTCTTAATTGTGCGGTCGTACGAGCCGGAGAACAACTGCTCTCCGGAACTCATCGTGGAGATATGGCGGGCAAAAGACAAGCTGCAAACCGAGTCTCTGTGGTGCAAGAAAGTCTTGCTTGGCGTCAAAGTCTCTGCGTCCCAGATGATAAGCTTATTGTCCGTTCCGCCGGTGGCCAAGAATTTTCCAGAAGGCGAGACAGCAACAGATATGATGCTTCCTGTATGTCCTTGGTCCTCGCCTGATTCGCCAACTTTGCGCATACCACGAGCATACTTCACACGCTTGGGCTTCTTGCGCTGGGGACGCGGGGGCCGCTTGGAGGTATCATTATCGCCGGTCGATTCTGTAGAGCTTGGAACACTAGGTGTAGCCAATTCCCACTTGGTCAAAGTCTTATCCTTGGAAACAATGTAGACAAATGGCGGGTGGACTGCAATGGCAGTGTTTGACTGGGTATCTGAGCGGAAAAAGGAATGGGGCGCCGTGGGAACGGATAGTTTTGCAGCGATTTGACGGAACGTCCGTCCTTTGAATTCATCGACATCCTTCTTCAATCGCTCCGCAATCAAGTCTCGGTCGATATCTGCGGCATCAAATCCAGCTTCGTCGACTTCTTCTTGAATGTTACCCAGGTAGCGTTCAGCGAGTTTCAATCTTCGATCCGCTGCGGTTTCGCCATCTTCGGAGTCCGATCCACTTTCGTCGCCTGACTCTGCCGTATCGATTGCGGCATCTTCATCCAAGTCGCTGCCTGAGATCGATTCTTCTCTCTCTCTGGTGCGTCGACCACCGTCGGTTTTGGCATCTACGCCTCGCTTTTTCGATCCTGGGGCTCCGGCGCGGTCGTCTCTCTTCCTCTTGCGCTGGGAATTGGGTACAGTGAAAAAGGACGACATGGCGACGTTTTGTCAAACCTGTCAGTTCTTGATCTCTGTATAAAGAAATCGAATGTATGGCGTTCTGGAAAGACTCGGACTGCGGAGATCAAAACTTCAACTTTTTTTTGGCAGAAAAAAAAAGCGCTAAGCGGCGGCTGACTCAGCAGGTAGCTGACCTCACGGGAGCTCCAGGCGTCAAGCTCACCGCGCGGTCCTCCTCACTTAACCACTACTCCCCTTCGTCTTCTCTGATCATCTACTTGCTTGTTATTTTTTTTATTTATCTCCCATACCGCAAATATGTAAGTTTATGGCAATCTCGCTTCTACAAATGGTCACTTACAGTTCGCTAGGGAGGTTCTTTTGGGTATCGCCGGCAAGGACTTCGTCATTCTTGCTGCATCCAAGGCCGCAATGAGAGGCCCGACAGTTCTCAAGGCCGAGGATGATAAGACACGACAGTTGAACAAGCACACATTGATGGCCTTCTCTGGCGAGTCTGGAGATACCGGTATGTAGCTTCTCCGATGAGATAAACAAGATGCTAATGAGATACCTATGCTAGTTCAATTTGCCGAATACATCCAAGCCAACGCTGCACTCTACAGCATGCGCAACGACACCGAGCTCAGTCCCTCCGCCGTCGCCAATTTCGTCCGCGGAGAATTGGCACGCAGCTTGCGGTCACGGAGTCCCTACACAGTAAACCTGCTGCTAGGTGGTATAGATCCAGTCACTGAGAAGCCTCACCTGTACTGGGTTGATTATCTAGCGTCACTGGCGCCCCTACCATATGCTGCCCACGGCTATGCCCAGTATGTTCCATGGTCCGCGGTGATGGACGATATGAAAGTCCAGGCGAGAGATAACTGATGCTGACTCTGCTAGATACTACTGCCTCGCTATCCTTGACAAACACCACCACCCCGACTGCTCCCTCGAGGAGGGCCTTGCGCTCCTCACCCTGTGCACAGACGAGCTGAAGCGCAGACTACCAATTGACTACAAAGGCGTAAGTTATTTAGGAAGCTATGCTCAAATGCCGTTATGCTGACACAATTTTCCACAGATGCTGGTGAAGGTCGTGACGAAGGATGGTGTGAAAGAAATCCCTGTGGATAACGATAAGGTGGTCCGGAGTGCTTGAAGGTCGACATACCACGGCGTTTGTTGTATCACATCTTATGACGTTTTTCCTTGATTCTGAGATAATCGAACGGTCGGCATGATTTAGGCTGTAGCAACTTTGGAAGTCAAGTAAGGAGTAGATTCCTAGATAGTCTTGAATGAATAATAGGCAAATACAACCCTATAAGCTCACCGCTCGAAGTGAATAGCATTTTGTATACGGAGTAGAACGCTTGGCATTGGTCTGACCATGGGCGTTTGACTTGTTTGCAACTGAGTCGCATCCCGAGCTCTGGAAAGTCGAGAACTCCGGGACCACCAACTTTTCGATCCAAACCATCTCACAATGTCGAAAAGACCCGCAGAGCTTCCCTTGGAGCAAGACTTCTCTGGCTCACCTGTATCGAAAAAGGCGCGCGTCGAGGACGACAATGACCTCGATTCCCGCAACGGCGCAGTGCCCGCATTCCCAACGAGCAGCGAAGAGCTGAGACAGGATCGCAATGATGTGGATGTCCTAGGAGCAGCTGAAATAGAAGGAGAGGAGCTCCAGGAGGGCGAAAAAGATCCCTCCGGGTTCTCGGATATTGACGAAGATGCACCTGCACTCAGCGCTCCGAAGCGGCAAAGCGCTCCCATGGAAGGCTACGGCGACCTGTACCTAGACACGATCAACCGTGAAATCCTGGACTTCGACTTCGAGAAGCTGTGCTCCATCAGTCTGTCCAACATCAATGTGTACGCATGCCTCGTCTGCGGCAAATACTTCCAGGGTCGTGGTCCAAAATCGCATGCATATTTTCACGCCCTTGAAGTTGGACACCACGTCTTCATCAACATTGGCACGAAGAAGGTCTATGTTCTGCCTGAAGGATACGAAGTAAATAACAAGAGTTTGGAGGATATCAAGTATGTGGTTGATCCACACTACACAAAGAACCAAGTGGTCAAGCTCGATAGGGAGGTGCATGATGCCTGGGACCTTTCTGGATCGAGGTACAGACCAGGTAAGAGCCTGTACAGTGATAAGATCGAAAGGGGGCTTTTTTGGGGGCTAATTGTTATACTTTCCAGGGTTTGTCGGCATGAACAACATCAAAGCCAACGACTACGTTAATGTAGTAGCTCAACTACTGGCACACGTTTTGCCAATTCGCAATTTCTTCCTCCTCCACGACTTCCCTACGCCTGGCACACCAGAGATAATTCTTCGTTTCAGCACGCTGGTGCGCAAGCTATGGAACCCCAAGGCGTTCCGGTCACATGTGTCTCCGCACGAGTTACTACAGGAGATTGCCGTGCGATCCTCGAAACGGTTCACTCTCACAAACCAGGCAGATCCCGTGGACTTTTTGTCTTGGTTCCTCAACTGCCTTCACCTCGCCTTAGGAGGGTCCAAGAAGCCCTCACCAACACCCACAAGTGTTGTTCACGCAGCGTTTCAGGGCCGTGTACGGATTGAAAGCCAAGCTATCACCGCTCACTCCGACACCCAAAACGCCCGTTTGGTATTCACTGAATCTGGCACAATCAATAGCCAGGTCACTCCTTTCCTCATCCTCACATTGGATCTACCCCCCACACCCCTCTTCCAATCTGCCAACCGGGAGTCGATTATCCCACAGGTTCCCTTGACTACCCTGTTGAACAAATATAACGGCTACACGGCGTCAGAGAAACTGGCCCACCGTGTCCGACACCGTCTCCTCCACCCTCTTCCTCCTTACCTTTTCTTCCATATCAAGCGCTTCAGCAAGAACCGCTTTGTTTCTGAGCGAAACCCAACCATTGTCACCTTCCCCTCTCCGCACAACTTGGATATGTCTCCTTATGTCGAGCCAAATCCCAATATTTGCTCACCCGGCGAGCCAATCCTCTACGATCTTGTCGCAAACATTATCCTCGATCCCGCCATCGCTGCACCCGGTGCAATGGATGATGCTGTGGATAAGGGCATTAATGCTGCGTCAGGAGCCGGCGGTTCTTCCAGCGGAGCAGGTGGTGGCAGCGAGAAGGTGTCATGGCTTGTCCAGCTTCATGATAAAGCTATGGAAGCCGAGAACACTCGCGCTAAGAACAGCGGTTCCACAGAGAAGCAGCAGCAGGGCCCTGAGTGGCTTGAGATTCAGGATTTGTTTGTCAAGCGCGCGGAAAGTGAGACACTGTTTACTCGCGAAGGATATCTCATGGTCTGGGAGCGGCGCAAGGTGCCGGGAAACAAAGGAAAGGGGCGTGTATGATCTGAGATGGTTACACCTGAGTTGGCTTGGGCTTTCAACTTGCTATTGTCTTTTACGTTTTTTTGTGTTTGAGAGTAAATGCAATGTACCATCAAATAATGACGACATTATGCTTTTGTTTGTTCAATATCTTCCACTTTCTATATATTTGGTCGGTACACTATTGGTCAGTCAATTCAAAAGAATCTACACAACAAATGAAGGGGAATTGTGAACTAGGTACCTTTAAAGGTTAACCATCGCTTTTTCTTAGGACCAAACAGCTCTATGACAGTTTAAGTATTGGCAAGGCCAGAACATCTTAGGAAATTTGGATGTGTGAGCACTAATCCTAGGATTAAACGGCATTTCTCGACTAAAGTCATTTTCCAACTCTTCTATAATCTGGTAACTCAAATTCTATCCTGTGCTTTGGTTTGAGAGGGATAGATGTCCAGACCCGACAACTTTCTACGATAAAATCAACCAGATGTCAAGCTTCCAGGAGTGTGGAAGATGGAAGAGAGCAGACATTTTGAGGGTTAGGAATAGTTTTGATTTTGATTCTAGCTAGAAAGGGGACCCCGTTAGAAAACACCCTCATTACTTCTCGAATTGCATATCGACATATCGACATACTCCACTTGTTACTATGTAATCATTGAGACTACAATTGAAATAGAGGAAATGTGGTAGACCTAGGAATTGAAACGGCTAAAAGAAACAAATATTCATTACAAGGTTCCCCAGCCACAGAACTTCCTCCCTATCCGCATCGTCGAGCCCACCAGGAACCCCCAAATCCCCGCTCTCATCGCAACTTGCATTCCTCTCACGAGAACGAGTCGGCAGGAATAGGAACATATGTCTGGCCAAGTTCGTCCGCCAAACCAAAGACCCAACGGATGGACATCTGAGAGACGCATAACGGAGGAAGGGTGTGAGATAATCCAGGATCGGGTCAATGAGCGAAGGTAGAGTGCTTCAAGCGGTGCGAGTATGATGCCGCTGATTGCAGCGGCGAGATGGGATGCGAGGGAGTCCACTGGATATGCCGAAAGAAGAGTGACGCGGTGGACTTCAGACAATGTGTTCGTCAGTTGCCTAGGAATCAGGGAGGAGGGTAGAATTGGCTGGACAAGGGTGTCGGATTGGGCGTCTTCATTATGGTCTGCATCTGCGACAAGGTTTGATTCATTGGTGGGCTCATCGTCATTTGGTTCTTCCACGCCATCTGGGAGAATGTTTGGAACCCATGACCCTAATGCTTCCTCAATTGACTCTAAATTTGGGGCGTCGGTGGCTTGAGTTTCTGGGGCCGGAATTTGGGGGTCTAATTCAGGGGCACCCAAGTCTTGAGGGGGAGTGTTGGATGGTCCGGCAGTGATATTTGAGAGGCCATCCGGATCTTCTGCCGCTAGAGGCTGCTGGGCCTGGCGCTGGGCCTGACTTAAGATCAGAGCTTCAAGGAACTCGGCTATGGATCGTCTGTCCATGGCATCTGGATTTGGATTTGATGGTGACACATTATTGCCCGCTAGTGCATTCAGCTGAGCAGGATTTGAGGGTTGGATCTGCGGTTGACGGTTCTGATGGCCCATCAACTCAAGCTGCATCGTGATAATGTCAGAGCTTTGGTGAATCAAGGATGCTCTTACGCGAGGCGACGTGGGAGGTGATGTTTCTGGTGATGACGAGCGAGAGAAGAGAGTATTAGATCGCGAGCTCTGTCGGTCCGTAGCAAAATCCTCACCATTTTGCAAAGAAGCTGTTTCGTCCTGCGGGGTTGAAGTAGCCGAGAGACGACTCGTTTGTCCAGCAGTGGCTATCTCGGAGAAATAGTCGTTGCTCATTTCCCCAGGCGATTGAGACATACGGTTTTCATTTGTAAGCACCTGATTCAACCCGATAACCGATTCTGCCTGAGTCAAATGCGTGGGTCGACTTGCATCCTCTGGTCGTGATCGTGCTCGTGATGCAAGAGCGGCAGCCTGGGCATCGGGAGTGATCCCCGGCGGCCTAGGCACGGGATCATTTGGCCCTTCTTCGGCAACAAAGTTGTTCTGGACTCCGACAAGTTCGTTTTGCAACGACTCAATCGAATTGCGTAGATTTTGAAGCCTCTCATCACTCAGGGACTGGAGAGCTTGTTTCTCTGTCAATTGGTTCGATCTTAGTCCAAAAATAGATGATACCCATCTGCGAAATGTGGCCAGTTCGAACTTGATGTCTTCGAATAGTGTGAGTCTGCCGCGGTATAATTCTTCGTCTGATCTACGGCCCAGGGTGGGAACCACCCACTCTATCAGGTTTTCTTCAAAGGCAACGCGGACTGAGAGTTCATCCGGAAGGGCTGGCTTCGGAAGGTGTCGTCTGATCAACCGATAGATACGCTCCTCAAGCTCTGGTCGCAAGTAGTACCCATAGAGGAACACTAAAACGCCAGGGGAGATTAACAATTCCAAGAGCGAATTCCCCAGGGAGTGAGGGGAGAAATCAGTGGGCAGTGGTGGCAGTTGCAGCAAAGATTCTCTGCCAAAGGGAAGCAAAAGTTTCGCGCCGGGAATTCCATATGGAGACACAAGGGAAAGAGATTGGAGTGTGGAGTACATGTAGAACTCCATAGACAACATGAGCACAGCATTTCTCGCCCTTTAATCATGGTTAGTTGTCTTGGATATCTAAAGGGACGAAGAATATACTTACCCTGTATACAAAAGCCCGAAAAGAGAACGAACTCCGAGTGAGTCGCCTGTCAAAGACTGAACGTAATCCCGGAAAGAGACAAATATCCGTTTCAGCGGGGTTTCACGAGCTATAGCCAACCCACTGGACATTGCCCAGGCAGGAATTCCCGAAAAATAGAAGTTGAGAATTCCCGCGGTATCTCTCTCGGACTGTATGACACTGAGTAATGCGGAATGGGCATAATGCTGGAAAGTCTGAACATTCGAGTGTCAGCGCAATCAACATTTAGAGTAGTCGGTAGTGCATTTACCTGTACTCGACCGGTGACTGAAGAGGTCCACCAGGTACCAAAGAAGATGAACAGTTGATCAAGAGTTGTTATGACAAGTCCGAAGTCATTTTCACTCGCAATCTGGTTGATCTTTTGCTGTTCATTAGTGATGCTGGAATTTCGGTCTTCTCCACTGACGACAATCCCCATTGTTGAAAGGATATCATTCTTTGCTCTCCGGAGTTCTTTCCCTAGAGTTCTGGACTCGGGATTAACAGGGTGTCCTCGAGAATCATATTGCTGCATATAATTGTCTGCATGGACATTGGAAATGCGGCGGACTGGTGTGGAGGGGTCAACTGCCGCATTATCGGGAGCTTCGTATGGGGACCGGCCCTTGAAATCAGTCAATGTGATGTACAATCAGGTTTAGAACTACGCTCAATTAAGCATGTATGGCAAGACGCGTTTGGGATGGGTTTGTATATCAGGATAGAAATAATGAGACAGGGTCAGGTGGTGACTGGTTCGGTTTCAGAAGACTTTAGGCTTCTCGAGATAAAGCATAATCCATTGTCACGGTCCATAGACCCAAGGTTTTCAACTGCAAATATAGGGGGAGGTACGCGCGTAAAAAGGTGAAGCTTACCAAAGCGAGCCGGTTCAAATAAGCCTGTCGACCCATATCGTGCAAGGTCACTGGGCTAGTAGCGCAGCCACATCACCTTCTAGTATACCATTAACACAATACCTGCCGAGCCCTGTGGACTCAAAATAACAAGCGATGAAGTACAATCAGACGAAAGCCTGGCGGTTGAAAGTACACATGTGGTTAGTGATACGGCTACACTTGGCCTGAGGCACGAGCCATATCTTATCACCAAACAAACAGTGCAAACATCAAAAAAAGTTGCCCGCTCAAGCTGCCGTTTTTTGCGATCGTTCAATCTCTACGGCTCTTTGACTGGCCAATGGCGTGCTAAATTCTACGATTTTACGCCGAGATATTACAGAGTCATGTCGAAAGCTATTGTCAAAACCACTTTTGAGGCGTCCCGCACGCTCCGCCCCATTTACACCGGCGGTAGCACCGCGCTGGATGCCAGTGGGCGCATCTTGCTGAGCTGCGTCGGCGAGGATGCCTTGATCGTTGATTTGGAGACTGGTAACCAGCTTACTAGCCTGGAGGGGGTATGTTTTGTCACCTTGGGGATATTCGTCAATTGCAAAGCGCTAACCGCATAAACGCTGCAGGATGGAGAAATTGTCACAGGTTTGGCCAGTAAGTATTGCATGCCCAGGGAATGAGAATAAAACACTGACAATCTGTCCAGTCACGCCTTCCGCCTCACACGCCATTGTCTGCTCGCGCTCGATGTCCATGCGAATCTACGGCCTCTCAACTTTCGACGAAACTTCTCAGACCATTGAAGCAAAACTTCTCCGAACCCTTAAGCCTCACACAGCTCCCGTTGTGACCATTGCCGTTGACCCTACTGGCACACTGCTTGCCACTGGTGGTGCTGATGGCTCAATCAAGGTCTGGGATATCAGAGGTGGATTTGTCACTCACACTTTCCATGGCCATGGTGGTGTCATTTCTGCGCTTTGCTTTTTCGAGGTTCCTACTGCCGACAGCGATGCCAAGTCGTCTAAGAAGAACAAGTCCAAGCAACAGGCTACGGAGGATGATGACGAAGATATGGAGGGCTCTGCCCGTACGGTTTCCACAGCAGGATTCCGCCTAGCATCTGGCAGTGAAGATGGTAAAATGCGCGTATGGGATCTGCACAAGAGAAAGTCCATTGCGTCGCTCGAGTCACATGTTTCACTTGTCCGCAGTATGTCCTTTTCTCCATCAGAGAACGCATTGATCTCGGCCAGCAGAGACAAGACTGTCATCGTCTGGGATGCACGTACCTGGAAGACTCGCAGAATCATTCCTGTTTTGGAAAGTGTGGAAGCCGCGGCTTTCATTGCGGATAGCGGACTGTGCGTTATCGGTGGAGAGAACGGCAAGCTCCGAGTTTGGGATTGCAACCGTGGAAGCGAGATCACAGAGGAACAAGAAGCTGGAGAGGAGTTCGAAAGTGTTGTGGCTATCCAGTATTCGCCTGGTCTGCCTTTTGTCCTCACCGTCCATGCAGATCAGACTCTCCGCATCCACTCGCTCGAGTCGCTGTCTGATTATAAGCCAGGGTCAACTTTGGAGCCTTTGGCGATTATCCGCCGCATTTCCGGCAATGACGACGAGATCATTGATCTGGCTTACATCGGGCCTGATCGATCGATGCTTGCTTTGGCCACCAACACCGAGAGTATTCGTGTAGTTTCAGTTGCTCCCTCGGAAGACCGACCCTCAACTCAGGGAGAGGAGTACTTCGGTGCTGATGTCACACACCTTGAAGGCCACGACGATATTATCATTTGCATTGATGCGGACTGGTCAGGACACTGGCTAGCGACTGGTGCTAAAGACAACACAGCCCGTCTTTGGCGTATCGACCCGAAGACATCCTCTTATACTTGCTTTGCTATTTTCACCGGCCACGCCGAGTCCTTGGGAGCAATCGCCCTTCCGCGCGTGCCCCCTCCTGTTGGCAGTGCCGCATATAACGACCCCTTGAACCACCCGCCAGCATTCCTAATTACTGGCTCGCAAGATCGCACAATCAAGCGATGGGACACAAGCAAGTTAGCCCCACTGACAGGAGAAAAGCCACACTATTCTAAGGCCATCTATACTCGCAAGGCTCACGAAAAGGATATTAATGCCATTGATATCGATTCTACATCTGAACTGTTTGCCTCAGCATCACAAGATCGCACCGTGAAGATCTGGGCCGCCGACGAAGGCTCGTCGGTAGGTGTCCTCCGTGGCCATAAGCGAGGTGTTTGGTCGGTGCGATTCGCCCCGCAAGGCACACCGATCATCAACTCAGATTCACGTACTAGCACGAGCCGTGGCCTAGCAGTCACAGGCTCTGGTGACAAGACCGTCAAACTGTGGAGTCTGTCCGACTACAGCTGTCTCTTGACTTTCGAGGGCCACACCAACAGTGTTCTCAAAGTCCTCTGGCTCCCACCTCCGCAAGTCTCGAACAACCAAATCGACGATGACGAGGATGACGAAGAGGCCGCCACAGCGCGCAAAAACGCCATCCAGGACCGACCCCTTATCGCCTCCGCCGCCGCAGACGGCCTAGTCAAGATCTGGTCCCCCTACACAGGCGAGCTCGAAACGACCCTGGACAACCACATCGACCGAGTCTGGGCTCTTGCCAGCCCAACCCCATCCGGCTCACGCGCAGACGTGAAGCCAACATCCTCCAAGCTCAACACCACTCCCTACGCTATTGCCTCTGGTTCCGCCGACGCAACAGTGACCTTCTGGACCGATACTACATCATCCACCTACACAGCCGCTGTCAACGCCAGCTCTGCTCGCGTCGAACAGGACCAAGAGCTGCAGAACTACATCCGCGCCGGTGCCTACCGTGAAGCCATCACTCTGGCCCTGCAACTCAACCACCCGGGTAGACTTCTCTCGCTCTTCACCTCCGCCATCAACGCCGCAGACGACCCAACCGTCCCGGCCGAGGACCGCGAGCGTGCTGCAGCCAGTCTGTCCGGTAACCCGTCCATCGACGAAGTCCTGCAGAACTTGGACCCTGCCAATCTGCGCACACTCCTGCTCCGTCTCCGGGACTGGAACACCAATGCGCGCACCTCGCGCGTCTCACAGCGCATCCTGTATGCTCTGTTCCGCTCTTACCCTGCGTCTACTTTCGTGGAGCTTGCGACCCAGTCCGTTCGCGGAAAGGAGGGTCGTGCTGCGGCTGGTCTGAAGGATATCCTGCAGGCATTGGCTGCGTACACTGAGAGACACTACAAGCGTGTTGAGGAGCTGGTCGATGACAGCTACCTGGTTGAGTGGGTTCTCGGTGAGATGGATGGTGGTGTTGGACTTGGTGGACTGCGTGATTTGACTGTGGGCGATGTCAGTGACGAGGAAGAGCATGAGAAGGACGTTATTATGTTGGAAGCATAGTCTGGCTTTAGTCTTTTGCCTTGTTTGTACATTGAATTTGGCGCTTTCGTTCTTGGAGTACCATGGGTGGGAAGGATAAAAGCCATCTCTTTATAGAATTGAACAGTGTATCATGGAAAGTGTTCTTTGGCCAAAGCCATATATTTTTGATTGTTCAGGGTATCTCTTTTTGGATGAGTTTCGTGGTAAAATAACAGATGAAGGGAATATGTAGCTCCAAAGAAGCATCGATTTGTCCTGTACAAACGCCCCAATGCACTTCAATCCCCTAAGCTAAAACATCTAGCCTCTAATCATCGCGACGACTCCGACGAGAGTCGCGATCACGGTCACGATCTCGGTCTCGGTCATTCCGAGATGAGTGAGACGAGTGCCGCGAGCTGCTGTATCTATCATCTCGAGATCGATGGCTGCGGTCCCTGTCCCGCTCTCGATCTCCATCTCTCCTTCGGTCGTCCTTATCATCATCACGGTCCCGGCGACGATCCCGGTCGTGGTCTCGATCCCGATAGGAACGGTCGTCCCGTCTGCTTTTGTCGTCATCATCATATCGAGAGGAACGACTAGAAGACTGGCGGCCACTAGACCGACTGCGATCACGGTCACGTCGCGAGGACCCAGTCTTCCGACGAGAACGATCCTCCTCATCGTCGTAATCTCGTTTGCGGTATTCCCGGTCTCGATCCTTGTCCCGACCACTCTTCTCAAGGTTGCGATCCCGTCGCTCGCGCCAGTCGTCTTCCTTGGGAGGCTTGGACTTGGCCTCCTTTTGTAGAGCAGCGAGTTCCTCTTCGGTGAGTTGCTCGCCAGTTTTCTTATTCCGCATCGTGATAGGCATGTACACACCCTCAGCCTTGTCATTCTCCTCCCCCTGTTTCCTCGACGCCTTGCGCATAGCCGCTTTTCCCCAGGCTCCAAGTTCGGTTTCGGCTCCCTTGCCGCCGGAAGAATCCTTTGCGCCAATACCGAGGAACCCAGGTCGTCGTTCTGGGACACGAGGATTTTTCGCCTTCTCTGCAGCTGTGGCACTGCTGTAGTTGCCTCGTCCGATAGATTGACCATCCTTCCAGCCCATTCCTCGTAGCAGCGCAGCGCCGAATTCCTCGACAGGAATGGCATTGTAGGCGTCCAAACTGGCAGGCTCAGGTCGGGATGCCACATCTGTTCGGAAAGATCCGAGTTCGCTGTAGTGGACTGGTTCTTCCTCCCTTGTAGCAGACTCAATCACAAGATCTGACCTCCGTTCATTGTCACCCGTAGTTTCTCGAATCAGCGCCTGCATGGCAATCTCGTCGTCGGTGAGAGGCTTGGTCTCGACAGGTTTCGCATCGGGCATGGCCTGGTCTTGGTCCACTGCTGCGCCACTATCTGCCTTTTCTGCAGACTGCTGTGCAAAGCTCAAGCCGTACGCCATGCTGGGCGTATCTGTCTCTACTGTAGGCTCTCCGGGAGGTGCTTGTCCGTTCTTTTGCGCTTCCTGCATAGCCTGCACTTCGCTCGGCAGCAGGTTCTTGCCTTTCTTCACACCCGCCCGGTCGCGCCAGTTGTTCTTGCTCGTGACGGGGATGATCAGCAGCTTATTTGCGTCCGCGACTGCCTGTCCGTCCGCGGTTATGGCGGCGCCTGTGTGGGTGTCGAACCCTGAGATTTCTTCGTGGACCGGAGGGGCCTCATCTTCGTCGGAGTCATCGGCGTCACCGAGCTGGTGAGGTCGCCGGGGCAGCGACCGGCCGTTTGCTGGGGAATTTGTGGAACGGCCGCGATTTGAGGATTGGAGGTTGAAACCGGTCTTTTTCGGAGGACCATTTGAACTGGATAAAGATAGAGAGATTGGTTTGGACAGCGGTTTCCCGCCCTCGCTATGGCCACGCGAAGACATCGCAACGATGAAACGAATGAAGTGCTTAGTAGGGAAGAAAGAGCTCGAGGCGCAGTCGATAGTTGAGAGCTCGTGGGCGGTGGCAAAATTGGAAGCGCGCGGCTAAATCTGAGTTTCTATAGACGGCGGTAATCCAATCGACATAACATACTTCTCTACATACAACTTACGGATATTCATTGTCTAGTTCTTCATCAGAAATTGAGTGCCTTGAGTCAGACCATTAGCTAGAAATACAATAAATACACCATATGGGAAATACTCTCACGAAAATCACCTCATTCACCAACACAACCCTGCGAGGTGCCTTCCCTTTTGGGACAAAAATCGTCACCAACCCCAGTTCCCCCATGACCTTAAGCCACTGGGAAGGTATAAATACCCCTCCCCTTCCCATTTCTCTCTCTTCTTCTTTCTTCCTTCTTCATACCACTCCAGGTCCACATTGCACATCGTGGTTCCTGTTGAGTACCCTTCAAATTTTTTAACCTCTTCAGCTCCAGATTCATGTGCTACATATGTCTACTGTTGTCCAGTGAAGGGGACCCTGAGGGCACTGATTAGGACTTTGCTGCGGTTCAGTCAACTCTGAAACTGGGCTAGGGCCTCGGTTCTAGTTCAGCTGGCACGAAGCATGTCTGGCGGATCTTCAGAAAGGACCTCCTTCGGGAACCAATCGGTTGGACTTACCCAGGCCTCTGTGGATACTGACTGTACTTTTCTGAGCACTCCATTGTCCGTCCGTCAGGAGCATTTAAACAAAAGGAGCTCTGTTCTCATCTCCTTGCTTTTAATTTTTGGAACCTTTATAACAGAGATAGCTCTCTGTTGTCCGAAGAATTTTCTGAGGACAATTATTTCTTATTCAAGGTTCCTTTCTTTTATGGTTCCACTTCCATTGTTGTCTTGTCCTTCTGTTTTGTACAATAACACCGGGGGCATGGTTGAGGGTAGAAGAGTGATAGCGATTAATGAAAGACGCCAGTGAATATGACCTTTGTTTAGATCAGATTCCCACTCATTTGGTGCAATCAAAGACAACAGGCTACCTTTGTAAATACTTAGGTAGACTTCTAGGCAGAGAAGGAAGTGGATGATCTGGGCCGGCAACATAATCAGGAACTGTGAACATACTGCCTCTCGACGTCGTAATCGGATTTCCCTCTTCAATCTCCAGCTCCAAGTTTGTTAACACCGCTTTTTGGGGATTCAAATAGAGAGCCACTGAAGTGGTCAAGCAACAAGTTTAATATTAGACTACCCCACCGTCCTGTCTTGTAGTTCACTCCTTTCGTGATTATTGTTGGGTTAGTTTGTTTCAAGATATCCATCGGTCTACTATATAGCAGGAGGGCACCCATGGATGAATCTTAGCTTTTCATCTTTCTCTTGCCACAGAGATAGTAGAATTTATAAAAATATGCCGAACAGGCAAGCTTAATAGAACGAAAGAAGCATAATCCAAGTGGATCCGGAGATGCCCCACACCAGGGCTTATTCGTTCAGAAATTTCCCGGTTGGGAATGTAGAAATAGCCCTAGAGGTCCAACGGTGTTAGATCTTTATATGTCCCTGTGATTCCCATTCTTTTCTTCGAATAGACAGACTACACTCTTGTTCATATCGCTAATATGAACATCAATTTTCACCCCGGCCAAATTGGAACTGAACCCTAGGTGGAGTTCTATCCCTACGGCTAACAATGAACGAAACCAGGCGAGACATTCGAGTACTACAGCTGAGCATGGTCCCACGAGTCTCGATTTGAGATGAAGTCATGGGCCTTGCAGGATATGCTCATTCTATGCGCACCACCACTTGTGGCAGCCACCGTGTATATGGTCCTCAGTCGCATTATCCGCTCCTTCGGCGCTGAATATCTTTCGAGGATGCGTCCCAAATGGCTCACCGTTGTCTTTGTGAATAATACGCTCTGCTTCTGTACGCATTTGGGGGGTGCGGGTGTCCAAGTTACGGGAGATCAGAAGGCGATAAACATTGGTAAAAGGTCGTTTTGGCTGGCTTGGTCTTCTCCTTGGTTGTCTTTGCCTTTTATATTCTGATTGCGGCTAAACTTCATCGACGTCTTGTGCAAACTTCTACGTCGTTTTTCAATCGGAACCCTGATTTAACCTGGCAGCGATGATTTTAAGAGATGATGAATATTTATATTGAGCCTTTTTCTTTCTCCTTTTCTTTTCAAATGAGCAAGATGTAAGAGTGATGATACATTGGTGACTCAAAGAACATGTCCATGGTACCTTCCTTATGTACAGCCCTATGTTGAAGGTTTAGAGTCATCTTCATCTTCCTTTCTATTTCTAGTCTCTCAGCACTCTTCACATCCGATTTATCTTCCTCAAACTGGTTTATTTCTTACTTTATCTCTTGAACTCCTACTCGGAATTCTCTCGACAATACTCTCTTTCTCTCGCACTCACTCACCCACTCACTCTATCTCCAACATGCCTATCACCCTCACTACAGCCAAGCATCCACCGCGCGGATGGAAACTCCAAAGGGTCGCCGAGGTCGAAGAGCTCTTCGAACAATCCTGTCCAAAGGAGCATGACGGCAGCAAAAGGTTGGTCGGGAGCTCATTTACCAAAGACCTCTTCGACACATCTTATATCTCCGCATCCGAAAATGGCTTTGTCTGGGCCGTCTTCCACGCCTACAGTCAACACCACAACCTTGTGCTCCGGCCCGAAGACGTGTGGTTCACCATTCTGTCACAGCTCAGTTTCTTCGTCATTGCACATTCTGAGGAACTACGACATCTATTCGTCGCACATAAGGATACAGTCCGTCTGGAAGTCATGACAAACGATACCTTGGACACTGTGGACTTTGGTGAAATGGCTATGCGCTTGACAGAGTTTATGAAAGAGCGTGTGGTGGATCCGGATCTGCGGGACTGGATCATGCCAGCTTTTAGCACCACGACTGCGTCTGACGAAGTGGTAGCAGCTATCATAATCATGGGCTCCATGCAGAAGTATTTCTCATACCAATTCACTTTACGGTGCGGAATCCCGTCGGTCACTTTGCTCGGTGATCGTGAAGACTGAGAACTTATGGTGACGAAACTTGCTCAGCTGGCTCGGCTGGGGGATGAGCCTGCTCGGTTTGCTCAGCTTCTTCGACCGGTTCTGAATAACTTCGTCGCTTCGTTCGACAACCCCGAAGCACCGGATGTACTGAGTTTCTGGAGCAAATGTGCCGACAGAAGGGGTGGGGCAAGCGGACCAACCTACCTGACTAGCTAGATATCGGTGTTTTGTTTCTGGGGTAATGACGGAAAGCTGCTGTACCCAGAACAAATCCTTCCAACATGCTCGCAAGGCTTTGCGAAACGGGACACGGAGTTCGGGCTTGACCAGGCTTTGTCACGCTGCATAGACACAGATAAAGTTCCTCTGGGCTATGTCTCTGTGCCAGTTACAGTTAATAATGTTGGGCACAAATTCGACACTGTGATGGTGGCCGGGCTGATCGGCATACAAGCTACCTCGAGTGGGGCAATGCTGGATGGTTCTAAGGGCCATAGTTACGCGCGAAACCTTCCATATTTCGTGGACGATTACTACCAGATGCAGCCCTGTGGCCCAGTTATCTCGACTAGAGAGACTGGACTTGATTCGATTCAGCCGGTGTCTGGGTGGTTGATGTATGAAAAGGAGAAGCCGAAGTGTGCCAAAAAGCACAAACCAGTTTACAAACCAGTTTCTAAACCGCCTAGGGTATTGGATTGGTCGTTGGTCAGACAAGGCAAGTGAAGCTATCGGGTCAGTCAGTTGGTTGCGTCCATTTCAATTTCGCTTTCGCTTGGAGTATTGATACCTCAACGTTCAGAAGACTTGGCAAGGTTGTCAATGTTGTTATTACTAGACGAGTTGATGTTGTAATTTTCTCAGACCTTGGCCTCTCTCTTGACTTGGCAGTAAAATGCTGGCCCCACGGGCGGAGTCTATGTTGTGCATCCCCCTCTATTCCCCTCTTTGCTCTCCTTTCTCAAGAGATCTTATATTCTCCCAAAATTGACGCATTTTACCTACCCACTGGAGTACACGACTCTTGTCTTTCTACGTTTGTAAATGGATATTGCGGCCAGCGTTATCGCCGTCATACAATTGACGGGGAGTGTCCTACAACTCTGTGGGGGTTATATTCAGGAGGTCAAAGATGCGCGTGACGACATTATAGCTTTGCAACGGACGGTTGCCGGTCTGAACTTGATTCTTCAAAAGCTCATGGAGTTTCTTCAAAGCCATAATGGCACACTGCTATCCACCTCCGGGCAGCTTCTCGGCAATATTACCGATTGTTCTTCACGGCTCAGTGCCCTTGAAGAGAAGATTGATCTGAGAAAAGGGAAGAAAATGTGGAGTCGATTCGGCCTTCGAGCCTTGAAATGGCCATTAAAACGCAGAGAGGTGGAACGAGTCATCCAGGATCTCGAGAGATACAAATCATCGTTCAACTTATCTTTGCACGTTGATCAAATGTATGTTCTACAACTCTTCTTCCCAATAACAGGTAACAGTTAACATATCTATGCATGTATCTAGTACGCTTATCACGGGCATAACTCATAGTACCGAGCGTATCGACCAAAACACAGATTTTGACAATTTGCCCCTTGCGCATGGGGCTGAGTTTGATTCATATATGGACCAACATGAGAATGAATGTCTCCCGGGGACTAGAACCGATCTGCTTTGCCAAATTTCAGAATGGGGACAATCATCATCACAAAGAAAAAGTGTATTTTGGTTAAATGGAATGGCAGGGACGGGGAAATCAACCATTTCTCGAACATCGGCAAGATACTTCCAGCAAACTAGGTCACTAGGAGCAAGCTTCTTCTTTAAGAGGGGTGAAGGGGATCGAGGACATGCCATGAAGCTTTTTCCAACACTTTCACGACAACTAGTGACTAGCATTCCTCAGTTGATCCCTGGTGTTCGAAGAGCACTCCATGAGGACCCGGGTATTGGAGCGAAGTCGCTAAAGGAGCAATTCAACAGATTACTTCTCCAACCTTTACTCGGCTTAAAAGGATTCAATCAGCATATACCAACCATGGTCATAGTGATTGACGCACTAGACGAATGTGAAGCGGATAGCGATATACGAGTCATACTTCAACTGCTTCCACGGCTACAAGAGTCAACTATCATACGCCTCAGAATCTTCTTAACAAGCAGACCCGAACTAGCCATTCGTCTAGGATTTTCTAAGTTCACCGAGCACGACTATCAGGATGTAGTTCTTCATGAAATTCCGGAGGCGGTCACAAAACACGATATATCACTATTCCTAAAGTACCATCTTTTAGAAATACGTGAGGAACGCTTACTGCCTGTTGATTGGCTAAAGGAAGCAGAGACTGAGGCTCTTGTTAATCTATCTGTTCCGTTGTTTATCTTTGCTGCTACCGTGTGCCGTATATTCAAGGATCCTCAATGGGATCCTACGGATAGTCTGAATGAGATCCTTACACACCAAAGTGAAGGATCTAAGCTAGATGGAACATACCTTCCCGTGCTAAACCGACTTCTCAAGGGCCAAAGCGAAGCACAGATAAGACGACTAGTTCAAGAGTTTAAGGATGTGGTTGGAACAATTGTGATACTTGAGAGTCCACTCTCAATCATCTCACTTTCGAACCTGACCGGTCTCCCTGAGAGGTTGATTAGTCTCAGATTGAGCTCGTTACACTCGGTTCTTAGAGTGCCAAAAGACAAGACAATGCCGGTGCGGCCTTTTCACTTATCATTCCGGGACTTCCTTCTAGATACAAGAACACGTGAAAAGTCTTTATTCTGGGTAGAGCAGAAAGAGACCCATCAAAGACTTACCGAGAGATGCCTTCATTTATGCCGCAGTTTGCGGAAAAATATATGCGGACTACCGAGTGAAGGAACCGAACGTGCAGAGATAGATGTTCGGATAGTGAATCGTTGCCTCTCCCCCGAGCTTCAATACGCTTGCCGCTTTTGGGTCCAACATCTAGTGCAAAGCCAGGACCTGGATACTATGCACGAGGCCTTTTCATTCCTCCGAAGGCACTTCTTGCATTGGATGGAAGCAATGAGTATTCTGGGTCTTTCGCCAGAAATCGTGGGGCTTATCAAACTATTACAGTCAGCTGTACATGTATGTCACCGTGAGAGTCACCGTAACTGTGAGAATTCATAAGTGATCAACGCTAATTCTATAGGATGATAAGGACCAAGGACAAGGACTTTCCGAATTTCTACATGATGCAAAGCGATTTGTTCTTAAAAATGCACCAATTGCTGATAAATTCCCCCTCCAAATTTATTGCTCAGGACTTGTTTTTGCGCCAAAGATGGCAAGGATTCGACGAGAATTTGAAGAAGAGCTTCCCCGCTGGATACATAGGCCACCGGAGGTCGAAGAGGCTTGGAACGCAGAGTTACAGACCCTAGAGGGCCATTCAGATTGGGTTCGGTCTGTGTCATTCTCCCCAAATAGCCAAATATTGGCTTCTGGGTCCACTGATAGATCGATCCAGCTCTGGAATACCAGTGCAGGTGTCTTACAGCAGACTCTTAGGGGCCATTCGGGTTCCGTTTACTCTATAGCATTCTCCCCTGACGGCCGATTTCTAGCTTCTGGCTCTAGTGATGAGACGATCAGACTCTGGGAAGTCGTTACGGGGACCCTACAACAGAATCTAAAGGGTCATACAGCTCCAGTTCGGTCTGTGGGGTTTTCCCCAGATGGTAGAATCTTGGCGTCTGGCTCAATGGATAAGACACTTAACCTCTGGGATACTACTACAGGGACCCTACAGAGAACATTAAGAGGCCATCTAGAAGCAATACGTTCGGTTGCATTCTCCCCTAATGGCCAACTCATAGCGTCTGGCTCTGTTGATGAGGGAATTAGGCTTTGGAGTACTACTACTGGAGTCCTACAATATACTTTGGAGGGGCATTCGGACTGGGTTCTTTCTGTGGCATTCTCTCCTAACAGCCAAATCTTAGCGTCTGGCTCCGTTGACAAGACAATCAGGCTCTGGGACACCGCCACAGGGGCCTTACAGAGGAGTCTTATGGGGCACATAGATTCGGTTTCATCTATTTCATTCTCCCCTGACGGTCGACTTTTGACATCTGGCTCTAGTGATGAGACGATCAGGGTTTGGGATACCGTGACAGGAGCTATAGAGTATACCCTCGAGGGCCATTCAAGTGCGGTTTTATCCGTGACTTTCGCTCCCAATGGCCAACTCCTCGCATCCGGCTCCACGGATAAGACAGTCAAACTTTGGGATTCTGCGTTAGGGGGCTTCCAGCAGGCTATTAAAGACTATTCGGATTCGATTGAGTCTATAGCATTCTCCCCTAACGGTCGACTCCTTGCGTCCGGTTCTTCAGATAAAACCATCAAGCTCTGGGACACCACCACAGGAGCTATACAACAAACTCTAGAGGGACATTCTGGCACGGTTTTATCTGTGACTTTCTCTCCTAATGGCCAACTCCTAGTATCCGGCTCCGATGATAAGACAGTCAGGCTTTGGGAAACCGAAACCGGTGTATTTAACACCCTCAACGGTCATTCAGATTCAGTTCTCTCCGTAACATTTTCTTCTAATGGCCGGTTCCTATGTTCCGGCTCTGATGATAATACAGTCAAGCTCTGGGAGACTACCACAGGGGGTTTACAGCAAACTCTCACAGACCATTCATACCCAGTTCTTTCCGTGGCATTCTCCCCTAATGACCGAATTCTGGCATCCAGCTCGGTTGACAAAACAGTCAGGCTCTGGGATACTGTGACGGGTGTCCTGCAGCAGACCCTCAGAGGCCATTTAGGTGCAGTTTCGTGTGTGGCGTTCTCCCCCGATGGTCTGGTTCTAGCATCCAGCTCTGTTGACAAAACAGTCCGTCTCTGGAATACTGCCCAAGGTGCTTTAGTGCAGACCTTAAAGGTTGATGGAATGGTTACCAACCTCAAATTTGCTCAAGACGTTTCATATCTGTGTACCAACCTTGGGTTCCTTGATATTCAGTCCAGGTTTGACAACCCTACCTCCAATTCTTCCAAGCCGAATGTCGAAATATCCATAAGGGAGAATCAGTGGGTTGGGCTTCAAGGCAAAAAGGTACTGTGGTTACCTACTGAGTTTCGACCTAGCTGCTCAGCGGTAGAAGGTAACACTCTTGCCTTGGGACACCCATCAGGACGGGTTTCATTCCTAGTATTTTGTGCATGAGAGATGTCAACAACCTTTCTTCTACCTCAAATAGCTATTTCATACTTCTATATACTGCCAGCCGATTCTTTTGTAGGATTCCTCCACATTGTTACCTGTTTTTTACGTAGTAGCAACCTTGGTTCGTGTCTATTATCTTCTTGAATAGACCAAACGAAAAGATCGGAGAACTGCCTAGGAGAGACAACTAGTGGGCTTCATCTAATGGTAAGTATTGAAGAACAGTTGAACTGACCGACAGATATGGAACTGTTGAAATCATGGGTATTTATCAACGGTGGCTGGATCAGTGCGATTTCCGCACCACTCAAAATTCCATCATATCCCCTATCACCTTGAGAGACTCTAACCTGTACCATTACATTCCAACACCTCAGCACGGCAGGCTTGCACCAGTGGCCATTTCAGGGTACTTTTTTTGGTAGTGTCTTCGCTTATGGGCATTGACAAATGGAAGCAGGATCATTGCTCATCTCTCTTGATGACAACAGTAGGCTTATGTGGAAAGAAACGAGTAACGCAGATCAAATATCCGCATGTAAGAGACAGCATGTCCTATGGTATTGTTAGAAAAGCAATTTATACAAGCAGACTTTGAATGGCTCACCGATGAAAAGGTTCAAGGTATGTCCGTTTGTCTGTTCCACCTGCATCGCCCTCTCTTCACGGTAATGCAGAAGGTCCGAATGCATCTCCTTGATCCCCTCTGAAGCAGACTTTCCAGACCAGCCTTGATTCTTCCGAGTGTCCAAGGTTTGATTGTATCCTCACAAATTGTTCAGAGATCATTTTTCACCTTTTAGCTCATTGAGCTCCTTCTTTTCGCGTCTTGCGTCATCTTCTTCCGCATTTGCAATGGAACCATGCGGGTTGATGACGTTGAATACAATTGTATCTGTCAACGTAAGCAGCGGAATCAATGATGTCTTCTCCTCGGCTTGTCTTGGACGTGATCATTGGTGTTGCTGCTTTTCTTCTGAACCGGTATTTGTGCAACGCATTGAATAAAGGCTCGATAGGGAAGGTGTATTTCTTTCACATGTCTACATGTTAGTTGTAGTCAAATCACATGGGATTTTATCCATACCAGTCATGTACATAGCCGATGCATCTTTGACAGAGTGTAATGCACTCAAGGTTCTCTTGAGATGAGTCCTGGTGTCAACTCGCTCATTAGATGGATTTTATGAATAAATTAGGAGGTCTCATGGGGGGTTTCTGCGACCAGCTAAGACAGGAGTTAGAGAAAGCAAGTCGTTTAGGATAGAAATGAGGTAACACGTAGTCAGGGAGACGGAAGGTCTGGGGTTATTGGCAAGCGCTACCGCAGAATCCTACAAGTGTATGTATGTAGCTACACAGAAACAGTGAAAACAACCTCCAAACTAATCATACAATTCATTTCAATTCCTAGAATAATCCGTCCGTCCCAGTTTCGCCTATTCCCAATGATACAAGCCCAAGCCCAGAATTCAGAGCAGCACTGGTGTAAAAAGAGCCAGTGCATATCAAGTTCAAAGTAAATGATAAACATCATTTTCAACAAACCAAAGGAAAAAAAAATAACACACATGCGGTAGAGGTCAACAAATGGGGTAGGTGTAGGTAGGTGTAGGTGTAGCGCGATAATCCGAGTCAACGGTGAAGCACAAAGTGGAAAAAATAAATCAGCATAAGGGTTAGTGTAAGTATGTACAGACGAACGTAAAGTGAGGAGGGAAAAGGGATTCCCAAAGGTATTGCAGGGGGGGAAGAAAGGGGACAAGTTGAGCAAGCTCCTAGCTGGTCGCGGTCTGGGCTGCCGGAGCGTGTGGGCTCTTGCTGGAACCTTGGACGGCACCAGCTTGAGCACTGCCGCTGCGCTGATTCTGAGGAGTGGCACTGCGGCTGGGCTGGGGTGCAGCACCGTTCATGGCGGGCGAGCTAGTCGGGCCAACGCGGTTTTGCTGACCAGCCTGGGGGACCCGCATCATTGGGGAGAACCCTTGGTTTTGAGGGACCTGCATTGCAGAACCGCCGTTCGGAGTCTGGAAACTAGCCTCGTGGGGAACTTGGTAGTTAGCCTGAACGGCATTTGCATTGATGCTACCTGCGGCAGCATTCATTGCTGCTTGTTGGGACAAGCGCTGCTGTTGCTGCTGCTGGTATTGGTTGAGCCGGTCCGTGGCCAGCTTGGTCACTTGCTCGGGGGGCATATTCGGGTTCGTGCGTTGAATCTGGCTTTGGAGAGTGCTGATTTGGGGCACAACACCGCTCGAAAGAGGATTAGGCTGACCCATACGAGGCGAAGGGGTTGAGACGCCTTGTGGTGTACTACCGTGGAACGACGGACTCTGCATTCCCCCTTGATTCTGGAGGGCAGCCATCATAGCAGGGTTATTAGGAGTACCATTAACATTCGCCATGTTCAGGTTCGGCGATCCCTGAGACCCAAATTGCGGGTTGTGGAATTGCTGGCCCTGCTGAGGAGGGTGCTGCTGCTGTTGCCGAGACTGGAGAAGACGCTGCTGCTCCTGCAATCGATTGGCTTCTCGAATCACGCGTGTGTTATCAGGAGAGGCTTGCATCGGCAGGCCTGGTCGTGCCCCTGGTGTCTGCTGCATTTGAGCTTGGGGCATCATCTTCATGGCCATTCCATTAGGCATCTGGCCATTGGGTTGTGCACCATTAGGCATGTTCTGCATTGGAAGGGGGCGGGCTTGGTTGACACCAGCAGCAGGAGGCATGCCGTTTGTCATTCCGTTCGGAGTTCCACCCGGTAGGCTAGGATTGGAAGTAGGGGGCATGGCGTTGTTACGCCCCGGCACATTCATAATTTGCTGCTGGTTAGGTACTTGGCCGGAACGCTGCGCTGCGAGACTAGCCTATATGGGGGATAAGCCACAGTGCCGTCATGTAGGGACGTTAACAACCACTCACTCTTTGCTGCGCAATCATTTGCTGGCGGTACTGTTCCTGCCTTTCCTGCAGTTTCATCTCTCTGTCGTACTTCAACCGGCTGAACTCAGCCGGAGACGAGATCGGAGGCTTGGGCTGGTTAGCCTCATTAGCTTTCCGCAATGAAGCGAGGTGGGAAGCTTAAAAAAATGAAATGTCAGCGGAGTTCTTAGTACGATGTGACCTGTTTCTATTCCAAACATACCATGCTGCTGTTTCTGAAGCATAGTTTCCCGCTTCTTAGCCAGCTTTCGCATCGCATCAAGCAGAGCAAGGTGCTTCGAAGATCGTCTCCGGTCGACCCGAAGAGGCTGAGTAGTCCTCCGGCGGACGGGTGGCTGAGGCTGAGCGTTGGCACCTTGCTGCTGCTGCTGTTGTTGCTGCTGTTGCTGGGCAGCCTGCTGCTGAGCCAAAACAGTGCGTTGGGCAGTCTCAAGCCTCTGGTGGTAAGCTCGGAAGTATTGAGTCTTGGACATATCCGCAGGAAGACCTTCCAGTCCTACCCATCGCTCGAAACATTCCCAAGGAGTCCGTCTCTCGGCGCCAGATGTAAAGAGTGATGACGGGGTAAGACAGCTGGAAATTAGAGACCAGTTGTAAGAGTACTCCTTGACCAAGCGTCGGAGTTCATCATCCTCAGCGTAAGTCCATTGTGAGGACGAACGCGATTCAAAGAAACCAACAGATGGCATGGGGTGTTCAGTTGGAGGCCGGAATTGATGACCAGGGTGAATCCGATCACGAATGGGCTTGTTCTCTGGTCGGAACAGCGCAACATTTGTCTGCTCGGGCGCCAATTCGGTGATACTATTATCCAAATCATTGCCGTACTGGGAGTAGTCATATCGGCTCCGTTTGCGAGGATTATCGTCATCGTGGAAGTTAATCTTCGCCGATGCAAATTTGGACACTGGTAGTAGTTCTGTTTTCCAAACTGTGTCAGGAGAGACTTTGAATACTGGTGCGTTCGTGCCCGGGGCGATCTGGAGTGGTCCATATATCGGCAGTTCATCTAACAACTTTTCGGCGGCGGGGGTCATGTCAATTGAGAAGTTGAACTCATCCGAGCCCAGGGAGAAAATAGCAGCGGGGGCGACTGTGTCGTGAATATCGTGCCGAGGCTCATCATTGAACCCATCACTGACTGATTCCTCCTCGGCAGATGGGATGAGATCCGGAGTGTGATGACCAACTCTAAACACTTCATCACCTACATCGTCACAGGGTGGGCTGAGACCGGCCTTGGAAGAATCCCTTTCTACCGGAGTTGACGTTGGAATCTTTGTTTGGACACGAAGCAGGGTCCGATGTTCCACGTCGCTGTTGACATATTCTGCGCACCAATCGACACAACTCTTTGCAGCAGCGATCTTCCACTTTCTTTCCTCCCGGAAGTCGGTTCGCATCCACTTCATGTGATCTAAGACAACGTCCCAGTGCGTTCCCTGGCGGGGAGGTTCGACAGAGCGTTTTAATTGTCGCAATGGCCATCGATTGGCATTTTGAAGAGCATAGATGCGCCGGAGAGTACGGCAATCCATCTGTTCTTGGTATTCAAGCAGATGATTGCTAGTACTCAAAGTCTTGTGCGCAGATGCCAGCAGAGTATTAAGGTTCGTTCCCCGTGGAGGGGCGTACGCTCTGTTCAAGAATAATGTGAAAAGATAGTCTTGCTCTTCATTCAGCTTGGCAACTGCATCCATGTCTCGGTGCGTCAGGTCCATATCGGCTTTCTCCTGCTGAGCTGGCTGCTTGGGAAACACAACAGTCGAGAGTCGGCTTCTCTCCTTCTCCCGCTCCTTCCGGTCCTTGAAGCGCATTCTTGCAACAGAGTCAGGAGTGCCTTGATCAGATGGGGTAGCTGGGTGGCTTCTATCATGAGTAACGCTCTTAGGGGTTTCTCCAAGGATCTCGGAAACAGACTTGTGTCGAATGGCTCCCGATGATACCCGAGTGGTCATGCGCTCTAGTTGTGTCGAACCAGGTTGAGTAGCTGGAATAGAAAGCTTTTTGGCCGTAGGAGTCTCGACAGCTGAATCTACAGCGGCTTCAACTTGTGCGGTTGGCGACAACGAGTCTCGCGCAGTTGTCTCGGGTCCTTGCAGTGGTTTCGCTTCAGAGGGGACGGGTTCATGTTCCTGGCCGATATCCATGCGATCCGTATCGGCTCCAGTGTCCACGCTCTCCAGAATGACCTCTTTCGATGAAGGTAGATCAGTCATCACATCATTCAAGGGCTGGTCGGTTTTTGACTGAGCTTCTTCGAGGCGTAATTGCTCATCTGGGGTCAAGGGAACCAAGCTCGGACGAGCATGGGCAGGTCGGTCATGCTTATGTTTTGGGCGATCAATCGTCCCAACATCTTCAGCCACCTCTTCTGCAGGGCTTGTGTCGGGTGATGCGGCAACTGGAACGGGTGTATTATTATTGTAGGGGTCAATGGAGGAGGCAGGTGATGGTGGTTGTTCGTGTTGAGATAGCCCCAAGGTAAGAGAGGGTCGTACTTCGTGTTTCTTTCGAAGAGGATCGGAGGGAATTTGCAGTGATGGAACTCCAGTCGCAGCTGGCTTCGGTACGCGGGGAGATATCTTTGCTTGGTTTCCGTCATGGTCGTAGGCACTGGGCGGCGTTTCCGCTATCGGTACACTACCTTTCCGGTCGGAGCGCAATGAGTCTAGTGACTGCACAGCGATCGGTGGCACGTTAAGATCCTTCGGCAGCTTAGGGCTGATGGCTGGCACTGAGGGTTGACGTGTTCCGGTTGTGTCCACGGGCGTAGGCGCAAGATCAGGTGTCGCGGTCTGAGGTTGGTCGAGAACGGGCGTTCCGGGCTGTTGAGGCTCGGTCGCGTGCGGAGCTCGGCCATCGACAGTTAAGGGTAGAGTGATGCCAGCGACAGGTTTGGCACTGGTGATGGCAGCTGTTGTCGGGGGGATTGCATTTCGACTTGGTGAGCGCGCGCGCACATGGGTTGGCGGTGGAAGAGTAGCTTCATTGAAATAACGACCTCTAGATAGGGAATCAGCATTGGAAAAATTATAAACCAATATGAATAAATAAACGTAAAGTGAATTCCACTAATATAGTGATAAGGTGATTGAACTTACTTGGATAGATCGTTGGCGTCAAGGAAGGCCTGTTCTTTCTGGTGGTAATGAGCGTCCTCGGTCGCGCCAAACCCGACCGTGGCTAGATACAATGCGCTGAGCTTGCGCTTTCTGCGCGACAAACAGTTTCTAACCACCAAATTAGCGACAAATTCATCATTTTCTAGGCTCCCAATCGAATTCCCGTCGCAAAAAAAATTAATACTTACGCGATCTCATCGTTTTTAGATCGTAGGAGCTCGTCACGGAGCATGGAGTCTAGCTTCGGAACGCAGCATCCGATTAACGCGGGAACAAGGGGAACTGATCGAGCGAGGTCATCCAGATGGAAAAAATCGCTCGAAAAAGATGAAAATGATGTGTGGAGGGGAGGAGGCGATGAAAAGCACCTAGAGCAGGATCTTTTCGAAGGGGGTGAAAATGAGGTTACAGGGCGGTATGAAAAATGTGGAAGAACGGGAAGGATGTTGGTTTAGGTACAACCAGTTACTCGCTCCCTCTATAAAAATTACACGGCTTGGCCAGGTACCTGGTACTTCAAAAGAATTCCCTTTGATGAAGGAAAAAAATAATAAAATATATTATCAACTTGGTGTAAAAATAGTTACTCTTTTAATGGGTTATTATATGGTTATCAAAGACTGATGTGATTCGAAAAAGTTGTCCTCATCAACTGGTAACGCACTGTATTATTTTTCTGGCATTCAGTTGTTCTCCGCTTGCGTATGTGAGGCCTCAGGCATAGTTTTGATCAGGGATTAGACACCTCATAACTATGGCCATAAGGCGCATTCAAATCAGGCATCTATCTTCTATCAAGGCGGCCGATAAACCACCGGCAGAAAATCAAGAAAAAAAGTTGTCCGCCCTCCAGATCAAGCTTTCACATCTACAATATACAAATCACAATCATTATTTGAACAATCATGGTGAAACGCAAGAGAACCGATGCCCCCAAGGAGGACAAGGCCGCTGGTACTCCTCCCAAGGTTACCAAATCTGTCCCTGCTCCCTCTGAGACTCTCGATGCAGCTTTTACTGTCCAAGTTGTCACTGGCTCTTATGAGCGGGTGCTCCATGGCTTCACTGTTGGGGTCCCAGCCTCTAGCCTCAAAGCCAAAGCTGAGGCTGACTCTTCGGCCATTCAATGCATGGACACTTTCTTATTCGAAGCCCATGGATCTGCAATTCGTTGTCTAGCATTGTCGCCACTACCCAAATCCACCGACCCTGTCGATGCCCAAAAGGTGATGCTGGCTAGTGGTAGTACAGATGAGCGCATCAACTTGTATTCGATCTCCGCCGCACCCCCTGCCGTGAATGAAGACTACCCCTCCGTGCCAACCTTCGCCGGAAAGAAGATCCTCGAAAACCCCCGGAACCGTGAGCTAGGATCATTGTTGCACCACACTGCCAGTATTACCTCGTTGAGTTTCCCTTCGCGAACCAAGTTACTCGCAGCCGGAGAGGACAACACAATCTCCGTCTCCAAGACCCGTGACTGGACCGTCGTATCAACTATCAAAGCACCAAACCCAAAAGTTCAAGGTCGACCAAGCGGTGACACGGCGCCTCCCGGAGCTGCTCCATCTGGAGTAAACCACTTTGCAGTGCACCCCAGTATGAAGCTTATGCTCAGTGTTGGACGAGGAGAGAAATGTATGCGATTGTGGAATCTCGTGACCGGCAGAAAGGCCGGTGTGTTGAACTTCACTAGGGAAGTCCTACAAGGTGTCAGGGAGTCGAGGTGGAGCACTGGAGAAGGTCGGCGCATTGCATGGGACTCTGAGGGAGAGGAGTTCGCTGTTGCTTTCGAATGGGGTGCAGTCGTGTTCGGAATCGTAAGTTATCTGGATGGTATATCATTGATCAAATTTCTGACTATTAGCACAGGACTCGATTCCCAGATGCAGAGTTCTTCCTAGCCCACGGAGTAAACTTCACCAGATGAAGTATGTTTCTTTGCCTTTGAAGGGTGGTGAAAAGGAAGATTTCTTGGCTGTCTCTACAGAGGATGGTCGAGTGATCTTCTATTCGACCAAAGAAATGAAAGAAGCGGAGGAGGATACTGAATGCTCAATTCCCCATGCTACCCCTGTTGCTCAGCTTGGTGGAAAGGAAGCTGGGTTCCCTGGCCGCATCAAGGATTTCGAAATTCTCAATCTTGAAGGTCAAGCAAAGGAACTCCGCAACGACTTCTTGGTCGTCACCGGCAACAGCGACGGAGTCGTCCGTATTTGGAAGGTTGCTGGGAAAGATATTTCTGCAGCAAAGCAAGAAAAGAAGGATACGACTCAGATTGGAAAGCTCTTGGCTACCAATGAAACTGGTAACCGCATCACATGCTTGGCTGCCTTCGTCATGTTGCCTGCGGAGGATCCGTCTACACTGATAGACTCCGAAGATGACTCTGAAGATGAGGTGGAGTCATCGAGTGATAGTGACGATGAGTAACCTCTCATTGTTCTCAACTGTTATACCCTTTGTACTGTCAAATAGATCCCCAGGCAACCAATGTATCATGAGTATGAAAAAAAAAAAAGCCCGAGTCTATTGCCCTAGAGAATAATTATGATTATGTTTTGAACTATTTCTTCTTTTTATATCTGAAAGCTCAACTCAACTAAGAATGTTGTACAACATAGTATGTCACTACCATCACTACTCTATAAAACCCTGTGTGGCGCACCTGATGGTGCAACTATATTAGTCGTCAGGGATTTTCTTAGGCAAAGATGAGTGAATCACCCACAATAAACCGAGATACATCATCAAAACTACATAGAATAACTGAAACAAACGCCCAATTGAATTGTATATCAAATATATTTACTAAAACCGTCATAACGTAGAGGAAATGTAGAGTTGCCATCCAGACACCGCCCGGCTCTCCACTACACACAATCCCCCACCTACATTCTTTCATTATCATATCGCCCGCGGGAAGCAATTTTCATCCGACCTTCCACCTTCTATCCACCAGCTTTGCCTAACCACTTTGCGCTTTTATTCAACACCGCTGCTGATCGCGAGTTGAATTTCTATCCTACTTTGCAAATATGGCTTCCAACGGCGATTTCTCCGACGAGGGATCCCAGCCCGGCTCACCTTTACTCGATGCCCACAATGCTCGCGGAGAGGTCGAGGACCAGGAGCCCCTTGAGCAGGAGGAGAAGCCTCTCAAGTCTGCTATGAAGAAGGCTGACTCTGCTCCTCAACCGAAGCGCCCAGAACTGCCCGAGCAGCCTAACCCGGAAACCCTCGACCTGTCAAAATTGACGCCTCTTTCGCCTGAGATCATTGCCCGCCAAGCTACTCAGAACATTGGTATGTGACTGTTAGTTTTTGAAAGCTTCTGCGCTCAGAAATTCACTACATCTATTGGATTCCATTTTTCTAGATAACAAATTTACTGACGTGATTATCAGGCACGATCGGACATGTCGCTCAGTTAGATACCCTTTCTCGCCTTTTTCTTCCTACACACAAACTAATATACTTCTAGCGGAAAATCTACCGTCGTCAAGGCCATTTCTGAGGTTCAAACCGTCCGTTTCAAGAACGAGCTTGAGCGCAACATTACCATTAAGCTTGGTTACGCCAACGCGAAGATTTACAAGTGTGACAGCCCCGAGTGCCCCCGGCCCACATGTTACAAGAGTTTCAAGAGTGAGAAGGAAGTCGACCCGCCATGTGAGCGCGAAGGATGCACAGGCCGTTACCAGTTGCTTGTATGTACTCATGCTCCTTCCCCTCTGAAGTCCCATCTCAGAGCCTTTCCTCAAGTGGTCCTAGTCTAACATCTCATACAGCGTCACCTCAGGTATTATCAATCCCCAGTCTACCTCTCAACCTGGAGGTTCCTCCTTTATCTATTAAGTATAAGCTAACCTTCTATTTACAAAAAAAAAGTTTCGTCGATTGCCCTGGTATGTTCGCTAAATCCGTCTCTGTCCAAAGTTGGAACACTGCTAATATTCAATCATAGGTCACGATATTCTGGTTAGTATTCATTCCCTTGCGCATCTAGGGAAATTCGGCTTCTCTTTTCGGAGTTCATGCTAATCAGCTTTGCACAGATGAGCACTATGCTTTCAGGAGCCGCGGTCATGGTAGGTTTCATCCCCCACTGCAGCTATTGGGATTTCAAGGAATCGGCGATGAGCTAACATTATTTTACTAGGATGCCGCTCTCCTCTTGATTGCCGGAAACGAAACTTGCCCCCAACCCCAGACCTCGGAGCACTTGGCTGCCATTGAGATTATGAAGCTCAACCACATCGTCATTCTCCAAAATAAGGGTAAAATCATGTTTCTTACCAACTGTCGATGAAATGAAGCACTGACGTTTGAAAATAAAACAGTCGATCTCATGCGAAGCGATAATGCCCTCGAGCATTACCAGTCCATTCTCAAGTTCATCCGTGGTACCGTTGCTGATGGCTCGCCCGTTATCCCCATTTCCGCTCAGCTGAAGTACAACATCGATGCTGTCAACGAGGCACTTGTCCAGACGATCCCTATCCCTATCCGCAACTTCGAGGCTACACCTCACATGATGATCATTCGTTCCTTCGATGTCAACAAGCCCGGTGCCGAGATCGATGAGCTCAAGGGTGGTGTTGCCGGTGGTTCTATCCTTACCGGTGTTGTAAAGCTGAACGATGAGATCGAGATCCGCCCCGGTCTCGTCACCAAGGACGAGCAGGGCAAGATCCAGTGCCGACCCATTTTCTCCCGCATTGTGTCTCTCTTCGCTGAGCACAATGACCTCAAGTTTGCCGTTCCCGGTGGTTTGATCGGTGTTGGTACCCGTGTCGACCCCACCCTTTGCCGTGCCGATCGTCTCGTCGGTTTCGTTCTCGGTCACCGTGGCCGTCTTCCCGCTATCTACACCGAGATTGAAGTCAACTACTTCCTGCTCCGCCGCCTTCTTGGTGTCAAGACCGCCGACGGCAAGCAGGCCAAGGTTGCCAAGCTTGCTAAGAACGAAGTTCTGATGGTTAACATTGGTTCCACCGCTACTGGTGCTAAGGTCCTCGGTGTCAAGGCCGATGCCGCTAAGCTCAGCTTGACCAGTCCCGCCTGTACTGAGGTTGGCGAGAAGATCGCCATCTCTCGCAGAATCGAGAAGCACTGGCGTCTGATTGGATGGGCCAACATTGTTGCGTAAGTCTACGGGTTTGATATTATTTCTGATGACAAATGCTAACTATTTCGATCTGCAGTGGTAACACCCTCGAGCCTGTGCAGCAGTAAAGCAATCCTTTGAACGATTTCCCAGTTCGAAATGGGGAGCTTGGGGAATGGGGTCCGTTATGTCGGAGAATTTGATTTGCACATAAATCTTGCTATATCGCCGAACAACGATCTCACCCCACCAACCCTCGAACACGAGTCTTGCAATCTATGATTGCAAAAAAGTTTATGGTCATGACGAGTCGGAAAATTAAAGACGTGATTTAACTGATTCCCCCGGCTGAATAGAGAAGATGGAGGAGACATGCAATCTTGTATTGTCGCCACCTCGATCAGTTTACCTGCTGCATGCATGTCAGCGACCATTTTATTTGGTCCGTGACTGCATGCTAGGTTTTGATCTGAGGGACGGACGACGAACGGAGTGCAAGTGAGGTCGGCGAATAAGATATGTGCTTTTTATTTCCATCGTACGAGGGAGTTGTTTTCAAGAGGTTTCCTGTTCATTGCTCATTTTTTTGTCTGCATCATCGGGATCTTATGTAGATAGGCCTATACAGGTCTGTGGTTTAAAATGCAGGGAAACTAGGGCCGGCACAATTTAAGAGCTTCTGCATGTTTAATCGATTTATGAGGCTCTTCGTCTGGTAAAAATAAAAATAAAAACATTTGCAAATGAGGGTAGAGGCTCCCAATATATAGTCCGCATGTCGGATGTATATATTTCACACCTCGGAGTACGACCACTCGTATTGCCTCGCAAATGGATGACCATGCGCCCTGAGCTACTTGATATTGTTATATTTAGAGAAAGCTAAGCGATACCAAGAGAATAAAAATATAGATGATATACAATTTTCGAGTATTGTTCTGCTCGACTGTTAGTAGTTCTATAGACTTCAGCGATGGCACTTGCACAAGTTATTTTACATTTGAATGTTGGTAGACAAAATCCAAAAAGTTAACTCATAATAACTCCTCATGTCGTACGTTAGATATTCGGCCTAAATGAACAAGACTTTAGTTCATTAATACTAGGTTTAATTACTGAGATCGACGTTGCGTTAGGCCCCATAGAATGCCCCCGGGGCCATCATGCATGATATCTGACTAAGGCTGCCGATAATAACAAAGTAGCATCTTCTGACTTGAACAACGTCCCCTTCCTTCGCCTAGTTGCGCGATTTCAATCATGTATATCCTCGAGGTAAGTTGATTTGATTGAGAAACCATCATTTCTACATGGTGAATTTGCTTTCCACCGTGGACACGTCGCTGATAACTGTCTTCCTTTAGCAACTGGCGCGCTTGCTCGATCGCCCGCTCTTCCCATGGAAGAACGTGCTCGTGGGCTTTTCACTGGGCCAGTTCGTCCTTGAAGGTTTCCTCTCACTTCGACAGTACAAGTTTCTGCAACGGACAAAGCCTCCCCAGGTTCTCGCAGGGGAGGTTACCCAGAAGGTCTTCGACCAGAGTCAGGTATGAACACGATGATGCAACGTCATAACATATATAGAGGCTCATTGGAATATCATCATAGGCATACGGTCGCGCAAAGGCCAAGTTCAGCTTCGTTTCCGGTCTTTACGGTCAAATCCAAAACCTTGCATTCATTTACGGCGATGTCCTCCCCAAGATCTGGGGCATCAGCGGTCTGCTGCTGGCTCGGTACCTCCCCGGTCGGTTCCAAGGCGAAATCTGTCAAACATTGGTATTCTTCTTCGGTTTCAACATTCTAAGCACTATCCTCTCGCTGCCCGTCTCATACTACAACACTTTTGTGCTCGAGGAGAAGTTCGGTTTCAACAAGCAGACGCTCAAGCTTTGGATTACGGATATGCTCAAGGGTCAGATGCTTGGAATTGTTTTGGGAGCTCCCATTATCAGTGCCATTCTTAAGATCGTGCAGAAGTTCGACAGCTCGTTCTACTACTACCTCTGGCTCTTCGGTGTCTTTCTCCAGGTCTTCGCCATTACTATCTACCCCATTGCAATTCTGCCTCTGTTCAACAAGCTCTCTCCTCTTCAGCCCGGTGAACTCAAGACTGGTGTTGAGAACCTGGCAAAGAGACTCGAGTTCCCTTTGTCTGAGCTGCATGTCATTGACGGCAGCAAGCGTAGTGCCCACAGCAATGCCTACTTCTACGGCCTGCCATGGAAGAAGCACATTGTTATCTACGATACCCTGATTGAGAAGACCGAGCCTGAGGAGGTTGTTGCTGTGCTGGGCCACGAGCTTGGCCACTGGAGTCTCAGCCACACCACCAAGCTGTTCGGCATTGCCCAGGTATGAATTTGCTCAGTTGCCCTTCTAGCGAGTTATCACTAACTATGGAACCTAGGCCCACATGTTCTACATCTTCGCTCTCTTCTCTGTCTTTGTTAACAACAAGTCGCTGTACCAGTCCTTCGGATTTGTCAAGGAACAGCCTATCATGATTGGTTTCCTGCTCTTCTCCGACGCCCTGGCTCCTATGGATGCTGTTGTGAAGCTTCTCATGAACATCCTTAGCCGGAAGTTCGAATTTGAGGCCGGTATGTTCCGTTCGATCTATTACATACACGCTCAGTTGTACTAACAGCGTTTCACAGATGAATTTGCCCAGAAACTTGGTTACTCCGACAAGCTCGCTTCCTCGCTCCTGAAGCTTCAGATCCAAAATCTGAGCACTATGGACGCCGATCCAATTTATGCCAGCTACCACTACTCCCACCCCATTCTCACCGAGCGTCTTGCTGCGCTTGGCTGGAAGGGTGGCAAGGTCACCAGCAACAAGGAGGAAGACAGTGAAAAGCCTGTCAAGGCCGCGGACCGCGAGCTGTAAACTGGATACCTGCGTTACTGGCGATTTTCATATGATATGGAATTTTTTTTTTGGTGTTAGTGACATGCTGGGGCACCAATCTCGAGGAGAGAAAAAAGCGAGGCTTGGAAATGTTCCATTATGTATTGATTGGATTGTAGCAATCCGTCTAAACTCTAAATGACACTTTTTGTCCAGACATGAAATGCAGTACTTTTTTGTACGTCCAAGACCCAAACCCAGCTCAGAGTATAGAGCAATAGAACGAATGAAAGAAAAGAGACTCCGACCCAATGCAGCAACGCCCACAACCAAATATATACCCACACCACAGACTCAATCGGATTCCTCAGCTTCCTCAGCCTTCGCCTGGGCCTTTCCCTTCTTCTCCGCCAACCGTCTCTCCTTCTTCTTGCGCTTGCGCTCCTCCTTATCGACACCGGCCTCCTGATCCGCGAAAGCCTCAGCCTCCATACCGAACTCAGCATCATTCATGATAAGATCATTGCTATCGTCCAGCTGATCGTGGTTGTTGGTCTGCGGAATACCCGCAGCAACATCCAAATAATCTTCTCCGGGGTTTTGCTTCGCGACAGTCAGATCACGACCGAGCAGCTCACCAGCTAGACCCGCTTGCACGCGCTTCAGGTTGTGGAGGATCAGGTTCGGCGCTGCGGTGGTTGTCCGTGAGATGGGACCGTGCTCGCTGATACTGGCGTTGGGTTGCAACGATGGGTCTGTTGCGGCACGGTCCAGGTAGGCGGCTAGGAATTCATGCGCGGCGGTCTGGCTGATGGTCTGTGTGTTTTGCACTGTGACCGGGGGGAGGGCCTGAGGACCTTGGGTTGCCATTTTGGTGGAATTGGTATTCTTCGCCGGGTTTAGAGGGTGGTTTTTTGAAGTTGAAGGGCGGTGGTGGCGGTGATTATGGAGTGGTTTGGCCTGGTTGTGGGATTGGTAGAACTGGGAGTAGAGTTTCTCTCGAGTTCAGTATAATTTGGGAGCAGGACGGAGAGTTGCACGAGCGACGTTGAGCATTTCGCATCTCGAGATCAAAAAAGTTCGGTGACGCTAGTCCCGATCGGGTAGATCCTCTTAACGGGATGCGCTGCAACTATAGTTGGATATTTATTGACAGCCAAACGAACATAGTTATATAGTAGATATAGGATATAAGAAGATGCTTACACTTAAAATCAAACCAATTCCATCCTCTATATCCCCTACGAAATTGACTGTACATTATGGCAGCCATACATCTCTAGGCGGGTCCGTGCCAGCGGCTCCGCGCTTAATTTTCTGTCTTCCGACGCCGCGTCTTGTCCACCAGGCCTCACTCGATCTTCAACTCCAGAAAGCTCTCCCACCCCACCTCAATCGCTCTCCAAACAAAGCCAGGGTCGTCAGAATGTTCTGCCTCCGCGCCAGGGCCGTGCCCTCAACCTTCCGGGCCACCACATCGGCCATGCGAACCCCGATGAACAGGTACTCAAAGCAGCCAACAACCTTTCCAGCCTTGAAACCAACCGGATAGCTAACATATCTACTCCACCCGACAATAGATTCGCTCAAATTCCGCAACAATCAAGCACACCCTCCACAATGCTCTCATCCCGATCCTTCTCCTCCCTCCTCTCTACGCCAACCCGCTTCCAACCCTCGCGAACACTCGGCGCCCGCCTCTCCTCGCCAACTACAACCGCAACCGCCTCCGCCTTCTCACCCCTGTCATCACTCCTCTCCCAGAAGGCACCCTCGCAGTCCCGCTCGTTCTCCGCAAGTGCCTCCCTAGGCGTGCGCCGTGTGACGTTCCGTCCGTCACGACGGGTCCAGAAGCGCCGCCATGGATACCTGGCGCGCAAGAAGGATAGGAATGGGCGTAAGACTCTTATCCGGAGGACTCTTAAGGGCCGGAAGGAGTTGAGTTGGTAATTTTATTCGTTCTGGGTCCGACCTTTGAATTGTTCGGGGGTTGTCCGTGGGATATGACGGGATTTATACCATAAAGGTCACGGGGGTGCGGTTGGATTGATTAGAACCCATACCGTCTCACTGTGATGGTGGGAAGAAAGTAGGGGGTCAATTACCGATTTATCCATTCTTGGAGCTATTGTAGTCTTCAAGATTGGATGTTCAGGCAAGACGGTTGGTTGCTGGCGGGTCTTGTTCTGGCGTGTACCATATTTACCTCTCTTGAGGATGTGTGTGACTACATTTCATATAGTGCGAATTTTTCAGCTTTGTTTGTTTCAGTCGAGATCGAGGTGTTTACTGGGTTGCAGTTTGTTTGGAGCAAGTAAAAGAGTAGATTCAGCACTGTCTTATGTAGAGTCTTTTGACACTACAATTTCGTCTATGTGATCTACCTCGCTACCGATGGATATATTGTTCATCAAACATATCACTCATCGTCGCTTTCGTCCTCGCTATCCTCCGATCCGGTCTCGGAGTCCTCGTCATCATCATCTTCGTCCTCGTCCTCATCCTCATCGTCCTCATCTTCTTCATCACCAACCTTCAGACCATAGTCATCCTCGAATTCCTTAAGAGGCTGAACTGTGGGAGTGAAGCCGGAAGTTTCGAAGCCCTGCTTGATGGTCTATTCGCAATCAAAAGTTAGCAATCTATATCTACAAAGCGAAGCTTAGGGAACAACTCACCTCTTCCAACACAGTCGCGCAGGTGACAACCAAGTTTGCAGTCTTGGGATCAAACAACGGCAAGATAATTTCGCGCAGAGCACCCTTGATCTGGTCGGTGGTGATAGCGCGCACGTTCTTGAGCATCTTCTCCTTATAGTCGCTGGGCAATTTGCGCACGACCTGGCGGATGAAACTGCCCTGGGCGGCATTTGCGGCAGTCATCTGCTCATTGGCGTAGTTGACCACGATGCTGCTGATAGCACCCTCAAGCATCAAAGGATCGAAAGGCGTAGCACCGGACAGATAGTTCTCGACAATCTGCTTGCTAGACTCGAACGCCTTGTGGGAGTTCGGGGACCGGTACACATCGAAGTTGACAAAGCCAGTGTCGATGTTGTAACTGAAGTTAGTACCGTATGCCAGACCAGTTCCGCGGACTGCAACCCAGAGGGGACCCTCGACAGCGTTCATGTACGAAATCGCGACCAGCAGTGCGGGCAGATCCGGGGAATCGTACGAGTCCAGACCACGGGCGGTGGCGTAGGCGAAAGACGAGTCGACAGTGGGCATGGGGACAATGTAAGACTTGCCGCCAATGACCTTGCCGGCATCGCTCAGCCGGGATCGTCGGTCAGTGATAGGCCGCAACTCAGTGCTGGTGCCCAGAGTGTCGGCGAAGGGCTTCCAGGCCGAGACGGGGTTCTGGAGTTTTTCGAGATCGGCAATGACGATGATGCGCACGTTGTCGGGTTGGAAGAGAGACTTGCGGATCTCCTCCATACGGCTCACTATTTCTTCAGGCTTGTCAGCGAGCAGACGCTTGACGCGCTTGAGGTAGCGAGCCTTGACCAAAGTAGAACGGGCACGGGTGATCGACTCCTCTGCGTAGTGAACCATCACATGTACAGCAGCAAGCATGTCATCACCACTGCGCTTGGAGTCGGGCACATCGGCCAAGAGACGGGAGTTGATGGCGCGGAGCCTCTCCACGTCGAAGACGGACTTCCAGCACAGCTCCTGCAGCCAACCGACGGCGTTCGCATACTTCTCCAGCTCGACCTGGAAGGAGACACGGAGCATCTCCGAGTTTCCAAGACCGCGAGCAGTCTCCATCGAGTATCCGACGGTGTCTCTCTCTAATTCCACCACGACTTGCTCAAAGTCAATCGTCTTGCCATCACGCTGCACCGGAATGTTGAAGAACGCTTCGGTGTAGATGGAAAGCAATGGACGCAACTGAACGGGCACAGAATCAGCTGAGATGAGAACTGAAAGCTGAACAAAGCTACTAGGAATATGCTCGAAGTGGATGAAAAGGGATTGGTCAGACTTGTCGGCATCCACAAGGGGTTGGACCTTGTTGTCGGGGCGCCCGGCCTTCAGGGCAGCACCTGAACGAGCCGTGCTGGTCTCCATGAAGTGGATTGACTCGGTTCCAGGGATAGCGAACCTTTCCAGAAGTTCCTGCGGAATCTCCTTGTCGTTCTCCGCCTTGGCCTTTTCGAGTTTGTCGGCAAGCTCCTTGAGGCCCTTCTCGCCGAGACGCTCCTTCTGCGCGGCGGCCCGGTCCTCCTCGTCCTTTTTCAATGTGGCGGACATCTTCTTGGATGGGACGCCCAGGATAGTGACGTGAGCCGCATCCGAGATCCATTTCTTGATGAAAGAGCGCCACTGGTCCTCGGTCCAGGTCTCAAGGACATCATATTCCTTCAGAGTTGCGACATCCATCAAGGTCGAGCCATCGCGCTTTCCGAACAGGAAATCAGAGATAACGTACTCTGCGAAGGAAGAGGCAGAAGACTCAGTCGAGAACTTCCAGGTTCGGCGCTGTCGAGCGATACACTCTTTCAAGTACTTCAGATCCAATTCCTTGGTCATTGCATCTTGGAGAATCTCAAAGAATCTCTTCTCAACGCTCTCCAACTTCTCTGTTTCCACGCTGGTCAATGTGAAACGAACCTCCATGCTAGGGTGGTCCTCAGTTGCGTAGTAAACGGCACTGGCGAGCTGTTCTTTCTCAACAATGATGTTCTCTAGCAGAGCTGCAGATGAACCGGCCAAGTACAAAAGGGACACATTAAGTGCCCCGGCTATGATACTGTAAGTATTTTATCTCAATATTGGGGGTTTGTATCTTACATAGCACGGTATCAGTGCAGTCGGGCCCCATGAATCGAATTTCGATTTCACCAAATGATTCATCTTCTTCGGGGAACTCGACCTTTTGAATAACTGACTTCTCCAAGTAGGGAGCCTGCTTGGAATCCACCCAAGGTCTCTTGAATGGTGCCTCTGGGCTAGGAATGACATCCAAGATAGTGTCTTCAAACTTATCCAGGATCTCCAGCATGTTGTCCTGGTCGACTTCTCCGGTGAGGATCAGGCACAGGTTCTTGGGCTGATACATCTCACGGTGGAACTCGCGAATTCGTTCCGCGGGCAAGACACGAAGCTGTTCCATCATACCTCCTGTCTCATAGCGGAAGCCCACACCAGGCGGGTAGGTCAATCGCCGGGCTGCTAGGTCGATCAGCTCAGCGGTATTGTTCTGCACACCCTGCATCTCGGAATACACGACACCGGCATCATTTCCAGAGCCATCGACGTGGTGAACTTCAGTATAGCAGCCTTCGTCAGTCAGAGTAGGAGCAATCACATGCTCCAGGTAGACTGGCAGGATACGAGCAAAGCCTTCCCAGCCTGCGGTATCCAGTGTGTAGGCAGTGTGATCAGTTGCGGTCCAGGCATTGGTGCTGGAGTATACCCGGGTAGCCAGCTTGTCTAGGAAGCCCTTGTAACGGTAATTGCGGGAACCCATGAAGCACAAGTGCTCCAGAGTATGAGGAGCACCCGAATCATCGTGAATTTCAGTAGCAAGCACAAAGTAACCGTTCACTTTGGGACCCGGTTGGTCGATAACGACCACTCTCATGCCGGTGCGCTGTGATTCATACTGAGTGAACTCGCTCGGCGAGTAATCAGGCTTGAACTGCTGCAGCAGTTTAAAGTGACTGTTCTGCACCGAGGGCGACATATTGATCAATGGGACAGACCCAGTGAAGATATTTCGCCGGAAGCTTGACAGTCTGGTTGTTTTCGTTAGCAATTCTTATCCATTGATTAGGAATTCGATACAGTCATGAGGGTAAGCCCGTTCATGATGGATGGATGCCCAGGGAATAGTCTGATAACAAGAACGACAACCACAACTCGGATGAAAGAAGCATATTCACTCCAAGTTGGGTTCGAATAGAATAGAAACAAAAGCAGCAATAATAGGATGTTTTCCAAAACATGTCCCGAAAGGACATATCCAGCAGGCCTGCGACATATCGACAAGGATAATTGACATAGGTGGGGTGGCGAGGAGAAATTTGGGGATAGAAGGTTGATGCACTTGATACCCCTCCATAGGCAATGAAGGACTAAGAACGCGAATCAAATTGACTTACAGAAAACACGTTCTCCGACTCAGGGGGAGAATTCGAGACACGGTGAGTCTGAGATGTCTTCAAAAGGGTGTTGGACCCGGAATTTTTCAAGTTTGGGGGAGACCTCAGTCTCCGGTTTTCCTTACAAAGCGGGCAACTGAAAGAATTTATTATAACAAAGAGAGAAATATTAGATTTCCAATTAATTGCAACCAGTCATATTCAAAGGATATATAGTCTTATTCAAATTCTAGTGAATTTATAGATCTAGAGCGAAAAGCATACACCAATATACACCACGTGGGGGGCGGTGACGCCCAAACCTTGGGAAGTCACGGGTTGTTGACAGCTCAACTCTTCCTTTACATGTGCATCTACACTTTGTATCTCCGAAGCTCCGAGGCTCGTGTTCCTTGAAAATTGGTGCTTCATTACGAAAAAGTTGGCGTCATGACAGGCAATACCGAGGAACTGTGCCAGGCGGTGCTTGGCTTCGTCGCCGAGGGCACGTATCCTGAGGAGAGTGTAGTTGCTGGTAAGTTCCCGGCAGCTGCTCTTGCCAGGGAACTTGAGCTTATATCGAAGGCGCGTGAGCAGGTAGAGGTACGAAATCCCAATGTTCATCTACACACGTGGTGATCACTGACCAGCGCTGCTTTACTTTATTAGAATGAGATTAGCTCCTTGAGTCGCGAGAACACCTTCGATGCCGACGACTGGATTGTCCAAGCGAAACAACTTCACGCCGACATAGAACGCTCCAGGTTGACTGCGCGAGAAATAGTCGCGCAGCATGAACACACCGAACCCCTGCAGGCGAAGGTTGAAGATGCGAGGGCGAAAGTCGCCTTGGTTGAGACGGAGATTGCCTTCAATCAGGCCGTAGCGGGTACCCTAGAGGAGGTGCACCGTTTGTGCCAGCAGTTGGAAACAGGGCGAGCTGCTCTCAGAAATGGCCAGATCACCACCGCCATTGAGCAATTGGAGTCTACCGACGCAGCTGTTGGAAAGGATGCCTTCTTTACCAATACAAATGTGATGGGTATACTATCTGACGAGGTCTCACTGCTGCGATCCGAGATTGTCGAGGCGCTTCGTTCGCGCTGGGCCGATCAATTGAAATTTGACCGACAACAAGGCGAATTCCATGTCTCCAGCGGAGATGCAGATGCAGATTCTCTTGAGAACACTATTACGTCGCTGGCCCGACTGGATATCCTCACATCTGCCATTGAGAAACTACAAAGGGATCTCTTGTCTGCGATCGTAAATCCGATCTTGCTACCTCACCCGGATGGGACCAGCCATGGTGTGGTGGTGACGGAGAACAGCATTCGCATTGAGCCTGAGGCCTCAAAGACAACCGCACTGGAGACTTTGGATCGGCTTTCCAGCGTTTTGGGCTACTTGCGACAAAACTTACCGTCATCGGTGTCCGCAACTTTCTCCGAATCGTTTATTGTAACTATTTCCTCGAAGGCGATCTCCGGTTGGCTATCCTCCGCTATTCCCACCGATCTAGGTGGTCTCGCCGAGTTTGAGAACGTCCTGGACCATGTTCTACGGTTCACCAAGCAGATAGAGTCTTGGGGTTGGACTGGCCAAGAAGAACTCGTCTCGTGGGTCAACCAAGCTCCACGCCTGTGGTTGACTCGGCGTAGAGTCGACTCGCTCGATAGTGTTCGCAAAGTCCTTGCCGCCAGTCAGGGAACCACTAAACAGGTCGAACGAATTGAAAAGGAAAAAGTTTCTCAGACCGAGGGTGCTCTATTGGAGAATGCTGGCAATGATGACTGGGACGCGGACTGGGATGACGACAAAGAAGATGAGCCCAAGAAAGCAGAAACAGCAAAGCCCGAGGAAGAAGAGGAAGATGTTAGTGCGTGGGGTCTTGATGACGAGGACATTGATGAAACCCCCGATCAGGGCAAATCAGAGGCAGCTGCTTCTACAGAAGATGATGACGCCGATGATGCCTGGGGCTGGGGGGATGAAGAGGAAGATGACCATAAAGTCGATAATAAGTCTTCGCAGCCCCAGAACACGGCAGCGACAAACCCAACCGGCAAGAAGAATACAACTGGGTCCGCATCACCAAAAGAGGTCACCCTGAAGGAAGTCTTCACGATCACCGATATCCCCGAGTCTGTTCTTGGGGTCGTTCAGCAGCAAATCACCGACTCAAAAGATATTTCGCAGCCTGCGTAAGTCGTGCCTTTTTCAACGTTTTTCTCCCTTTCGCATCAAACTAACTAGAGCTTAGCCATGCCAATTCCCGTGTCGCTTCTTCTGGTGCTGGTCTTCTTGCATTGCCAACCTTGATCCTGGCTATGTTCAAAGCTACATCATCCACATTCTACTCACTAAAACTTACCTCAGGGCAGATGTACCTGTATAATGATAGCCTGTACCTTGCCGATGAAATTCGGAAACTGGTCGAAGAACATGAACTCTCCAGACTTCAGTCCGATGTTGAAGCTTTGGAGAAATTTGGCAAACTTGCGTATAGCAAAGAGATGCAGACGCAGCGCACGATTGTCACAGATCTGCTTGATGGGGCCCAAGGATTTGGACAATGCTCTGAGCAGCCATTCCAAGCAGACTGTGAGAATTCTGTTAGTGCAACCGTCGATCGAATTCGCGATGTTTACAAGGAATGGCAACCTATACTGTCTCATTCCGCGCTGCTCCAATCAGTTGGATCTCTCTTGTCTACCGTGATCAACAAGGTGGTCATTGACATTGAAGATTTGGGTGATATCTCGGAGGATCAGTCACGGCAACTGGTCTCCTTCTGTAATCAACTCTCAAAACTGGAGGACCTCTTCATACCTGAAACAAATGGTGATGCCGAGGCATTGCCTGTCACTGCCGTCTACGTTCCGAGCTGGCTCCGTTTCCAGTATATGATCAATATCCTGGAGAGCTCCCTCGCAGATATCAAATTCCTTTGGCTCGAAGGGGAGCTGGGCTTGGAGTTCTCTGTTGAGGAAGTGATTGACCTGATTGAGGCCTTGTTTGCAGAGTCGGATTACCGGCGACGTGCTATTTCAGAGATTCGAAGAGCGCCCAGAGGATAAATCCCATCCACGCAATAGAAATACAACGTATTCACTAAATATATGGCAAAGCTACAGTGTATTGCAATCAACTATGTAGACCGAGTGGAGCCATCTCCGCGCTCTGCGTAAGTGTGCCGCACGGGTCACCGTATTTTTTCCTCACCCGCCGAAAATGCGACAGCCACCAAAAAAGATTCCATCTGCAACATCGGCAGCAATTTGAACGATTTTACAATGAGTGAAGATTTGGTCACCTCTGCTGCAGCAGAGTCTGCGCTGAGACAAGTTCGAGTGCAGCTTATCAGCCAGCAGGAGGATATTGCTCTGCCTGAAAGCACCGGCCCAATTCTTGTTCCTACTGGTGAGAGACCCATTGCCGATCAAAAATTATAAATGGTAATATCAAGTACTGACTCTTCCTTTAAAAAGGACTTCGACGATATGCGCTGTCGACCCTTGTGAACAACCTTCTCTCAAGCGAAAAGCCCATTCCATTTGAGTTTTTGATCAATGGAACTTTTTTGCGGACCTCGATTGATGAATATTTGGTCGACAACGGTATCTCTGCTGAGACGACCCTCGAAATTGAATATGTTCGAGCTCTGATCCCGCCCCTTCACATTGCCTCGTTCCAGCACGATGACTGGGTTAGCGCAACAGACGTCCTTTCTACGACTTCACCTGCTGCATCCTGGGCCTCAGGTGCGACTTTCACCAAGGGCCAGGAAAGAATCCTATCAGGAAGCTATGATGGTCTGCTTCGCATCTGGAATATGTCTGCTGAGACTATCGCAACCTCTCCTGCCGCCGCCGATGGTGGCCACACCGCTTCTATCAGAGCCGCCAAGTTTGTTTCCCCGAACCAGATCGCATCGGCAGGTCTTGATCGCACGGTCCGATTGTGGAAGTATACCGAGGGTGAAGGTGGTTTCACCGGCAAAATCTCTCCTCAGCTGGAGCTGTACGGTCACAAGGCTGGAATTGAGTCCCTAGCAGTTCATGCCAAGTCCAACCGTCTGTTGACTGGTTCTGCAGACAACACCGTTGGATTCTGGTCAACTAAGAAGGCCGATGCTCCGGCAGCACCGGAGAACTTGCTTCCTTCTAGCAATGCTCGGAATACAAAGCGCCGCAAGCTGAACACATCCGTCACCACACCTCACCGTGGTCCTTTGACTCTTCTGTCAGCTCACACGGCACCTGTCTCTGCTGCTATCTTCGACGGAAAAGATGCTACAGTTGGATACTCGGCCTCATGGGATCACTCCCTGCGGACCTGGGATTTGGTCACTGGTTCTCTGGTTGACACTCGCACCACATCACACTCACTCCTCTCGCTCGAGCACCTCCCCGAACTTAGCCTTTTGGCTGCCGGTACTGCCGCCCGCCACATCACTTTGATTGACCCCCGTGCATCTGCCACGACTGTAGCTGCCATGACTCTCCGAGGCCACACCAACGCTGTTGTCAGCTTGGCCCGTGACCCCCACAGCACATACGGTCTCATTAGCGGTAGCCACGACGGCACTTGCAGAATTTGGGATATTCGCTCCACCAAGACCGACAAGGAAGGTGTTGTTGGTGAGAGTGTTTACTCGATTACCCGGAAGAGCCTCGAGGAGGAGGGTAAGTCGGATAGCAAGCGGGTTGGCGGTGAAGGTGTCAAGGTGTTCAGCGTGTGCTGGGACAAGACGGTGGGAATTGTCAGCGCAGGTGAGGATAAGCGGATCCAGATCAACCGCGGCGAAGGCGTGCTGTCTTCGAAGGCATGAGTGCACATATGGGCCTGGCGTTTAACACTTGGTTGAGGGCAAAAGTTTAGACTTACACATATTTTTTTCTCCTTACTTTTCCATCTTCGCGTATATCTCTAGCTCGGAATTGGATATATATCAAACTGCAATCTGACAGTCAATACGACTTTGCCGTACATGTAGTTTTGTTTTGAAGCTTCCATTCACCCCGGGTTTATGTCTAGCCTATAATACATCCACAGAGGGGTTCCATTCACATACAAACTGGCAAAAGTCGACTGCCATGAATCAAAAACGCCAAATCCATGCCTCTCGCGCAAAATAGTGAGACAATCCCATAAAAGTAACAATCGAACACGACACCATCAAATTTATAGTCTGCGCTCCATGCGGTTCAACTTGACAGGAGTTTTGATCTATTGAGCATTTGTCAGCAATTAACTCACATAGAGTCTTTGAGATATAGCAGCGCAAGCTGATATATCAAGAGAGCACGAGAGGGAAAAGGGAAACCCACTTGAGTCCGTGTCCGCTGTCCCCTCACAGGCAAGCCCAGCGCATGACGTCGGCCGCGGTAAGTTCCGGTCTCTTTCATGCGCTTGATATCGTTCAGAACTTCTCTGCGCAGATCGTTCTCAATTTTCATATCGGACAGCACGGCTGTGAGGTCGAGGACCTGCTTGTTGGCCAGCTCGCCGACGCGGCAGGTCGGGTGGATGTTGAAGCGGGACATGAGGCGGCCGGAGCTGTTGCTACCGATTCCGAAGAAGGTCTCGAGGGATTTCTGTGGCGCTCAATGCATGTTAGTCGGGAAATCGAGGTTGCGGGCGCAATGAGGGTTGGCTTGCCTTGAGCAGGTTCCGCTCGGGGAAATTGACACCAAGGATAAAAACCTAAGATTTATTAGCGGGGTTTCTTTAGAGGATGTATTGCATTTTGACGGTGTCTATCATACCATCTTGAATTGTGTTGGCCGGCTGGTGTCCTGACAATCGTATGGAGCCGTCACTTGTTGCTCTCGTTGAACTCCGGGAGAAATCCTCCGTCAACGTTTAACGTTTTTCCGTAGCTCTTTGATGCCTGAATTTCTCGGCACCAACCCGTCTATTCTCCGCACGCCATTGCAAGCTGGCCTTCTCCCCTTCCCAATTGCTTCATCTTCCCCTTTCACTGTATCCGACCAGAGCAGTGGCAATTAGCAAGCATGTATTTCCGGAATCTTTTTGTGTCCCTTTTCTTGGTCTTCGCCGTCGGCTTTGCGCTGGTTCAGGCTGAAGAAGCTAAGGAGCCTCGCGGCCCTAAGATTACCTCCAAGGTGATTGACATTGATGTTCTGGATCGGTCTATATGCAAGCCGTACTGATCTTTGGTGATAGGTTTACTTCGATATTCAGCATGGAGATGAGTCCCTTGGTCGCATTGTGATGGGCTTGTATGGCAAGACCGTCCCTGAGGTTCGTAGAACTATATCCCTATGGAATCGGCGATTGAGAGTTATTGCTGACATTATCATTTCTATAGACCACTGAGAACTTCCGGTATGGTGAACTTGCTATGTCAAAGTCTCCAACGATTATACTGTATATGCTAACCCACTTCTAGCGCTCTGGCTACTGGCGAGAAGGGCTTTGGTTACCAGGACTCTACTTTCCACCGTGTTATTAAGGATTTCATGATTCAGGGCGGTGACTTCACCAAGGGTGATGGTTTGTGAACCTCCGAGCAGGTTATATTACATGATACTAAGTGTGTAAAGGCACCGGCGGAAAGTCGATCTACGGCAACAAGTTCAAGGATGAGAACTTCAAGCTGCGTCACACCAAGAAGGGCCAACTGAGTAGGCATTTCCACTCCTTTGATTTGATCTCACAGGCATCTGACCATTCTTAGGCATGGCCAACGCCGGCAAGGACACCAACGGCTCTCAGTTCTTCATCACCACCGCTGTCACCTCGTTCGTATCCCTTGCAATGATTCCTTTGGTGCAATAACTAACTGAAACTACGCAGTTGGCTCGATGGCCGCCACGTCGTCTTCGGCGAGGTCCTTGAGGGCTACGAGATTGTCGACAAGATCCAAAACGTTCCCAAGGGATCCGGCGACAAGCCCAAGCTGGCTGTTAAGATCGTGAAGAGCGGTGAGCTCGAGCTTGAGCCCGAGACTGAGGACAAAGGTAGCCGCGATGAGCTTTAGACAGGTGACTGTCTGCGCGATGTTTCCTCTGCTGCTGGTCGGAAGTGGCTGATGATCTTGGATATCTTAAGAACTCGACCAACAGCCGGGTGTGACCGACAAAGTTCCCGATGCCCCCGATGCTCCCGAGGCCGCTACACCATCCAACTACCTGCAGCCGGCCGTTATTTTCTTCCTTCTGGTCGCCGTTGTAGGTATCTGGATTGCCCGTCGGCGAGGCCAGCAGCAACAGCAAGAGAAAGAACAGTATGATGCGTAAGAGATCATGTTAGATCAACTATACATTATTTTTGAACCTTAACCCCCGCCCTAAACCCCTGAATTTCAATTTCCGATGACTCTCATCATCATAACTTGATAGATCATATTCATGGATGTTACCTTGGTCACGTAGGTGGTGATATACTTTAGTGGACTGGAAAATCATCCACTCAGATCATTTGCCTCTTGTCTTAGTCAGACACGGCGTCCAGACCGCCCGCGAGCAGCAACTGGCGAGTAGAAATTTCTTCAGTGGCGGTAAGTACTTGATCGGTACTTCTGTTAGGCGGGTGCTCACACATAAAAATAGGTTCCTGTAAAGTACTTCCAATAGCCACACAGCGCCCCAAACTCTCCAACTTTTGTTGCCTCCTTCCCACAGACTTCATCCACCCGTTCTCTTCTCTCTTGATTCAACCCCCCTCCATCATCCCTTTTCTCACTACGCTCTCTCTCTCTTTCTCTTCTCTCTAGAGTTCTTAGATTCGGGAGATTTGCATTTTTCATCTTCTCTGTGGTTTTACTGAGCTTTCTTGTTTGCCACTCGATCTTTTTTTTTTTCTTATCGAGTTGAAACAGAAAAGCGATTTGATCTTTTCACCGTCTCTCTCTATTTCTCTCTCTCTCTCTTCTCTCTCTAAAGGTACATTTTATTCTTTGCAAGTATCTTTTCCAAACCACTTGCGCTCTATCTACGACCAACCATCTTCCGGCGAAGCAGAAAAAAACTGTACGCCATAGCAGCTTCACCTGCTTTGGTCGATATCGGACAGCTTCTAACTCTTGTTCCGCAATAGACATTTTCAACCGCAAAAATGGCCGACGGTTTGCAAATGGGAAACCTTTCCCTCAACGAGTCTCAGCACGCCCCCCAGGGTAACGCCCCTGTGGGCCGTGCTGCCTACATTCCTCCTCACCTTCGCCAGCGTGGTCCCGGTCCTGGTCCCGCCCCCGGGCCTAGTGCTAACGCCGACGCTGCCCCTTCTGGACCTGGCTTCGGTGGTCCTCGGTACAGTACCCAAAAGACTGAACCTCATGAAGCGACAACTGATTTTGTATCTTCTAGTGACGGTGGTGGCAACTGGGCCAACGCTAACGCTCCCAACTTCAGCCCTCGTGGCCCCGCGAACGGTATGACCAGCTGGACTCCCGATGGAAAACTCCGACCCTTCAATCCCAATGCTTACGGTAACCCAGGATCTTCTTATGGTGGTGGTAGCAGCGGCAGTGGCGGCTACAGCGGTGGTGGTGGCTCCCAGCAAGCTCGCGGCTCGGGCGATGGCCAGTGGCGCGACGGCAAGCACGTTCCCGGCCCCGCCAATGCTCGCTTGGAGCGCGAGCTGTTCGGAGTTCCCAACGACCCCTCTAAGCAGCAGACTGGAATCAACTTCGCCAACTACGATGATATCCCCGTCGAGGCCTCCGGAAACGACGTCCCAGAGCCTGTTACCCAGTTCACTAACCCCCCTCTGGACGACCACCTGATCGCCAACATCAAGCTCGCCAGCTATGTCATCCCTACTCCCGTTCAGAAATACTCAGTCCCCATCGTCATGAACGGCCGTGATCTTATGGCCTGTGCCCAGACTGGTTCCGGAAAGACCGGTGGTTTCCTTTTCCCCATTCTCTCCCAGGCTTTCCAGAGCGGTCCCTCTGCCGCCCCTGCCCAGGGTGGTGGTGGTGGTCAGTTCAGCTACGGCCGCCAGCGCAAGGCTTACCCTACCTCTCTCATTCTTGCTCCCACCCGTGAGCTGGTCTCTCAGATCTTCGAGGAGGCCCGCAAGTTCGCTTACCGCTCGTGGGTTCGTCCCTGCGTCGTGTACGGTGGTGCAGACATCGGCTCCCAGCTTCGTCAGATCGAGCGTGGCTGCGATCTCCTCGTTGCCACCCCCGGTCGTCTGGTTGATCTGATTGAGCGTGGCCGTATCTCCCTGGCTAACATCAAGTACCTTGTTCTTGACGAGGCTGATCGCATGCTGGACATGGGTTTCGAGCCCCAAATTCGCCGTATTGTCGAGGGTGAGGATATGCCCGGTGTTGATGATCGCCAAACCCTCATGTTCTCGGCCACCTTCCCCCGCGATATCCAAATGCTTGCTCGTGATTTCCTTAAGGACTACATTTTCTTGTCCGTTGGTCGTGTCGGAAGTACTTCGGAGAACATCACCCAGAAGGTCGAGTATGTCGAGGATGCCGACAAGCGCTCCGTTCTGCTGGACATTCTCCACACCCATGGCAGCACTGGTCTGACACTCATTTTCGTTGAGACCAAGCGCATGGCCGACTCGCTCTCCGACTTCCTCATTAACCAGCGCTTCCCTGCCACCGCTATTCACGGTGATCGTACCCAGCGCGAGCGTGAGCGTGCTCTAGAGCTCTTCCGTAACGGTCGCTGCCCCATTCTGGTTGCTACTGCCGTTGCTGCCCGTGGTCTCGATATCCCTAACGTGACCCACGTTATCAACTACGATCTCCCCACCGATATTGATGACTACGTTCACCGCATTGGTCGTACTGGTCGTGCCGGTAACACCGGTATTGCCACTGCATTCTTCAACCGTGGCAACCGTGGTGTTGTTCGTGACTTGCTCGAGCTCCTGAAGGAGGCCCACCAGGAGGTTCCCGCTTTCCTGGAGAGCATTGCCCGCGAGGGCAGCGGATTCAGCGGACGTGGCCGTGGTGGTGGTGGCCGTGGCCGTGGCGCTACTGCCACTCGTGACGTGCGTCGTGTCCCTGGTGGCATGGGTGGTGGCTTCGGCGGTTCCGGCGGTTACGGTGGCTCCAGTGGTGCTGCCCCCTCTTACGGTAGCGGCTACGGCGGTGCTGCCGCTCCCTCTTACGGAGGTAGTGGTGGTGGTGCTGGCTACGGCGGCGGCGGCGGTGGTAGCTACGGCAACCCCTCCGGCTCCTCCGGCCCATCCTCCTGGTGGTAAATCAGTCGTGGTCTTTTGACGATGCCCTCGGGTCTGATTGGCTCCCTTGCTTTATTTTCTTTTGTCTCTCGTTGACGGATACGATCAGATTGAGTCCCTGAGTTCTTTTCTACCTGTGCTATCTCTCAGGGACGGCTTTGTCATGACTGCACGACTTTCTTATGCTTGTTTTAGATTCATATTTTCCACGTTTGCGTATGCTTTAATCTGGTTTCCTTTGTTGTTCCCCTCATGTCTCTCTTCGCTGATTCTATTCATGGCTTTTCAATATTGCTTTGTATGGATACGAGGCATTCGCGCAGTCCGGTCTTTTTTTTTTTGCTCCTGGGAGACACCACTTCTCTCTTCGGGCAACCTATGATCGAAACTGCATGAACATCATAGAATGCGTTGTCTTTTTTTTTCCTATGTCCGCTCTCGTCAGATACCCCTTATGTTCGAGCGTCCCTACCGGGGACACGTTCGAGTGACGCGCGTGCGCCGAGCGGAGATTGATGACTTTTCATCATCTCGAAAAGTTCTCTTTTTCTCTTCGCATTCATCTTCGGTGTTGTTATGGCTGCATTCATCATATGCAGCATAGACTTTTTACAGCGTCGGTATCTCATGGCGGACATTTGTTTCTGTTGCTGCCCTCGTGCGTTCTGCAGTCGATTTTCTTTCGAAAACAAAAACGGGCGCTTTCTTTCTCCGGGCTGTTTCAAATACCGGTTATCTCGCCGTTACACCTCACGGCGCGGCTGGTGTTTTTCGAAACCAAAAATGGGTATTCTTTGCATTCTGTATGGCGTTGGCTTGACCTGCAACTGCATGTCCTCTGCTATCGGGTCCGTGGAGGCTGATTGTCTCCGAATAGGAGCACCTTGCCTCGTTTCCTTGTCTATTCTGATCATTTTTCTCGGACCTTGGGGATAGGACGCTGTCGCCGCTGGAATAATTGGTATACTTATGAATTCTCGGGTTCGAATTGGGAGGAAAAAAATGAACCAATGGCCACGAGAAGGAAAGTTCTCTTATCCAATGCAATTTCGAAAAAGTGTTTCCAATTATATTAGTCCATGAAGTAGGATTCCAGTAGGATGTAGAATCGCAGTAGGATTCAAGATATATATCGGTAAATTTGTTGACAAATATTTGAAAAATATACACCAAAGGTACATATTCCAAGCCCTAGAGGCCCCAGGGCTAGAATGCCTTAATAATATACATTAGTTCATTAGTTCAACGGTACTTTATCACGTTGCTTACTCTCTAAATTGCAAATCCAAAAATGCGTGGCATTAGCGTAGCCGCATATTAAACGCGTGAGGTCTCTGATACGGGTAGATATCACACCAGCTATACCTTCATGGGCCACTCGGCTCTGCTTTCTTCCTCTTTTTCCGGCTTTTGACCTTCATTTTCCCTTTTCCCTTTTTTTTTACTTGGCACTCCTTTTCACTTTTATCTGTTCGCTTTTTGTTTCTTTTCTCCTATACTACATCTGCCTCTTTCATCGGCCGCCTCCTAGGGGGCACTTCATATTACAACCTGCGATTCTCCTAGAATCTGATCGCCGATCTGTTACCAGTTCAAAGAGCCCAACATGGCCGATTTCGAAAATAGCATGATGGATGAGTCCTTTGCGGCTTCCGAGGCTGCGGATGATCAGTCTCACGGCATGACCGCCAGCGCGACGGTCGGTACAAGGCGGCAAGCGAACGGCACAATTGGCTCTGTCTACTCCGGCAACAAGATTCGACACCTGAAGAAAGATGATGGCATACCTCTATGGCGCAAAGATATCCAGTATCAATTCCTGAAGCTGGTCTTTGAGGACAAGACGCCCGTTTTTACGCGGTATCCCGACGGACAGAAGGGAATGGACTTCGCCGATGTCTACATCAATGCAATGGCCCGGAGCAGCAAGACCAGCAAGATTCTGAAGGATAAATTGCAAAACGACAAGCCCGCGGCTATTAATATGGCTATGGTCTGTCTGCTGGTCAACTTCGGTCGCATGAACACTACTCTGAACTGTACGCTTGCAAGCTATGCCATAACATAATTTACCTCCGTGCTAATCGCTATTTCTCTGGTTTCTAGTCTTCCCCGAAATGCGTGCTCAACTCCGAACCTACCACTCGATCCCCTCACTACAAGCGCATCAGGATTCCAATGCCTATAAGCAGCTGCAGGATGCTCCTCGTCTCAAGTCCATTCTTAAGGGAGCCTCAGAGGATGTAGACCAACCGAATACCCTGGAAAAGATTAAACGACAGAGTATACCTCGGACCAACCCAGTGAACTTGATCTTTGTTCTGGCGCAGTATGCCCCCAAAGTGTCGGAAACACACTTCTTTCCTCCGCGAGACTTCTTCGACCTGGTCATGAGATCTACACTAAGCAGCCAAAGTCGCGCTAGGGCGTTCCTTTGGCTGATGTGGTGGTATCTAGAGAGTGATTTCAGTCGCGAGGCTGCACTGAACAATCCGTTCGGTCCAGGTGTGGAAGGCGAGGGTGCTGAGGGCCTTCCTTTGAAAGTACCTGCCTTTGATATCCTGACAGAGGAACAAGCTAGTGAGGAGAATTTGGATACACCTGAGGAACAGGAATATGGGGAGTCCAAAAGACTAGAACGCAAGCGTACGTGTGCCTAGCTCTGACTACTGTTGAAAATAGGACTTGACTGACATTTGATGCAGGCATCCTAGAAGAAGAGGAACCACTACCACGCATTCCCAAGCGACCCAAGAAAGGTGAGCAGGCCATTTTGAATAGCTGTCTTATATACACGTTCTCGGAACGCTAACCTTTCCTACCCGCAGAATATGGCTTTGACGAAGAATCATTCGCAGGAGACTACTCTGGTATGGGAGGTCGTGGCTCCGCTATGTCTACCCCTCTTCACCCTTCTGCTAAACGCAGCTTGGATGACGAGGATGATGAAATGACCCCTGGTCACTCTCGTCCGCGCCCCAAACAGGCCAAGCGGGAGTCATCACTTAATCGAACCGTGGGCCAGCAGCGACTTATCTTGAAAACGAGGATGGAACATACCCCTGATGCTTCCCCCGCCCCCCCAGGCCCCAACCATCCAGTTCTTAATCGCTTCATTGCTGAGCCTTCGCTTTCTTCAGCACCAACTATGCGTCGGATGCGGCCACTTACACAGCACCAGATAGCTGTTGAGCAAAATCGTCGGCAGAGGATTGACTATCTGCTCGCCAAACGTAAATCAAACGCATACCGCGTTCTCCGTGCTAAACGGGAGACTGAGATTCCTTTCGCGCGCTACGGTCGCTTGCTTCAGGGTTTACCCGAGGGCTACGATACAGACGACGAAGAAACCTCGTGGGGCAAGGGTGGTCTCTTCCCGAACCCGGAAGAGGAGGATGACTTTGGAGAATGTGCAAACGTCTTTCTCTCTGTAGTGCGAAAAGCTGCTCGCCGACTCGATCGCTGGGATTACACTGAAGCTAATGGTCCCAAGAAGGATCGCAAGAGGGAGCGAGAGGAGCGATACCAGGCCAAGGCGGCCCTGGAAGCTGATGTGCGAAGCTCCAACAACCGATCCCGCCCACGTCCTCGCCCTAGTGCTGCTGCCAAGCGCAAGTCTACGGGTGTAACAGGCACTCCTGGCACTACCAAGAAAGCTGCAGCGTCACATGCCAAGGGCAATCACGGCCATCCTGATGGCTTGGGGGCCGTGCCCTCAGCTATGGGTACCCCAACCTGGGACCCGGAGCACGGACCCGATGACTACATGGAGGGAGAGCTGGACGATCTCGACCGCGAACTCCTTGGCGAAGTTTCTGGCGAAGAAGATGATGGAGGTGCCCCTCTCCGAGCCGATGAGGAAGGGGACTTCTCTGACGATCAGGACGACGAAGATGACGTGGACGGTGACGAAAATTCCTCTACCTATGAAGGCGCCAATGGTTACGCACGACATGAAGCTTCGTCCCCTGCCCCGAGGGGTCCAGCTGGCCCACGCGGGGAAGGTTACGGAGACGACGCGATGGAAGACTAATAGGGTTGGCGTTTTTGTTTTGAAATCTTGTGTATCACGATCTACTGTTTCTTTTGTCCTTTCTCCTGTGTTCTAGGCGTATCATTCCCTTTCGGAATGGTTGTATTTCAAGTCAATTTCATCTAAGCCCTTGATATAAGTGGCCAGTACTACCTTGACATCTGATGTGCACTGCATGTGATAATTCTCCCCCTCTTTGTCTCCTCATACATCTGCCCACTTCCATACATATGTAGCTTTGGATTGTTTCTTTCCCATAATCTCAAAATAATTCATACCCATTTCAACCCACAAGCTCGGTCAGAAGCTCGGTTAGAAGCTCAGTCATACGAGTACGGGTGTCCGGTCTCAGAGTGGATACAATTGCTGCAGAGTGGTGTGGCCAACAATACGAAGCGGATTCCCAAGGTAAAATTGTTGAGACACTTCATATTCGTACTTTTGTTTCATATTCTTCTTCCTTGAATTCCCCCGACCTAGCTTGATATACATAAATAGCAAGGTAACCCTTGTTGTCCAATTGCATCGAGGAAGTTTATATTTCCGGTAAGCGTCATATCCCGCTCGATTCTCTCCTTTCCCCATATTTACACATTTCGCCTCTAACACATTCCCAGACGCGTACAAAGCAGCTTGTACAATATATTGAAGCTCTACCTATAACATTGGGATCACCTAAACGCGTGGGACAAACAAACCACAGATTTTGCTCTTTTTTTTTTTTTGGTTGCGCCGGCCATCGGAGACTCTGTTTCCCCCGGAAAACCCAACAGAAACGAGAAGACTTGAACTCAACACACGACACAAACCATAATCCATTTACCCATCATGAACGAACAGCCTCGCATCCTGCGTCCGCGCCCGAGACGACCATTCGACCTGACACCCGCTTCAACGGAGTCCTCCGGACCCCCAACACCGGCCGAGTCAACAGGCCCCGAGTACCTGAACCCGCAAGCAGAAACATCGAACTCAACGAGCGTGAGTCGCACAGGATCAGTGATGAACCTGACCTCATCAACGCTATACGGGATCTACTCGCCCACGGCGTTTGACGGATTCCGCGACGAGTCCAGCCCTTGGGGCACGGAAGCCAACAGCCCGGCAGCAGAGTTCCCGCCCGAGCCATTGCAGCGCGCAGCAGAGAAATCGGCCATCGAGCCGCGGCGGATGGCGTTGCGGAGGACTCGGTCTCGGCTGAGCCATGGGTTGTTCCGGGGCGTGATCTTGCCGCAGGCATTGAGCAGCGTGCTGCTCTTTGGATTTGGTCTTGCTTACGGTGTGATCACGGTTCATCTTCATCAGAACCATTGGATTACACCTGTCAAGCTGGAGAATATTCATTACTACGACTCATGGCAATATTTGGGCTTCTGGGGTTTTGCTGGTATTGCTCTGGGTAACTTGCTTCCTTGGTTGGATAGCTGGCGCGAGGGCGAGCCTGATTCGAAGCTCGCGGGTACCAATGAGGAGGAGAGTGAGGATCGCACCCCGTCTTGGGTTACTGTTGCCCGCAGTGTTGGAGCGTTTGTTGGAATTGCGTTTGCTATGGTAAGTGGTCAGGTGTTGTTTTTTACACTTCCTATTTTTTCTCTATTTCTATGGGACAATGCTGACATGTTGATTTTTCTTATATAGCGGAGACTCCCTTGGGAATCTACCACGCAAGCATCGTTGACCCTCGCGCTCGCCAACCCCGTTCTCTGGTATCTGATTGACCGCACCACGACTGGCTTCGTTCTCTCGACCACCGTTGGATTGACTGGCATGGGAGTGGTTCTCGGCCTCAAGCCAGAGCTTGTGCCCACATCGACCGGCCCATCATTAGGTGCCAGTCTTCTGAATGGAACAGGACTGGAGAATGTGCTGGGTGCAGGCATTACACAGGAGAGCATTGCAGTCCGTACTTGGGTTGCCAGTGTCATTTTCTGCGCGTGCGTCTGCTTTGGAAATGTTGGCCGTCAGCTTGCCATCGGAGCTGGCATTAGAGATGTCATGAAGCCATGAAGCTCGAAAAGCGGCTGAGTTTTAGTGGTTCAGGATCGACTCGAGCTTTACTGGGGAACGGCCTTGTATGGAGGGCATGAAACGTTTTAATGTATATTCGAAATAACTATGGCTCTGATAAATCTGATAAAAGAATTGTAATACAAGTCAAATCGGCTCCGCTATGACTTAATTCGCTACGCAAAAAAGAAATTGTGCTGCGGAGTCAAGAACCCTAAGATTTATAATGATATACGAAGATCAAAAAGTAATAAGTTTCAAAAGCTTCAATGATATTTATTATTTTCGATTGGTATGTAGAATCAATCATTGCAATCCCTACTACATGACCAGAGGTCAGCAGGCACTGCACCCAAGATCGACACCTTTGCCAGTTGGCACTTGGTCTCCATTCTCTATACGATTTCCGTACTTCATCAGACGAGTCTTCGTAGGAACGCTTTTTGAGTAGAATGTGAGTTTTGCGTTGTTCATGAAGAAGAAAAAAGAAAGAGAAGATGGCGCCTCTGAGAAATCTCTTTTGTAGCCCAAGATCACGTGTCGCGCTAAGACCCTCTTGACAATGCCGGTCTCTGATTGGCTGGTGCCATAGTGGGCTGAAGTCGATCACGTAACACAGCTTTTTGCTATCGAGCCCCGCCGCAATCGGTCCAAGGTCCAACCCCGCGAGTCATATTTTCCTCTTTTTCTTCTGTTCGTCAATTGTTATACCCTCTTCGCTTGTTTTAGGTATGTTATTCGATTCCTGATATCAATTGATTTCAATTGCCGGTTGGATTTGGGAATTCATTCTCTAACAGATCTAGTGTCGACCGTTGGATCCATCATGTCTCAACAAAAGACTGGTATGTTACTCTTGGACTTCATAGTTCCCCGGACTATGATATATTTTATTCCAAGCAGTTCAGGATCAATTCTAATATCATCATTTTGGGATTGAACAGCTATCATCTCCGTCTATGACAAGACTGGTCTGCTTGACCTGGCCAAGGGTCTGGTCAAGCAGGAAGTCCGTCTTCTCGCATCTGGCGGTACCGCCAAGATGATCCGTGAGGCTGGATTCCCTGTCGAGTGAGTTATCTCTGTCGTCAATGATGCAACGAAATACAAAAAAAATCGTTGTGATCAATAAAAAGCCCAGGAACTGACAATTAATTTTCAGGGATGTCTCCGCCATCACCAACGCCCCCGAGATGCTCGGTGGCCGTGTCAAGACCCTCCACCCCGCCGTGCACGGTGGTATCCTCGCCCGTGATATTGAGTCCGACGAGAAGGATCTCGCCGAGCAGAAGATCTCCAAGGTCGACTTCGTCGTCTGCAACCTGTACCCTTTCAAGGAGACCGTCGCCAAGGTCAACGTCACCATCGATGAGGCCGTAGAGGAGGTCGATATTGGCGGTGTGACTCTGCTCCGCGCTGCGGCCAAGAACCACAAGCGTGTGACCATCCTGTCAGACCCCCGTGACTACTCCGATTTCCTCAAGGAGCTCGAGGCGGGCGCCATCACCGAGGCTAGCCGCAAGCAGTACGCCCTCAAGGCATTCGAGCAGACTGCCGACTACGACTCCGCTATCTCAGCCTTCTTCCGCAAGGAGTATGCTGGCAACGGTCTGCAGCAGCTCTCTCTGCGCTACGGCACCAACCCCCACCAAAAGCCCGCCTCTGCCTACATGGTTCAGGGCAAGCTGCCCTTCAAGGTCCTCAACGGATCTCCTGGTTACGTTAACCTGCTCGATGCCCTGAACGCCTGGCCCCTGGTTAAGGAGCTCAAGCAGGCTCTTGGCTTCCCCGCCGCTGCCAGCTTCAAGCACGTTTCCCCCGCAGGTGCCGCTATCGGTGTGCCCCTGAACGAGAAGGAGCGCAAGGTGTACATGGTCGACGATATCAAGGATATCGAGACCTCCGGTCTGGCTCAGGCTTACGCTCGTGCCCGTGGTGCCGACCGCATGTCCAGCTTCGGTGACATTCTGGCCCTCAGTGACATCGTCGATGTCCCCACAGCTAAGATCATCTCTCGTGAGGTGTCCGACGGTGTCATTGCCGCTGGATACGAACCTGAGGCTCTGGCCATCCTCTCCAAGAAGAAGGGCGGCAAGTACCTTGTCCTCCAGATGGACGAGGACTACACCCCGGCCCCTGAGGAGACCCGCACTCTGTACGGTGTCCAGCTGACCCAGCACCGCAACGACGTTGTCATCTCCCCCAGCAAGACCTTCAACACCGTCATCACCCCCAAGAACACCACCTCTCTCCCCGAGGCTGCTCTCCGTGACTTGACCGTCGCCACCATTGCTCTCAAGTACACCCAGTCCAACTCCGTCTGCTACGCCCTGAACGGCCAAATCATCGGTCTGGGCGCCGGCCAGCAGAGCCGTATTCATTGCACCCGTCTGGCTGGTGACAAGGCCGACAACTGGTGGATGCGCTTCCACGAGCGCGTCATCGGTATCAAGTGGAAGCAGGGAACCAAGCGTGCTGACAAGTCCAACGCCATCGACCTGCTCTGCTCCGGTCAGACCCCCCGCACCGAGGCCGAGACCGCCGAGTATGAGCGTGTCTTTGAGGAGGTCCCTGCTCCCTTCACCCAGGAGGAGCGTGAGGCTTGGCTCCAGAATCTCGGCGAGGTCGCTGTCTCGTCCGATGCCTTCGTATGTAATCCCCTTTCATGTCCGCTTATCTTCTCTTCCGTGGTAAATGCTAATTGTCTCCACTAGTTCCCCTTCATCGACAACGTCTTCCGTGCCGCCCGCTCAGGTGTCAAGTACATCGCCGCTCCCACTGGCAGCCAGAACGACACCCCTGTCTTCGAGACTGCTGAGAAGCTGGGCATCACCTTCGTCGAGCAGGGCGTCCGTCTCTTCCACCACTAGATTGTTCTACTGGTTGTCGTCTTTCGGTCTCTTTTCCTCTATTCCCCTTTTCCTCTCGTAAAAAAAAAAAAGATGCCATCTCTGTGGTTTCCACTGATGGCTATTCGATATGATGATGATGTCAGGTTTTTCCTTTTGATTTAGATAAATTTATACATATATTTTGAGTACACGTGCTATATAGTAGTTTTGTTATCTCAACAAGTACCGAAAAAGGAAAATAAAGTACGAGTTGCCCCTTTTTTTTCCCCCCTCTGCCCTCACGACATTGGCCCTAATATGTCGCATTTAGAGTTTGATGCCGAGACCCGATGCTTGTTTTTTTTTTGACGAATGCCTAAAGTCTGAACAAGTCTTACGCCTTCCCCTCGCGCTAGTTTAGCTCAAAATGAATCGTTGCAATATGGAAGGATTTCTCCGTCGGAGCTCCGCAGTACCGAGGGGGTGTTCATCAGACTAGCACGCGCCTCTGAGATAAGACAAAAGCAAAAACACCAAGCAAGACCAAGCCAAACCAAGCAATGACACACAATATTGAGAGAATAAGCCCCAGAAGTTGCGATTATCTTCACTCTTCGGCTATTCCGGAGATATCGAGACCAATATCCCCAATAGGGATATTGATCTCTCGTGTCGGATGTCGAATCCCGCTTTTGGTGTCTCAAACATTATGCAGATACTACAGGTCATATCCAATCAGACCTGTCTAATTTAATTGGTACCTTTTCGCCATTTCAAAATGGGGAAATTGAGGTTACAATCATACCATCGCGATTAGCTGCTCCCGCGTCTATATCAAGGAAGGGATTCCCCTGTCCATGCAGGATGATCAGGTACTATCACAGCTCCATTATTTCTCGAGATGTTGGTACGTCAGGTTTGTGTCGCTCTGGCGATCGCTGCTCTTTCTGGAGCAGTCCCAGCACCGGTGAAGCATGTTTTGCACGAAAAGCGCAGTGAGCATGTGGATTGGGTGAAGGGCGAGCGCATTAAGCGCGATTCCGTGCTGCCTGTTCGCATTGGTCTTACCCAGAACAATTTGGAGAAGGGTGATGAGTATCTCATGGCTGTGTATGTTGTTTCTATATGTGTTTTGTCTCCATGGTATGTGGGGTCACTAATACTTGTATAGTTCTGACCCGAGCTCTCCCAAGTACGGACAGTATTGGACTTCAGAGGAAGTTCATGATCTGTTCGCTCCTTCCAAGGATTCGGTTGAAGCTGTTCGTCGCTGGCTTGAGTCGTCTGGGATTCATGAATCCCGGATTGTCCACACCGATAACAAGGGATGGTTGGCTTTTGATGCCTACGCGCATGAAGTAGAGGAATTGTTCAAGACTAAGTTCTATGAACATGAGCATGCCAGCACTTCCAGCATAAAGATTGGCTGCGAGGAGTAAGTCTTCTTCCTGCTTTCTAACTACTTTGGACTCTGTTAACAGTGTTAGGTACCACGTCCCTGAGCACATCCAGGCACACATTGACTATGTTACTCCTGGTGTCAAGCTCAGCCCCATTGTCAAGAAGAAGCTCAGTACTATTGACAAGAAGAGCAACATGGCCAAGCGCATGTCGCACTTGGCTCATTCCAAGGGCATCGATGAGTCTGCCACCACTGCAGTTATTTCTGAGAAGGCGAAGTCGCTTCCTGCGGATCTCCAGAAGTGTGGAACTGACATTACCCCGGCCTGCATCAGGGCCTTGTACCACATCCCCGAGGCCAAAAAGGCAGCCGAGGGCAACTCGCTTGGTCTCTACGAGCAGGGTGACTACTTTTCCAAGACTGATATTGATCTCTACTACAAGAACTATGCTCCTTGGGTTCCCCAGGGTACTTACCCCATTCCTGCCTTGATTGATGGAGCCAACTTCTCGGTGCCTGATTACAGCCCGCTGAATACTGGTGAATCGGACATTGACATTGATATGGCGTAAGTACTATTTCCCCCCTACTTGCTATTCTGTTCTTTTCTAACAACACCAGTTATTCCCTCATCTACCCCCAGACCGTGACCCTTTACCAGGTTGATGACCAGATTTATGAGCCTCAGGAGGTTGCGACCACTAACCTGTTCAACACTTTCCTTGACGCTCTCGATGGTGTATGTTATATTCTTCCAAAAATCAAATGTATCTTGCTAACAACCCCAGTCTTACTGTACATACAGTGCCTACGGTGAAACGGGCGACAACCCCGATATCGATCCGGTCTACCCTAACCCCAGTGCCGGTGGCTACAAAGGTAACATACCATTTCCACCAATCAAAATGATCTGATCACTTACACAAAAACAGGCGAGCTCCAATGCGGAATCTACAAGCCCACAAATGTCATCAGCGCTTCCTACGGCCAAGCCGAGGCCGATCTCCCCGTCGCCTACACCAAGCGTCAATGCAATGAGTTCCTGAAGCTCGGCCTGCAGGGTCACTCCATCCTCTTCGCCTCCGGCGACTACGGTGTTGCTTCCTTCCACGGCGATGGATCCGCCAACGGATGCCTCGGACCCGAAGGAAAGATCTTCAACCCCCAGTACCCCTCTAACTGCCCCTACGTGACCTCCGTCGGTGGCACCATGCTCTACGCCGACCAGACCGTCAAGGATGCCGAGAGCGTGATGCACGCTAACTTGGGTGGTACTGCTGCCAACTTCAGCAGTTCTGGTGGCTTCTCCAACTACTTCCCGCAGCCCGCTTACCAGAAGGAAGCCGTGGAGAAGTACTTCGAGAAGGCGAAGCTGACCTACCCGTACTACTCTGAGCTGGAAGTCGACCTTAACACGACAAAGGGTCTCTACAACCGCATTGGTCGTGCTTATCCTGATGTCTCGGCTAATGGCGCTGTGTTCCCTGCCTACACTGGTGGAATCAGGGAACACTACTACGGCTCTAGCTTGGCGTCGCCGTTGTTCGCTTCGGTTCTGAACTTGGTAAGTTGAGGCTCCGAATTTGTTTGTTGATTGTCTGGTGCTAATGGCTCTGCTCTTGGTAGATTAACGAGGAACGTATTCACAAGGGCAAGGGCCCTGTTGGTTTCGTGAACCCCGTGCTTTACGCTCACCCACGCGTCCTCAATGATATCACCAACGGTACCAATGTTGGATGTGATACGCAGGGTTTCAGTGCTATTCCAGGGTGAGTACAATCTTTTGTACATTGACGATAGGCTTTTTACTAACGTGCCATGCAGATGGGATCCCGCTACCGGACTGGGCACACCTAACTTCCCTGAGATGAAGAAGCTGTTCTTGTCTCTGCCTTGAGATGAATAAGGGCAGATCTTGTGTAACAGACTTGCATGTTGAGTGTTTTCAAGTGTCGCCTTGATGAACATCAAGTATCGAGTTACTCTGGGCAACTACCGAGAGTCCCCTTAAGAAGCCAGCGGTCCGCATTTGGCTATTGTATGGGGATTTCTCTATGATTTTCATGTCCAGGCTGTGCCTCCTTTTTTATCTTTGTTATTTATGTGTATATTCAATGTGAGATGGTTTTATGGAGCACTTGGACCACCAAGTGCAAAATGAGATGCTTGAGTGAATTTTTTGTATATTCTAACTCTCTTCTTCCTGCATTCTCGTTATTGAATGAATGATTCTAAACCAACAGCTACGCACAGGCTACAGCTCTGCTGCAGGCTACCGTCAGGGTTACTGTGCTTCGTTTAGGACAAAGAGAGCAAACAAAATATCTTCATCCTACCTAGCTGAGACGGGTTTATGCCCACTAGAGTATATTTAATAGCGTAGCATCAGAGCCGACTAGAGTTAGAAAAGATCACCGAAGCCGATAGCATTTAAATTGGCCCACGCGTACCCTGGAAATAGTATATGTTTCGGCCTATGCCGCTGTTGGAAGATTATATGGACTGATTTCAGAGGGAAAGAAGGTCCGTTGACTCCCATCAACGTTTTAATCGACTGGGATTTCAACAAAATATGTGTCTCGCACATGTTCACCAAATACAGACATGTCACCATATGCATGAATCCAGATTATTTGAAAGAGCACAAGTTATCTATTCTCTTTCAAATAACAAAGCCTGTCAGAAATTATACAGTCACTAAGTGTTATCATGGTTTATGCTAAAGTGCCCCAAATGTGAGAATCATCTTGGTCTACCAGGCAGCTAGAGACAGTCTCCATTTTCGATTGATCTAATTCCTCTGACTTGTTTCTCATTTTTCTCTTATGTATTAGTTTCGTTTAAGTTACTATTAGTTATACATAGCTTCGGTCCTTGATGCTCGAAAATCGAGGGGGGTGGGTGGCCGCCTTCGAACTATACGCCAGGGTGGTCCGTGCGGGAGGATTTGTATAGCTTCAAATATCTATGAACCGGGGATATAAAAACCCCGTTTCCGTCCGTTTCTATCATCAATGAGCTGCCGGTCTCATAAAAACATCTTAGGCAGGCATCTACGACCAGATTGTCATCAAAACATCCTTCGGGCGGTAGCGTAGAAAAGGCAAATAAGCCGCTGATAGCTTCCGCTTAAGAGCTCGACCGGAGAAAAGCAAGTAAACAAAACCTCGACCAGTCCCAACCACACACACGCGTGCAAATTCCGAGGCATCATGACTATGTTTCCAATTGAGCTTCCTGTGAGTATAATCCTTCAAAATTGAAGCCCACAGAATAGTAATTAACAAGAGTATACACATAGCTCAGCGATGCTCCCCCGGATCGCGGGCCCATCTCGGGTTCCCCACCCACCGACATCTACCAGCTGTTCGTGGCCGTCTACCACCGCGGCGAGCTGTCTCTTGGCGACTACCGAAAGCGTCTCGGCTTCTCCGCCTACCACTGGGCCATCCTCGTCCTGGACTCGAACACCGAACGCTACCACGCCTACGACGTGACTGACGGATCCTCGCCTGACCCAGTGATGCGACGCGACCTCAATCCCGACTTCCAATGGACCTACCGAGTCAAGACCAATGTCCACCCGGAGTCGTGTGACTCCCTTCTCGTCAGAATGGCAATCGGAGAAGTTGACGACGGAATCGGCCCGGATACCATCAAGCTCCTCCTCCAGTCTGTTCAGCTGCCGATTAAGGGTGCTTATCCTCCCCAAAACTGTGTCAACTGGATCAGGGCTGTTCTGCACAAGCTTCGCTTACATGGCTACACCCATAACCTGCACGACATTGAGATGACTATTGATCGTGCTCTTGCTTATGCTGATCTTCGTATGATGGACCCTGACCATTCTGTTGCTGTTCTTGATCACCTTGGCAACGAACTGTTTTACAGGCCATATGTGAGGTGATATGTCTTGAAGGGATGCGTTTTATTGCTGAATCTTGAAGGGTTGTGTTTTTGCTGGAGTTCCTGGTGACTGGTGCTGGCTGGGCGTCCTGGGCGTCACTTGACCATCCACTGTTTGTTAATCTGAGCATGGCTCATTGAGCGTGAATCAATTATCTTTCTTTTTAAGCTAATGGTCTGTATTTTCTTTTTGTAGTTATATTGATTATGCTAGGTAGTGCGGCGCAGCTAGATGTAGATTGGCAACGCCATCACATGGCTTAGTTTCTACCATACATGTATATTGGATACTAATGAACAAGCGAGTCTCTATGGAGACATATAGGCTAGAGATTGATCAAAGCGCAGATCATGCCCTGGAAGTTTGTTTCCCAGCTTTGTTCACAACTCTACAGTTGCTTAGTTCTTTGTTTTGACAAATTACACGCACTGCTCATTTGCTTGCAGGTGGCAAAGAGGTATTTATAAAAAGAACACCTAATTTTGCGCGAGTTAGAGTAATCTAGACGCACTATGAATCGATAAGCGATTCCACATATACTATATTCAACCCTGTCAAGTGAGGGTGGCGCTTTCCAACTAGAGATATTCACCGCAGAATTTGTAGGCCGTTGTGGAACAGATGATAATCTAAAATCCAATGACCAGGCCCTTTGAGGGGCTTGCCAAGAAGAGAAATTGAGCCAAATTTGACCAAGCTTGTCGTAGTCTTGACCTATTGAATTCTTTTCTCGGATATGAGGTCCTTGACCAATGTGAAATTGACTATGCTTGACTGAAGGTTTTCTAGTATACTCTCCTGTCTGTATATACAAGTACCCACTGCGAACACGTACATACATGGTCTCTCCGCTAAAAGCCTGCTTGCTTCCAATACCCAGTTCTTCACAATCTCCACGCAGTCTCTAGTTCCCTAGTGTACACAAATCAAGTCTTTTTTTTCTGCCTTTTTCTGCGGTCCATCTATGAAATTAAGGATAAAAAAAATTATAAAACATAGGACATATAAAACCACCAAAAAGTAATCAAAAAGACGTCATGAGCTTGGAAGGCCGCAAACGCGGCTAAGTATTCTTGTGTAGGATCAAACAAAACCTCACAACCTCAAAATCATCTCCAATATTGGATATCTTTTTATCTAGAATCACCCCCAGTAGTCATGTAATGGGCCATCGTCAAGTGAATTCTAGTTCACAAGCTATTCGGAGTTTTACATAGTAAAGTGCTCATACTGAGAGACATACATAGCTAATATTTGAGAGAAGTATACGACTACTGGAAGAATCAACCTGACAACGCCTTGCGTGGCCCACTCGTATCACCTTCCCTAGCAATATGACCAGATTTCCTACCAATGAGCTACTGTACCTATTTGTAGAGAATCGCGTGGTCAGTGCTGCACGTGGTGGGTGTGGAGAGATAAGGTTGTTCGGTTGATCGCTTCTCGAAGTAATCCCCAGGTTCCTAGTCCAGGTAGCTACAGCCTCGAATAAACTAGAAAGCGGGAACTAAGATAAGACTATAATAAGCAATCAACTAAGACATCGACTACTAAACAACGCTCTATAAAGAACTCCCAATCCAAGGGTTTGTCGATTACTATATCAGTTGCGGCGCCAGCAGCATGCTTTTTCTAGGGGCTCTTCAAGGAGAAGCAGTCAAAGGCACTTTAATTACTAATATCCCATTTAGCTAGAATGAAACGGACGTGATTAGGCTATCAACAACCCCTGATTCTTGATCTTAACATCCACGAGTAATAGCTTGTTTCTGGAATTGTTTGCCGAACATATAATAGGACATTGAAGGACTTCCAGGATTTGAAGATACAGGAGAATCTGAGGACCCTGTGAAATCGACGCTGGAAATGATAGGTTTCAGGCCAGGAACGGGTCCACTCGCGGACGTCGGGGTGCCGCTTAACCGCCCGCCCTATATCTTCACTATTATCATCTGACCGAAATATGCAGTACGACAATGTAAGTTTGTTAGTATAACTACGGAGTAGTAGCAGCGGATAGCTCAAATCAATTTACTCCGTATATATCTCAACAAATCCACATGGGTGCAACGAGAAACCCGCTAACTGCAACTTCAAGAAAAAAAAAATGCCTCAATGATCATCATGAGTCACGAGGAACTACGATATACGGAGTACGGAGCATCAAAGTGAGTAATATTGAATCCACACGGACGATTTCATCCGACTAGCCCCGTAGCCATGTGCCGTATAGCCAGCAGCCCGCAACTAACCTCGATCTGGCGGTGGAGGAAGATCAGTTCCGAGCACCGGCAACGAAGTCCCGTGATCGAGTCACATTCTTCTTTTTTCACGTGTCGATCACCCGTGAATGATAGCTATAACTAATGTGAACAAAAGCCAAAACTCTAACGGGTTTAACGTGGATTGAGAATGCATACCATAGCATAAAGGGTGCACAGTGCACGATCCACGCGGACACGGAACTCGGAGACGGAGCTGAGTTTTCAGCCGAGAACCGGAGAAATGCTGTCTGCAGAGGGCCGAGCTACTTACCTAAGAAGGCATAAGCACGGGCACCAAAGCATAGATTCTAATGGTTAGACTTGGTTTGTGTTTATGCTGGTTATTAAGAAATTAGCATAATCTATGCATCAATCATTATCAGCCTCAAGCGAACCATGTCGCCTATTTTGGACGAATGATGATCAGCAAATAATTGATTCTCGTCTACGGAGTACTCCGTGTTCTTCCTTGATCTCAGCCCATCAGGCAATAGGTACATGCTATATTTCACATCATCCCTAATAAATTAGTAACCTAGGAATCCTCCACTTGTAGAATCAACAGAATCCATCTCTCAGCCAACGGTAATACATGACAAATGTCCGAAGCTAAAGTCCTTGATGTCATACCAGTCACAGTGGATCTCGGAAAATTTAGTCAAAAGCCGAAAATCCGATGTCGATTATTGGGCGTTCAATAAAGTGGTTGACAACCAGCCATGGCGTCGTTGCCCGATGATTATTGTTTTGTATTATCTCCGTATCCCCACAACATAGACCCTGAATTCAATTGTTCTAGACTGTGGCTAGATTTACCTGTTGACCTCATCATTTCCTAATTGGGAAATTCTTCGTATTCAGTCGATATTGTTAATCATTGATTGAAGATTAGAAGACAAATTACATACCTAGAACGTTTTCCATGAGAGAAGCCTAAAGCCTAAATAATCAGTAAAAAAAATTGAGACATTTCGTATTCGGGTATACCGTAGGGCTATGAAGTGGAGATTCGAAGTGTTTCGAAAGGGTAAGCCATGCGAGCGAACCACCTGCCCAGGTGGACCTTTTTTAAGTGCTTAGGTCATCTGAAAAGCGACTGGAGTGGACCTTGCTTCGGTGATATCCGCATGGACCTTACCTTACTAATACGCCAAGATCAAGGTCCAAGGCTGACATCTGAAAACCAGTGACCTGACCTTGGCAGGTTTGAAGTTATGTGACGCATGCCAAACACGCTATCATGGTCAGGTATGCAGTAAGGACTATACATTGTACCTGTATCCTGAAGCGAGAAACACCTAATCTAACCCCCTCCTTGCAGGGCGCAGTGTCAGGCTTCTCTCTCTGTTTTGAGCAGATTTTATGTGGGGACCAATGAAATCCGGCAATGCCGCATTGTGTGTCACATGTGGAATGTACAACGTACAACCTACTTTCTACGTTCGTAGGCAACGCTGTAGAACCGATGAGCGAACCGTTCTGGGGTACGGAGTAGTGTTGGAACTATGTTGCCTCATGGCCTCATGAGGATCTGTGCATACAACATGCCAATAGTCACTAAAGTACCTTCTTGGGCGTCCCCACCGCACAGCCTACCCATGCATGGATTCCTGGTCAATCTCGAATTCCTGGGGAATGCTAGTCTGTCACTGCTGCCAAGGCTATGCAGTGGTCGTACTCGTCTAGGGAGAGTACGGAGTACAGGCGAGGGGTAGTGTTGCATAATACAAAATACGCATACGGCAAGGTGGCTTGGCTTCCAAGGTTCAATGTTCCAAGAGCCTCCATGCTGACATGCCAACTCACTGGATAATTTGTCAACTTGGATACCTAGATAGGATCCCGACACGTCGACATGTGGTCAAAGCAATTGTCAGCTACAGTGAAATCTTATATCTTATACAACCTTGGAAGATAGATGATGTGATTTGGCATACTGTGATTGGAAATCGAACTGCTATGTAATCCAAAACCTTAGTTCCAAGGTTCTATGGAGAACCTTAAAGATTGTATCTGTAATCAAACTAACCAGAAAAGGAAAAAAATGGAATTAGGAATTAAGGAATTAAGGAATTAAGGCAACAAAATAATAAAATACAATAAACGGCAAAAGGTGCCACCGATATTCCGATCGGTTTGTTATCCTCCGATACGGACCACGGCACGGCGGATTGGTCATCCGAGCGCCGTTGTATGTGACTCACTTGCATTATCTGAAAAATTGGACATTTTGAATTAAGTACATTGGAGAATATGTACTTCTTATATATGTAAATAAGTACCTATGCTGTAAGTATCTAAGCACAGTGTGTAACGTAGCGGTGAAGATCTAGAAAATGGGAACCTTGAAAGCGAACAGTGCATTATTCATAACTCGGGGCTCGGCGTATACCCTTTCTCCATTTTTTTTATTTCCGGTGGATCTCTCATCTTCCGTAAACTCCGTTTCGGGTCGATCGGACTAAAAGGAAAAAGGAAAAAAAAAAGAAAGAAAAAAAAAAAAGAAAAAGCCTGCCTTGTCAGATTAAATATAAACCTCTTGTCCTGGAATTGTTTCTGATATCTCCAAGATCCAAGATCTACTTTTTTAAACCTGTTACACTATCGATCTCGTCCCCCCGGAAGCAACATCTGATCTATCACAGTATACTTTCATGTATAACAAAGTTGATCTACTCCCTTATCCCTTCTATCACACCGCCCCACGACGATCCACTGTGACTGGATGACGCCTAATTGAGTCACCACCAAAGAGTCATACCCAATAATCCTTCAAAAGCTCGTCTGGCCCACCATGGACTCCTCATCTGTTACCTCTAATACCTCCAAACCCTCCCCCTACTTCGACTCTCTCCTCCGTCGCCGCCAACAAAAGAAAATGAGCATCACTCAGACATACTATCTCGCCCACACCGCCCGGAAGAAGCTCACTCGTGAAGCTTCCCGGGCAGACCACGACCTGCGCTTGCTCGTTGGCCACGCAAACCTCCTCGACTCGCTGATGTACGATCTTGCCGATGCCGAGCGTGAACAAGAACGCTGGTTCAACCAGACCGTCAGCGGAGCCACCAAGGCTTCTTCTTCTTCTTCCTCTCGTCAACACATCCAATGGGCTTCGAGTGTGGTCGAAGAGCCCGAGGAAGACTGGGACCCGGAGGATGCGTCCGATTTGGACTCTGAACTCAGCGACAGCGACGACTCCGACTACGATGAGTCTGAATTCGTTATCAACACACCTCCCGTCCGCCGCCGTGCTCCATCACCGGTGGCTCACTTCCAAGATGATCTACTGGAGGAGGATGACGACGCCGACGACACAGATTCGGACTTTGAGTACGACGATTCGGAGGATCTGGACGATCTGAGCTTGACTCGCTCACCCTCACGACAGTCACCACCTGAGCTCCTCGCTGATTCAGACGGAGAGTCCGAGGACGAGGCGACACCACCTTCCCCGCCCCAGCCCACGCTGGAGGCATTCGATGAAAAGGAGCCTGCTACTACGGCTATTGCCTTGGCAGGCTCTGATCAACCCCATCTCTTTGAGCAAGGGTATTTTGGTACACAAGAGCAAACCATGATCGAGGCTTATTGATTAAGCTCGATCACTCCCACTCCGTTACGACCCCGACTACACTCTTCACCTCTCTCTCTGCCTTGTGTGCCCTAATCAAGCGATATATACGTGATACCCTGATGCTTTAATGACGATGTCTTTGGAGCGAGCTTATATTTACCATCTCTCATCTTCTATTTTCTGGCGTTTTTGGTTCGGTCGCATCTGGCGAATCTCCATTTTGGACATTTCATTGTTTTTCATGTCATATGGACATTTTATTACATATTCTCTCATCTCTTGGCTATCTGTGATAGCGGCCCAACATTCAGCTCTCCCTTCAAAGGTCGAGACTGTGCATTGGAGCGTTGAAAAACACGGGGGGAAGACATTGTGATCCCAACCGATATACACGAAAAGTGTCTTGACTTCCCCTCAGAAAACAAAATTCAATAAAAATTCTAAATCCTCAACAAACTTCCATCTACTCCGTAGCAAGTACTCCTTGGTCTATAGTACAGTAAATAGTCCTATTCAAACCGGCAGAATCGCACATGTGACCTCGTCGATCAGCGGGTCCGAGCGCGTTCCCAGCCAAATGGAAGTGCAGCTCGCCAGCACGCCATGATCTTCACCGCCGGATAAGATAGATAGATCAGAGCCAAGGGCAGATAGTGTGAGATCATCGCGGCTAGGTCGGCATAGGGCGCCGCTACGCGTTGATAGTCTGAAGGGTTTTACTAGTTCATTATTATTTACTCCGTACGTGTCCGGACACTCCACGGAGGTTGGTTAAGGAGGGGGGGGTTATATTTTTTTTCGCTTCTTTTTGCTTCGAATGGATACCTTGGCTTTGTTAGAAGTAAGGTAGTGCGGGCTCCAGATTGGGTTAGTAGATTGGGCTAGTGAGTGAAAATCTTGAGGCTGGGGGGCTTAGGCGTTTTGGGTATGCTCTTCGATTGTTGGGCGATCTGGACTGGTTATGTTATTGGTTCGGCTCTTTGGGGTTATTTGCAAGAGATCTTCCCCTATCTGGCATCATTCTCCGTTATCTGATACTCTGTATCCGTGCGGATGTCGGAGGTTCTCGAAATATGAAGTTAGTCATGTTATATGCATAAACATCATAAACTACGTGGGTCCTTTGATTGTGGCTTAGGACGGAATATGTTGCCCGAGATGTCGCAATATGCTAATCTGTACTCCTTTTATCACGTATTATTACTACAAGAATAGTCGGCCGCGTTTGCGGCCTTGTGATGTCTTTCTAGCTGGTCTTTTGAGATGTCTTTCTAGTTGGTCTTTTGAAATGTCTTCTTAGATGTGAAGGCGGTAAAAAAGGCATACTTTGTGCAAGATACTTTCCTATGTATAATCTGTGATTATTATTGTTTCGGGAATTGATGCTATACGGAGTACAGTACGGAGTATATAGCGTTGACTTGGTATTCCCGAGAACTTTTCCAACCTTTTGCTTCTTAAATGTGAATATATATATCTACAAGTACGGAGTAGAAGGGCAGGGTTCTTTCTTTTTTGACATTCCCATCTAAGCCTAGTACCCAAGTTAAGGTTTCAGATAGAACTAACATGAATTTTAATAGCTTCTTCCCCATATGAACTAGTCAACACAAATGAAGCTTCTAATTATATAGGGTTGTGTCAATCACTGGGCCCGTGGACCCCTGTCGGTGTTACATAAGCACAGTTGAGCTCCCGAATCTTATCGATAAGTGATCACCGCCCTGACCAACCGTCCTGACCCCTCGCTGCATCCGTCACTCTCCAGCTCGAGCAAGATGACTCGTGACCATTAATCTTACTGGTTTCCATTGAAAGGGCTCTCTCAAAACATGATATCAAAACCCCGCTTGGTCCTGTGGAACCCTCAACAACCCCGTGGCCGCTGATACGTGCTTTTACCTCTCGTCATTCACGTCAATATACACTCCACGAAAACCAACAGACCCGTTATACCCCTGTTCATTTGCATCAGCGCGGAAGATAAACCTCCTAATGTCTGTGCCAACCTCTCCTAAAGTCTCATCGGAGTCTGCAGGGCGACCCGAATTCAGGGATCATACGATCCCTGTTGCGGGGTCCGGCAACACCCGCAGCCTTTCTGGTGAGGTCAAGCCCAGAAGCCAACGGAGGTCCATCCAATTTAGCGTCGACGCTGCAGAGGCACAGCTCCCCACTCGCTCGGCGAGCTTCAAGGAAAAGCGGCTGTCATATGGGGATACCCCGACGAGGGAATTATTGGAAGAAAAGGAAAGGGAACAAAAAGCTGCCCAATTGAACCGAGGGCCGTCTCCACCACCGCCGAAGTATGTTTTGCTCAGAAAATATATGTGAAATGGCGTGTACTAATATATAAAGCAGAACTTACGAGCGAGGAGTCTCCTTCGACACTTTTGATAATTTCGATGCTACCGATTTCTCCCTCACGTTAAACTACAAACACAAAGGCTACCAGAGCACACGTCGCAGCAGGACGTTCTTGTGCGGAACCGACCAAAATGATTACTCCGAATTCGCCCTTGAATGGCTCATCGACGAGCTGGTGGATGACGGGGACGAGATCGTCTGTCTTCGAGCGGTGGAGAAAGACTCTCGCATAGCCAGCGATGTCGGAATCGAAGAGCGAAAGTACCGCGAGGAGGCTGAAAAGTTATTTGAGCAGGTAATCCAGAAAAACAGCCAGGATGAGAAGGCGATTAGCTTGGTGCTGGAACTTGCTGTGGGCAAGGTTGAGAGCATCATTCAACGCATGGTAACATTCCCAAGAACCCCCATTGTTACCCCATACCAATCTAACATCCCCTAGATCCGCATATACGAGCCTGCAATGCTTGTAGTCGGTACACGAGGACGCAACCTGAAAGGAGTGCACAGTCTGCTCCCAGGCTCCGTGTCCAAATACTGCCTCCAGCAATCACCCATCCCGGTGATAGTCGTTCGACCTTCACCGAAGCGCGAAAAGAAAAAGAAGAAGCGCCGCGCAGACCCAACACGGCGCAGCTACAACCATATCCTGGAAATGAGTGAGCAGCGCGGCAGTCAGATATTCGGCGCCAGTCCCAGCAACGATAGCAGCACTTCCATGCTGCCAGACGAGGAGGCTGCAGTAGCGAAGGCACTTGGACTCCCCGCATCATACGCGAATGCGGCCTCGCGCAGTTCTTTGTCGGTCTCAGACCGTAGCAGCATTAGCCACGATGACTCCGACTCAACTTACCCTATTCGGAACTCACTGGATGCAGTGGTTATGTCGAGTCCTGGTATCGGAAGTCCAGCAGGTAGCTCTCAGGAGAGCGTCGTTACTAGCAATAGTGTTCAGCCATCTCCTTCGCCTTCGCTGGACAAGACTGTGATCTCGCCGTCTCCATCCGATCATCCCGATTCTCCCGAGTCAGTCTTCCCTACCGAGGTTGACAGGCCACATGAGGCGAATGAGCCCTCCGACTCAACCAAGAATCCCGTGTCTATCCCGGTGATTGAAGTGTCAGATAATGACAACGACAAAAGCGACAACACGAAGGAATCTGAATCCTGAAAAGCATGGCTTGCCTGGTCTGTAGTGGCTCTTTATCTCCATTTCTGCCATTTTGCGCGCATTGCGCTATACATTACACCGTCGCGCTTTCTCGCATACTCACGATCCATACGAACCATCCGATTTCACACCTCACGTTGCTTCGGTCTCTTGCTATCAAACGGAGTAAACGTCGGGAATCACGTCGTTTCGCGACGGGACTGACAGTTATACCCCAGCTCAATACCCTCATCGCTTATTGTTCTTCGGGATGTTCTGACCTGGTTACACGTTTCACATGTTTTGGCCATGTGTATTTCTCTCCCCTCTTGTGCCTACAGTGAGAATTCACCGAATGAATCCATAGACATTGATTGCCTAGTCTCCTACAGATGTGTAGATCTCCTGTAACTATTTGATTACTCGTAGTCACTAAGTAGTATACCTAAGTAAGTCCAGGTCTACCTATGGATACTGATCCAGGCTATCAGAAGTCCATAGTCACATTTAGTACACTTACATGGATCTATATACAATAGAGGAGGTCCTAGTTTCTTATAGAGAAAGATATCATAAGTAGCCAGGAGGCGAAGCATTCATTCAATCACATTAAAGCTGAGTGTTGCTCCGGGTATTGAGAAAAAAGGACAAGGTCAAGAGAAAAGCAAGGGCAAGAGCAAAAGGGAGAATATGCAAAGCACGAGAATGGAGAAAGAGAAAAAGAGCAAAAGAAACATCATCAAACCCTTCATCACCGTCATAATCAGCCTTTCCATGCCAGTTTCCACTTCCACAGTAAAATCCCCCTACTAGATGTGCAGAAGACAGGAATATGAAATAGAAAGTGATTCAGCAAGTCCAATTGCAAGCAAAGTCCTACTCTCAATCACGGTTCGACACCCATTTCTCAATTCAAAGAAAAGAGAAGAAGAAGAAGAGGGAAAAAGAAACAATAAGAATTGAAAAAGATGTCAAAATTGTACACTATGAATCGGGTCCCTTTTTCGAAAGAAGTTCAAAAAAGTAAAACCAGCCGTGATAAAGTGAGAAAAAAAGGAAGTCCTAGGGGATAACCGACCAGTCGGAAAATGCAGAGGGACGACCGATTAAAAACAAAGGCGCATGGCTTTCCTCACGGGAAAAAAACAATGAAAAATGACGAAAATGAAGAAATCTTTTTGTGAACCAAGAAAATGGAAAACGTTGATCATTAACTCCTAAGGACTTTCTATGCTGTGGATTCGCCGTCCTTGATAGACGGGGTTTTTGAGGGACGACGCTCCGCGGCCGCGGGCTGCGACTTGGTGAGCATCGGGGAAGTGGGGTTTGACGGCGGCGAGGTGGCCATGTTATCCCGATCTTCAAGGGCAGCAAGCGCGCTGGGGAGGGTATTAGCATGGGGAGCTCCGGAGGAGAAAAGCATTGGGGGTGGTTGCGTACCTGAAAGCATTCATGGAAGAGTTGTCTTCCTTCTTGCTACCGGTAGGAGTGCCGGTGCGGCTGC